TGAAAAAATGGGTGCATGGCCAATTGATTTGAATATTAGTATTTTGACCATAAGACTTGGATTTGAATCTCACCATAGCTAATTTGTGAAGATGGTGACTTATTGATAATATCAGTTTGGGGAGATGTTCCCAGAATGTTGCACTGTTGGAAAACAAAACAACTAATTAATCCAAACGTTTTGAGTGAAAATGGTTAGACAAAACTATTCAGAAGCTATTGGTGGTTGTGCTAGCATTAAGTCACTAGTCATTGTAAGTGAGGGTTTGAGCATACTGACTTTGTTCAACTCTTGATTATATTAGATTGTGTGCTCTCTCTCAGAAACGTTTACTAAGTTCTGCTGAGTATAGTTGCAATATAAACAATAAGTTATCTTTATGCTCATTGAAGAGACACAAATGTTGCAGATCATCAGCAGTGAATAGCAAGCTACCCTACATGTGCATACACACAAATTGGTAATCAGTTATGACAATCAAAAAAAGAAATTCAAATGTTTATGTTTCTTTATAAGATATGTAAGATATCCATCCTCTTATATGGCAGTGCATGCTAGACAATCTCTCCATGGATGGGAAAAAACAGAAGCAGCAAAAATGTGGTTCTACAGGAGGATACTGAAAATCCTCTGGATGCAGAAGTCTTAAAGAAAATGGTAACAGAAAGAACACTTATACTCAGACTCAGGAAAAGACAGCTGAAATTCTTTGGACACATAATGAGGATGAAGTACTTGGAAAACTCATAGGACATATTGAGGGCAAGAGAAATAGGGGAAGGCAGCAAACTACTTAACTGATTAGCTTGTGTGAATTGATGGGGGTCAGGATGTTGGGAGACACTGGCCTTAACAAAGTGAGAAAAACTGCTAAGAGCCACATGAGATAGGAGATTGGGGAGAGCTATAAAGTGGTGCCGCTCATAGAAGAAGAAGGCAGCAGTGGCTACCATATAACTGGAATAAAAAGTTCTTTTTTAGGTTTGAACAAAAATCTTAACTTGATTTTTTTCTCTTAACTTTCATTGTCTTTTATATATTCAGTGTTTCAATCTTTGCACACATTAATTAGCTGGGTCAAAATGCCACATCATATAATTGAATGTTCTTCCAGTTTAATGACATCCATGTTTGGCTTGCTATTTATCATCTAGAAGGTCACCAGCTAATCATCTGACATTTGTCTTGCATATTCATTTAACTTGGACTACACCTTCAAGTAGCATAAGCTTTTCGTGTTTTTTATATTTTTCAAAAATAGGAGAAAAGCTCCACCTCTTGGTATAAATGATCATTTATTAAAAAAATTGAAACAAATTGCCAGTATTTTGCATTTAATTTTCTTTAGTATACAAGGTTATTCAAAAAGAATGAACCAATTTCATGATGTATTGCTTCAGTTCTCAAGCATTGTCAGGGAATAAGTTGGTGACCATTTGAAAGAGGAGTTTTCTAAGTTTTGAATGGCTGCCAGAGGGGTGCTGTAGTCATATTGTATCTCCAGCAACATTCAGTTGTTTGTTTACACCCAGAATGGTGAGTACTTATCAAAAGGCATTCTGCATTATCAAGTCTGCAATAACAAATACAGTTGTCCTGGTGTAGTGTGCATTTTGAAGGCAAATGACATTAATCTACTCTCTCCTAAGAATATTCAATGGTGGTTTAAACAGTTTCAAAAGAGCGGATGTCTGTGTAAAGGAAAAAGTCCAGTACGACCATAAGTTTCAGAGGAACAAGTGGTGAGGATCTGTGCTGCATTTGAAGGGAGTCCACAGAAGTCCACAAATCGAGCTAGTTGTGAGCTTGCGATCTCTCAATCTGGTGTGTGCGAAGAAGATGTCTACATTTAAAACCTCACAGACTATGCCTTGTTCAGGCACTTAGCAAGACCTTTGCTCTTTGTGTTTGGCCTGCAAGATCTTCAGACCTCATGTATGATTTTCTCTTGTGGTTGATCCGTAAAAGATCGCATTTATGTTTCACTGTTACCCACTAACCTAGATGACCATAAACATCGAATTACAACAGTGATCAACTCAGTGGATTATGATATGCTGATACATGTCTGGGAGGAATTCTCTTATCATATTGATTTTGCCTGTGCTGCAGGTGGTGGCTACATTGAACACTTGTAAGACAGGAAATAAAAGTTGATTGTAAGTAGAATACTTGTGACTTGGATAGAGTTTTCTATTGCTTGTCCTTATTAAAATATTGTGTAATAAAATTGGTTCATTTTTTTTTAATAATCCTGTATAATATAGAATTAATACCTTTCTCTAACTGCATTGTTAAGCAATTCACCAATTTTTATCATCACAATGAACCATATAATGTCCTAATTAATGTTTTTATCAGAAAAGTGATTTTATCCATTCAAAGTTGTTTATATAATACCAAATTATGTACCTGCCTTAAAACAATAATTAGACAAATTCCAAGTGTAATATATTCAATAGTTACTAGATGCCTAACTATTGCGGGATATCTTTTGCTAGACTAAACTATCAGGTCATCCCATAAGTTCTGTCCGAATTTTTAAATTAAGAAAACAAGTGACCAAATGTTACATTTAATTACAGATTCAATCAACAATGTATTTTCCCTGATTATCTATGACTTCCTTCCATCTATTAACAAGCTTACTAATTCCATTACTGTAAAATTCTTTTGGCTTTGATTCAAAGAACTCACAAATGTCAGTTTTAACCTCTTCCTATATTACAAAAGCTGTTTCTTCCAAATGATTCTGTAAGCTACGAAACAAATGGTAGTCTGAAGGAGTAAGATTGGGAGAATAAGGTGGATGAAGAATTTTCTCCCAACCAAATTCTTTGATCTTTTGTGACGTGATTCTTGCTGTGTGGGGTCGCGCATTGTCCTGATGAAACATCACCTCTTTTCGATTCACTAGAGCAGGTCTTTTTTTCTTCAAAGCTTGGTTCAAACGCTCTAATTGCTGACAGTATATTTGAGCATTAATTGTTGCATTAGGTGGTAAGAATTCAAAGTGGATTATTCTTTGGTGATCCCACCAGATTGAAAGAAGAACCTTTTGCCCATGAAGTTCCCTTCTCGGTTGTGGCTGGGGTCCTTCCCCTTTACCAAGCCACTGTCTACGACGCTTAACATTTCAATAAAAGATCCATTTTTCATCACCAGTCACAAGTCTATCCAAAAAAGGTGAAACAAGTTGGCAAGAATGGAGAGAAGAGCAGATGTCAACTCGGGATTTGAGGTTGTTTTCAGACAATTTATGAGGCACCCATTTTCCAAGTTTAGGAACTTTTCCAAGTTGTTGAAGATGATGATGAACAGTTGTATGGTTTGAACTGAGAACTACTGCCAATTCCTCAACTGATAAAGTAGGATTTTCTTCAAGGGCTGCTTCAAGAAGCTTTTCATCAAACTCAGCTGAACGTCCAGTTCGATCTTCATCTGCAAGGGTGAAATCTCCACCTCTGAATTTTGCAAACCATCTTCTGCAAGTTCTTTCATTCACACATTCCTCTCCATAAACTGAGTGAATGTTTCTAGCTGCTTTGGCTGCTGAGTTTCCTTTCTTGGACTCATAAAGCATTATGTGCCTCAAATGATTCTTGGGTACTTCCATGTTAGCAGGGTTTTAATCAAACAAAATTTAATTTTATTGTTCTCTGAAATAAAATTTGATCAGTTTAAATGCATCTAAACATAAAAATAATGTTCAGCTCCATTAGACATTATAAAATACTCTTTAAATTTTGTTCATTTTAACAAAAAGTTAAAATTCGGACAGAACTTATGGGATGACCTGATATATTTTTTTTGTCTTTTGTGTTAATACTCTAAACAAAGGTATAGTATCTGTCTTGAATTATTTTACAGTATGGAAATCTCAATGTATGCTTTCACTGCTCTAGCAATGAGCAGTTGTTATATTCAACTTTAGTCAAATTAATATATTAATTAATATATAATATTAATCTACAAGTTGAATAAATTAAACTTAAAATACTAAACTCACTTGAAAGTCATTAAAATGATATTTTTTGTTACTTGAGAATCACCATTCAAAAAAAATAAAAATAAATTGATATTTTACTGTGTCTCACTGAAGGAGTCTGAACTACTCTTTACATTCTTAAGAGACAGAAGGGAAGGAATTTTTAGAAAATTTTCCAACATCCCCAAGCTTCTGACTATATTTCTGCAATGAGGTATTGTAACTATTTACACTATTTATATTGTTCAGACTGTTGTTCTCATCTTTATTTTCATATTCACAATGTTTCGGCCATTGTATGCTCCGGCCTTCTTTGGCTGATATACATTGGAATTTCAAACTGAACCCTTTATTTAGTCCACTGAGGTAGATTGCTCTAGTTCCATGTGCCATCCTGTTTCTGGATTACTTCAACCAATGTTTTTATCCATCAGGCTATGTGTCCTCTGGTCCAATGGATAAAAACATTGGTTGTAGTAATTCAAAAGAGACACGACACAAAGTGTTATGAGTTTAATACCTGGACACAGCAGACATGAACAAAAAACTTGGAGAGTTGAGTTACTAAAGGGAATTAACTGAAACTGAGATATCCAAAAAAGGCATGGAACTAGAACAATCTACACTGTGGACTAAATAAAGGCTTCAAAATTCCAACATATATCACCTGAAGAGGGCTGGTGTGTACAACAGCCAAAATGTCATGAATATGACAATAAAAATGAAGACAACAGTCTGAACAATGTAAATAGTGTAAATCCACAAGCTTATTAAGACCATCCATTTACACATAATTTAGCCATTTTTATCCTTTAAATGATTTTATAATCACCCTTTCATTAACCCCATCTGATTTATTGCATACTGAGAAAAATCCCCCAACATTATTAAGAACTCCCTTTTATTAGTCACCTAAGAGTATGGACAATGCAAAAGTAGAAAGATTCAATTAATGTTTGACAATTATGGTTCCAGTGAGAAAAGCATTAATATCTCTTTTCTTCTCTTACAGAACAAAAGCAAGCTGTTGTCAAATGAATGCTTTCAAAATACAGTTATGGTATGGATACCCTGTGGATGGTTGTGGTTGTCATTGATAGGCTACATACCTTACCTTCACTGCCAAAAGTCTTACCCACACACAATCTCTTATGTTATTGTGATAAAAATGGTATGTAAGAAATTAATTTTGGATCATTTTTAATCTAGCATTAGGTGAGCATAATGTTAGTAAATCTTGCTTTACTACAAAATTCACTGCTCAAGACATAATAAAGTAAAATTTTTAATGCCAAAATTCATGTCATGCAAGCTATCCAATATCCTCTTAGTGGCTGACTCAACTGAAAAAGAATGTTTTGCTGTTTTTCTTTTAGTTAATTCAGCAGTAAAAGACTTTATCTGAATTTCTGGAATAAGGAGTTATCATTATTTTGTTTTAATTCATGAATATCTCATGAATATCTCTTTTTACATTACATGTAAGTGATACTTCTATCAGTTCAACAGTGAAAAATTGGTGGCTTCTTAGCTAAATCAAGGACTAAATCAGGGACATTTTAAAATGTTTCTAGGGTACAATATTATGACCTTCCAGATTTTGTCAGATGAATTTTCACCAGATAAAATAATCCAAAAGAATTTTTATGAAAAGTTTGAAAGTTAAAATTTGAATTAAATTTGACATTCAAAGTTAGACTTTATAAAGTAAGTCTATCATATCAGTTCCTTTTTTATAACAGAAAAAAAAAATAAAACTTAAAACTATTAAAGAATATTTATTGAAAAATCACAGGTTATTTTTATCAGGTGGCAATATACATTTTAATACAAAATTTGTATATATATATATATATATATATATATATGTACAAATTTCATTTTTAAATAAATACTGCTTCCATAACTTACAGCTAATTAGAAGAGTGTGTAATATTTTTTGTTTGCTTCCCATTTTGACAGACATTAAGTGGACTCTTGGCCATAATTTACCTAGCCAATGTGTTGGGAGCAATTACCAATGGATCTCATTTCCAAATTGACTTATTTTCAGCAAATATGACTATGTTTGGTACATTGGTATGTATTCTATTTTTTAATTAGCAGATTCATTTCCCCTTGTTTGACCTGTTTACTTTTCTCTTAATCAATCTAAACAAAATATTTAATAATGTTAAGCTGCACTTCCAAATCATTTGAAAGAAAAATTCCAGTAAATTCCTCTGAATGGTATTTATTTATTTCTAAGATTATTATGACATCTTCATTGTCAATCTTTATTGCCCTTTTTGAGTATTAAATAAAACAATAAAACTCTTTAATTGATTTCTCACATGAATTTAATCTTTGTATTTACCATGCACCCCCACACCTCCCAAGGAAATTTGCAATACAAAAAAAGACCTACAATTTGATGACCTCTTATATAGCATGCATTAACAGAATAAAAAATATCCTCCAAACATAGTTTGGATATTAAACTCAATTTTTTTCTTTTGCTGTTTTTTATTTTTTTAAATCAAGTTTACCCGACGCAAGGCAGTAAGGTCCCAAAGGGTTACTTGGTGTGGAAGAGTAGGAAACAGAAACATTGCTAAGGAGTAAGAACAAGAGAATAATCAGGGGGACAGTAGAGAGCAATTGACATTGCATTTAATTCTTTGCAGATTAAAGTTGGCTGGAAAACATGGAACCAGAAGGGAGTTCCACAAGTGAGAAGTGTGAGAAAAGAAACTGTTAGAAAAGAATTTACAATTATATATAGCCAGCTCAAACTGTAAACTGTTGAGATCTCATCACCAGTCAAGTACTGCACTTAAATTCAAAAAGTCTAGGTGCCATAGTGTAGAGCTCATCCAAACAATTAAATAAATAACAGGAGCACTAGACTATATGAAGCAGTAATATTCTAAGCATGGGAGATTGATAGACTTATAAACATGTAAGATAGATTCTGGAGATAAAAAATGTCTAGCATGACACAGTGAACCAACTTTCTGACCTGCCAATGGATTTAATATAGTCTTTCCACTTCATATCAGCCAAGAACGTTAACCCAATATGACACAACAAGTCACTCTCCTGGAAGTCAGCATCAGCCATGCTGAGGGAAGACAGAGATGGTCCTCTCAAGTGATTATTAGAGAGCAGTTTACTTTTGGAGCCATTAAAATTAAAAAAACCATTCAAAACTGTTGTCAGAATTAACCAAAAGTTTGGAGGATGGTATGATTATTTATCTTACAGATTTTGATTTAAGTTTCTCAGGTCAACTTGAATAGGTACCAACTAGGGAGAGGCATTTGAATCAGAAACATTGTATTGACCAGAGACCAAAAGTACCAAGACAGACTTGCTCATATAGGTGTGGACTAAAAGGCCCATTGGGAGAAGTGTGTGTGTGGTGGTGGGGGGGACGAAGATTGATCGAGGGGGCATCCCTTAACCCGATTTAATTTAGTATCATAGATGTATAATTCCTAAGATGGGGGCATTATAGGCAAGTTATCTATTTGCTGCAAACAATAATTCACAGTTAATACAATTTTTCGCTGTGAAAAAAAGATCACAGTTTATAACATTTGAATTTGTTAATCACCTTTTCTAACCAATCAAAAAAAATAACATAACTGAAATTATTGAATAATTTTAACTGGCTCCAGAAAGGACTTTCATGTAACTGAATAGTCACATTCCTTTTTCTGATTGGTTGAAAAAAAAGAAATGATGAAATTTAAATACTTTATAAGCTTTTTTTTTACACAAAACTTAAATACTTTATAAACTTTTTCACTTTTTAATTTTTGAATTAAAACCAATATGTTGTCCACTATTATGGGAAGTAAAAGAGGGTCTATTACTAATATATTTTACATTTGGGTCTTCTGCCATTACTATCACCACTTATTGGTTATATGTTATTAAATGTGCAGATATCATGAGCAGATAGTTTATGTTCTATAAAGTAAATACAGTGTTAGCGTGACTAGGTCACAAAAAGAACTAAGATTAAGAAAGAGTAAAACCAGATTTAATCCCAAATTCTTTCACTGGCACACTTATTCTTCAGAATAAATGTTGTTATCATTTTCCAGTTTGTACTATTAAGAAAAAGAAATCTTTTTTCCTATATGGGTTGTACATTTGTTGAAGTTGCCTATGGAATCAGTCAGCCAAAACATTTTGGCATCAACAAAAAGAATGATTTTAATAGTCCAAACTTTTGGAAATGTTATGACTTATCCCTGAATTATAGAAGATAATTTTTATTTTATAGCTTCTGTCAATGGTCATCCAGTTTACAGAATGGAAGAAAAGGCTGATAACATCAGGAGTGAATTTCATATTTTATTTTCTGGCATTCTTCACAATGTGCATTTATTTCATTTATTTTTTCAACTTGAAGGTAAATTTTATTTTTTAATTTTCTATCAAAACTTATAATAATTTTTTTTTCACAGAGATCATGGAATATATATTTCAAATAACACAAGACAATTTTGATCTATGAAATATTAATTTTTATGGTAAAAAAATAAAAAGTAATATTAGTATTGTAGAAGCAACTTTCCTTTTTTATTAGTAAGAGAAGAATAGTTTGCCAAATGATGGAGAAAATGGTTGAAATTTAGAAAGCAAACATAAAATCAGAAATATTCCACTTCCTTTAATTTGGCATTGGTTCATCAGTCAAAGCATTCAGTTTCAATCTTGGAGCAGACATCCAACATTTCTTAGATTGTAAATTGTAAAAATATCCATTAAATGTATCAGTTTATACAATAATTTGGGATAATTTTAAATTAATATCTTCTCTTTCTTGTATGATTTTTATGGAGGTAAAGTATTTCTAAAGTAATTGTAATATATTGACATATGTGTGTGTGTGTGTGTGTGTGTGTGTGTGTGTGTATGTGTGCGTGTGACAGGGAGAAAGAGGCAATTAGAAAAACAAGAAAAGACTAGGCTGGGCTTTTATATAAATGCCCAACCTAGTCTTTTCACACTCATTCAAACAGAATGTGACACAAGGTTGAGTTTAAAGTAGGAGCCTATATGTACATGAACTAAAGCCAAAAATTGCTCAACTCCCCTTGGCATTTCCCCTTTGAGTACACCTCAGGTAATGATTCTAACCCCCTCCTGAAGGTATAGTATTGCCTGGGGTGGTCATAGGGCTTGGGCATATTATATTAAATTTTTAAACCACCCAACCTGACTGAGCCAGGGAAAAAGAGACTGGGTTGTTTGTAATAATAAAATAGCAATATTTATTTTTATATTTAAGAAAAAATTAAATACAAAAATATGGAACAAGGCCAAAAATTGAAGGTGGAAAGGATGCTGTATTTTACTATCCTAATTATTAATTTCATATTTATTCAAAATCTTTCATGCAAGTCAATATAATTTCACACTCTTTTGAAAAAATTCTATCATTGCATTTCAAGTGAGGAGGAAAAATGAAATCAACAAATGATTACATTTACAATTTTAAAAAAACCCATGAATTGAAATGATATGAAAAAATATTTGTAGTGAATATTTGCAGACATAAGAGGCATTATTAGTAAGGATCTCATATGGTTAAAGAAGCAAGTTAACCAGATGGAAAAACTGTGGGAAGATATAAAGAATAAAAACAAAACAATATGAAATATTCCTACATCAGTAGAGATCTTTATTGTTTGTCATCTAATTGGGGAAGGAGGGATGAGGTGAAAAGGTGGGGTACAAAGCAAATAAAAGAGGAAAAATGACTATTCATCCTCTCTAGCTAAGTTAAATTTAAAAACTAAAACAAAAACAATTCTGTACTAACTTTACTGGGATGGGCAGACATATCCTTCTCAGGAAAGCAAAATCTTCAGTCAAGTTTGTCCTATTCATTTGCACCAGTTATCAACTTTTAGCCAAGTTCTGCCAAAGACAACCAAATCACCTCTGTCTGTCTGTTTGTCTATCTCTCTCATTCTCTCCATTCTGATCTTAACCTGAAGCTGATGCTGAAAATATGCATCAACATGATGTAGAAAAAGAAACAAATTCTCATTAAATTCCTTCATTTTGATTGTCTAGATTACCATCTGCATCAGGACCAATAAACACAGAGTATTTCTTCTTGCCAAGTGACAGCTCTATGTTACTACAAACAGAAATGGCTTTCATGACAAAAAACAAAACAAAAATAAAACTGTCCACAAACCACATGGCTCTCAATAAGCTCACACAATGGGCATACAACCATGCAGCAAAAGAAAGCATCTTTAATAAATTACTCCTTATCACCCAAATGGACACATTCTAGAAAAAAATAACATTTCCACTAAAAAAAGAATATTTGCTGTATCACCAACCAGGTGAGAGACGCTTTGTCATTAGTGCGGCATTTCCACTCAGGTGCCCAAACCCACAAGGAGTGATGCTCCCTCTTTATCAGGCTAGGCATATGTCACATGACTCCTCAACATGATATAATGCTTTTCTTGACAATGGCTGGGTGTTAGAGAGGCCAGTCTTCACCTGAGAGAAAATGCTCAAAGCATGTCAATGTTACATGGGAGAAAAAGCATTCATTTTAGGACAAATGACTGACCTCTCCTTCATACTTCTAAAAGCCAAAAAGGTTTTTTTGATATCTGCTTTCAGAATCTGCTGTTGTTATCATCTAGCTAGACTTAGGAAAATTAATTGTAAGGTAAACTGATGAATCTCAATGTTTGGCATTTCCAAACTGCCCACAGAAGAATAGAGACAGCAGATCTCACAATAAAAAATAGGATCCCTGTGATTTCCAAAGAGTTTATTCCAAGTTCTCTCTATGACAACTAGGTTGGTGTACAGGAGTGTAAGTACTGAAAGTTGGTAAAATATGGTAATTTTCTAAGCGTAGCTTAGATGTGACACAAGGACAAAAGTGTGGAGCACCTAGTGAGGATTGAAATCACTTGTAATTGTTTTAGTGAGACAAGCTTTGTAACCATTACACTATGTCAGAGGGCCCCTGAAAGTTTTTAAAATATGAGAAGGTAGATGTTCAAATCACCCACAGCTACCCTTCCCATTAAGGAAAGACTAATTTCATCCATCCTGTTAGATCTACATAGATGCTGATTGTATTTAAATCAGCAGCAGCAGGACTTTTAGCATATCTATACTGATTAAAAGTGGTTCAATCCAGGAGTTGTATTTAATCTTTGCGAATTTCCACTTTGTCAGTTTTTGCATCAAGTGCCTGGTATGGTCTTGTCATGGTGAACAAGAAATTGATGGTGCTATTTGCTATTCCCTTCTTTTGGATCTTGCTTCTGCACTTACACATTCAATTTGAATGGCCAAGAAAAGGGTAACATTTTCAAGATCCCAAACTCATTGCAGTTAATTTTAACTATCTCATACAACCAAATTTCTTTGCTAACTGACTTAGTCTTAGCATTGATCATCATAAGTATAGAGACTGTCGGCATAGCCAGAGAACGTGACTGAAATGATAGCATTAGGTAACTTACCCATTTCAACAATGTCACAAAGAGGTCGGTTCTTCAAAAAAGCCCCTTGCTCCCTACTATAATTGGGCACATAAATCCTAATGAAAATATAACACCCTCTTGCTTACCAGATTCACAAAGACAAGTATTAAAGGGCAGCTTACTAACCAAGAGACATCCTCTCAAATATGATGAGTTGAAACCTCATTGACAGAACATCCTCATAGTCACTTGCAATAAGATGGGTCTCCTGTACACAACAAATAACCACACTGAGATGCTTGAGATTGCACATGAGTGTAGTCTAACGTAATTAACCAGATTGCTATGATTGGTTCTACTGGGGTTGCTCCCCTGAGAAAAACATATCAGATGTCTCATAGATCCTTAGCCCATCTTAGCACCATCAAACTGAGATATCCTTTGAGAAAATTAATTTTACAGCTCTATGCAGGGCTGGGTGTAAACTTGACCAGATTTGTTATGTGCTTTGACAAATTCTGACTACAGGAATCTTTAGGCCTGAGGGAAATCTTTAAAGTTCTCTATGTTTTTATGATCAATTTGTGGAATTTTTGGAGGACCCTCAAGATGTTTATTTTTCCTTTTTGCTTGTATGTCCAGGTTCACTTAACAAATGTCTTCTTCAATGTGGTTCTTCTGTGTTGTGGTCTGTGTGGTTTTTATGAGGTAGATCCTACTCTGAAGAAGTTACTTGGAGCATTTGGATGTGGTAGTGGAGGTGATGGTAGGGAAGAGGTGGAGTGTGAAGAGGACATTTTGCAGGTGAAAGTTGGGAGTATGAAAGCTAAAACATTGTGTGTTTGTGTGTATTTTAAGTGGATGCATGTACACATATGATAAACAAAGAGGAATCATAAACTACTACAAACCATTTACCCTTTTTATGGTAACTGTAGTGGAACAAAGTTTTTAATATCTCTTGGCTATGTCCATTTTTTTTGGTTCTGAAGTAAGTGAGGATAAGAATGGTTAAAATTGTCAAGTTCAAGTCAGCTTTGTGCTGAGTTGGAACAACAAAATTACTTCTTGAGTAGGGCTGTAAGGCATGTCTGAACACTTGTCATTGGAAAATGGAAAAAGAAAGCTGCTATCCTTTCCAGAAGTGGGGTCATAAAATTGAGACAGTGATCAAAAAACCTTTCCAGTTCCTTTATTACTTACATCATGGGAAAATGTATTTATTTATTATTTTTTTTCTTTATTTTATTTATTGATTTTGTTTCATTTTCCCCACAGAGGTTTGGGGTTGGGCAATGAGTTTGAAACTGACTTGGGAAATGTGTAATGTCTTTAGTAAATATGTTTATGTTTAGAAATTGTGGTAGTTGATGACTAGTTGGTCATGGCAGCTGTTGTAGCAGTTGTAGTAGTCATAATAGTAACAATGGTGTCCCTATAACATCCTGTGAGTAAAAAGAGAAAGAGAGTTTGTACTCTTTTCTTTTATATTACTTTCTGACAATGCCATCTTGTGGTCACGAGCAGAAGATAACTGAGTAAATTTATAACTGTCATAGCGTAAAGAAAAACAGACATACATTTAAGCTTGCAGTGAAGATTTATTCAGTGCAATTTGACCATTAGTAAGATTGAAACATTTCTTTTATATTTGAGTAGTTCAAGGGAGAGACAACTATGGTTGCCTTCACCACACAGAAATGTCAAAGAAATTGTCTTTTTTAATTTTCTAAGATATCAATAATATTTTAATATTTTAAGGGACATGCTTAAAAATTCACTTTTGTTTTTTTAGGAGTCAAGTAATAAAAGAATAGCTTTTGAAATTCTGAATCTTATCTTAAAGTTGTCTTTGGTTGTTGCATTCAGCTTTGCCAACAGCAGTGATTCACAAGTAAGTAAAATGTTTTTTGTGTGTAAATATGCATTATTTCAATTAATTAAAATATTTGTGTTTCATTTTTTATTAGAAAAGCAATATTGCTAATTACTCATAAGCTCAAAAAACAATGAATGCTAACATCAGATCACATGATGAGTTTCATGACCCATTGGGTCATGGAGACGCTACATGTATTGCATCCATAGCAGCAGAGGTGTGTCTAGGGCAAGTTAGCCTGATAGAACTTATCTCTTTTTAAGCTGTTTTTGATTTTTTGTTAATCTATTGGTCTCTGTCCCAGCACTACCAAAAATGTAGTATTCTTGGTATCATTACTTGGTGGTGTTTTTTTTTATATTCATGTTCATCACATATCAGCATCAGCAAGAAGTAACCAGATTTTTTTATTTTCACAATGGTCGTTATGATTCTCTGCTGAGATTTCAGTGTAAACTTATGTCTCTGCTGATATACAATCGTACAGCAAAAAACAAACCAACTTTGCTGATAATTAATAAAAGGTTTAATGAAAAAAACTGAAGATTTTTAACCTGATTGACAATCTTTTGGCAGAAAAATTATCCTATCAGTAATTCATAGAATTTGAAAGACCTTCATCCTGGCACTGTATTGTTATCTATCTGGGATTGTGTCTGTTGGTTTGTTAGTTGCAGAAGCAACAACAATGAGAAGGGTAAAAAGTTTATGAACAGATACTGGCTATCTCCTTGTCATCTTCTCTCTGTCTGATCTCATCTGCCTGGCTGTCTTTCATACAAGGCAGTTTGAACAACTCATGTATTGATTTATTGCATGTTTTTCAATAAGATTTGTTAAGTAATCATATCACTTAATAATCTGAATTATTATTTGAGGATAATGCCTACATTCACATGTAGCTTCATTTAATAGAATATTGTTTAACTAAACTGCTCATGCCTGCACAGTTGTCTTTAAGTGAAAAATCAACTTTTCATTTTTTGTAAAATGTAAAAAAAAATGTTCTTGAATGAATTTCTTCCTTGTCAAGGTAATGGCCTTTAAAAAGTTGATTATCACTTGAATTCAAGCAGCAGGGTTAGCCTCAACGTTTGGCCCAAATTATGAAGCAGAAAATTTGTCAGTGCTAAATGTAAGCTGTGTGATCTTGTATACAATTAATTTTTTTTCCTATGGAATAAAGCCAATCTTAATTTCCCACACCCCTTTATTATGGTAGGGCAGTGGTCACAAAATGGTGTGGTATGCCTCATAGGTGTAGCAGAAGAGGATAGCAGGTGAGGCTGAATGATTGAAAGACAATCAAAAATTTAGAAAAAGTTTCAAAAATTCATATGCCAAAAATAAATATGATTTCAAAATTTAAAATATTATTATGGGTTGCTAGTAATTGCATGCATGAGTCCCGGTATAAGTAGTTATAAATAATTATTGATTGATTTTATCATTGTGATATTTTTGCATTATATCAAGTATTAAGAATATAGTAATTAGGGTTTGCAAATTGAAGAAGAGAGTTATCAATGATAATGTTCTAACTTTGAATTCACAGTTATCTCCTTTTAACCTACACTCTGTTTTTTTTTTTTTAAAGTAATTTTTATCACATAAATTTTGGTGAAGTGTGAATAAATTTTCATTCTGAAAATGTAGCCCAGAGAAAAAAGGTTTGGGAACCACTATGATAGGTCCTGATCTTCATGGCTAAGACCCACCATCTCACGCACATTGTAGTGCATGACACTCATTCCCTTCCTATTCCCCTGTACCAAAGAGGCTTCTTCCCATGAACCACTGCCCTGTAGAAATGACTCCCAAGAGGCTGCATCCTCAATCACTCTACAATCTTGTTCAAGTCTAGGGTTAACCATTATCTTCTGCACGTATCTGCATAAGCTGTACCTCTTACTCTGTATCCTTCTGTGTTGAGTGATCTCAGGGCCTTGTACAGAGTGAACACCATTTAAAAAAAAAATTAAAAAAAAGAAGATATTCATGACCTTCCTTAGACACTTTTTGGAAAGTGGTTAGGCCAACCCCCTGGTCTAAATTTTGGTAACAGTGTGGATAGTTGAGGGCTAATAGCACTTTATATAAACATAACAAGAATTCTTCTTTAGAATTTGAGAAACTTCAGATTATAAATTTTTGTTATATTGTCCCAGAAGCACCTGGGTAGGTCAGGCAAGACTTAATTCTGAATGAATTCTACTTGATTTATTTCAGATTCAAATCTTCCTAGAGCCATCTCTGATCTAATTTTATGACTTTTAATTATTATTTTTAATCTGTCTTTTTTTTTCTTCTTCTTCATACTTAATTATTCCAGAAATTCAGATAGAAAACATGAACTTTAAAAGAGTTTCTAATTAGGATTAAACTTTTATCATTTCATTCTTTTTTTTTTTAATTTACCAATGTAAATATTAAAAGTAAACTGTTGCTTACAGAGATTGAATGACAGACTTCTGATTTAAATTGGAACTTGGGTTATTAATTATTTTCCATTGTCTCAGAAATACTATTAACAGTGATTTCTATAATATGATATAATACCAACATTCTACAATATGATATCATACATAATTCTTTCCATTAAATGATTAGAATGATAATATTTTTCTTTTAAGGATTTGACTGCAGAAGAAAAAGCTTCATTTTTATCCCGAATAACTTTCTTTTGGATGACCAGGTATTTATTATATTAAATTCATCTCAGTTTCTGAAAACCACTCAATATCAATATTCAAAATATAACTATTTATATTTTTGTTCTGATAGTTGTAAAAAAGCAGATACCTATATGTGTGTGTGTGTGTGTGATGTATAATAGTTTCTGAAAAAGTGAAGTGTTAAATTATTTATATATATATATATATATTGTTTTTTATAGTATATTTATTTTCATCTATCAGCCTGAACATTCAAGAAATCTTTTTAAAGAAGAATATGTGCCTTCCAGCAGGATTCAAACTGGTGTCCCCCTTTACTATTATATAGAAACTATTGTTAGATCCAACATGCTTCAGGCCAACTCAGCCAAAAAGAGTGTTGCTGGTGAAGCATGGCTGAATAGTGTTTTTAAGCCCAATCCTTCTTGTCCCAGATTCTCAAAAGTTCATATCTGCTCAGTTTTATACTTAAATATAAACAAAGCAGTTTCTAAAGAAGTAATGAATGTTATATTTATTAATTTGACAGATTTTTATCACTTTAAACATTATTTTTAGTGGATACCCATATTTGAGTTGATGTTCTGTTTATTTTAAACAGTATATTTATTTTTATCTACCAGCCTTAATATTTGAAAAATCTTACTTTTTCTTTTGTTATACCTTTTTTGTGACTGAGTCAATCTAAAACATGTCAGATCTAACAACAGTTTCTCATGCAAAAGAGTATGCAAGTTTGAATCCTGCCAGATAGTGCATATTTTTCTGCAATAAGATTTCTTGAATAATCAGGCAGGTAGATGAAAAATAGACAGAGAATCTACCCAAATATGGGTATCCAATATTATATATATATATATATATATATATATATATATATATAAAATTTCAAACATTATATTTAGTTGGTTCATATGTCTGAATAGACATCTCTATTTTTAAACAGTGAAATCAATGTCTACCAGTCTAACAAAGAAGATGTGACTCCTGACAGGAAATGAAATTTTATTCTCTTTTAATCAGGAAAGCCACTTTAAAAAGGAAATAATTTTAAATTATTATTATTTATTTACCTATTATCTTGAGATAAACAGCTATTTATCTAAAACACTGCCTTCCTTAAAAAATAATAATTTTGTTGGCTTGATCAATGGGGGTGCTGAGGAGAAGAAAAATATGGCAAAAATAATATGTGGTCACTTTGTAGATTAGTGTCAGCATTATCCTTGTTATTTCACAACTTTTGTGAAAGAGAAAAAATATATATTTATTGTAACTGTTATTATGGGTTACCTTTAAAGTTTATAAAGCATTGTTAAGTCAAGTCTGGTGAAAGATTATATTGTATATAGAGATGAAGGTTAGGCTAATATATAAGTAAAGGCCAAATTTACTGTCTATAGTACCATTTTATTGTTGACTCCTTTTGGTTACAGTAGTTAAATTGGGTGACTTTCATCTTAGTCCTTTTGTGATTTGAGAGTTCATATAGGGTTGTTGCATTTTTGGCTGACAGAAATTAATTTGTTGAATTCATCCTTTCTTCTTTTTCTTCTGGAGTTGTACGTCTGGTCAAATTCACATATCTGATCTTACGTCTCGAACTGCTACATCGAACCAGTTTCCCACTTCTTCTCTTCTCTTGTACACATGGCTTTTTTTCTTCTTTTTATTGGGCTTGGCACATCTGTTTTTTCTGTTTGATTTTTGGCAAGACGTATTGTCATTGGTTGATTTTTTTTATGACATTCACTGACCCATATAAGCTATGCAGTTATTGAGGACAGGAACAATAGAAAGGAAATATGTGTAATAGAAAAGAGAGAGAGAGAGTTTTCTTTGTCACTCTCTAAGTGAAAAGGAAAGTGTATATTTTCATATGCTGTTACTACTACCTAATCCTACTACAATTGTTTTTATTTTTTCCAAAAATTACTAAGAGAAAATCCTGTGTGAAATGATTTTCAAAATGAAATACAAAAAGGAAAATATATTTGTAGTAATACTTACAGAATGTAAAACAATTTTATTTATTTAAAAAAAATTTGTTTAAATTAAAACTTGCAAAACCTTACTAGTGTGAAGTTTTAATACACTATTTTTTTTAAAGAAAAAATAACATATTTTTAGCATAAAAGAGTTTTTTGTCAGGGTTATCAGTTTAGTGTGTTGCTTACTTCTATAATTAATTAGTTTTCAATCTTTACAAGAAAATTTTACATGAAATAATGGTGGTGAAATAGTACATGCACAAAATAACAGAGTCCAATTGATGTGCAATACAAGATAACATTTATTTAACAAAAATAACAAAGAAAAGTTTAAGAGTTCTTTACCTAGAAATACATGGAATAAAGTTGTTAATATATTTGGGTGTTACCTGCCTGTGTAGGTGTATTTGCATGTGAAATATCCTCAACCCATTTTTGCTCCGGTGTGAAAAGTTGATGGCACACATTTTGAATGGAGGAAAAACAGGAAAAGAAGAATTACTTAAGGGTTGGCTGTTTTTATACCCTCCAGGTTGCTGCTGAAAATATGTTTATTAAGGCATTAATTTCACTGTTAAAAAAAATGTGTGTGTGTGTGTGTGAGTGTGAAGGCAAATAAATCTTTAATATCTTGTACAGATTTAAACATAGAGATTTTATAAGTACAAAAATGTACTGACTGAAGAAATAGAAATTTATTTAGCTACAATAATCTTGAAAAATCATGTTTGGATAATGAATTAATATTAAATCTTGTGTCAAAGGCTAAAAGATTGTGAAGAAAGCATATTTGTTAGTATTTGAGCAGGGCTCCCATTTAGGGACCAATCTGTGTAGAGGACTTGTCAGGGGGTACCATAGATTATATTACTTTTTTTAGAAAAATATTTGCTTCAATTATTTTGTAAGAGTTAATTTTGCTATTTAAATATTATTATGTGTGGGCAAAAGTTTCCAGCCTATGTTTAATTAAATAAACAAAAGCAACATGGTTTTCTGCTGTGTATCCAGTTTCTAGTTTTCAAAAAAGATAATGCTTGGAACTTTTTGAACAGAACTTATGTACCAAGATTTTTGTTAATAGAAGGTTGAAGAAAAAGAATGAAGAGAATGAAATATTCAAAATATTATCATGATTATTTTCCTTTTGTAGAATTATGATTAAAGGTTGCCGACGGAAGTTGAGTGAAAAAGATGTTCCAAGTCTTTCAACTTCAGAAGAAGCACAACATTTGCATCAGAAATTTAAAATTGCACAACAGAAGCTGTCACATAAAAATGTGTAAGTATTTCTTTTTAAGATATTGCAAGGAAATTCATCATATTTTTAAAAGTTATTTTCAATTAAATTATGAATGAGTTTGTCAAAAATATATAAATAGAACTGTATTGAACTTTACCATCTGAAAATAATGTTATCAATGAAGTGATAGAAAGAGTAGCAGTATATAGTTGGTAGAAAAAAAGATACAGAAAAAATAGAATTAACATAAAATAAATTTTTTGCTATTTTTAAATTAATGGTGTTTTTGGCTGAGTTATCCAACAACTTCACTTGATTTCATAATAGAATGTACATAAAAGTCAGCATGTTTCAGTATTAGATTTGAATTGATAAAAGTTAATTGAAATAAAAATAATATGGTGACAGAGATACAATGTTAGAGAGATTTTAGCAGAACTGATCATTTTTATATTGATAAAATGGATCCAAGAAGAGGTAAAATACAGCATAGGCTCTGGTTAATCAAATCAGTGGTTTGTTAGAATCCATTTAAAGCATGATCAGTGGCAGACCTACATTTTTGCAACTACCAACATTTGAGAATTAAACTGTCAAAATGTAGTCTATGGATAGATTCTGGAAAGTTGAATGAGCTGATACAGCTGGGGGATTGAGTGCTGCAAGCCTCAAGAAAATTTTCAAATTTGACTAATTACAAGGGAATTTTGAGGCCACATGAAATGGGTACTAGAGCATATTCTAAGGCCAACTTTAGCTACTTCAACACATTGGTTTATGATTCTATCACTAAAAAAGCCTTATTTTAATAATAAACACTATAAAAAACATTGACTTTGTTGAAAAATTCACTCATTAAAAAAAGTTGCTTCAGGGGCCTGACTAGGATTAGTTTCATAGTAGATCTGCCGCTGAGCATGACATTACCATTCAAATTCAAAACAAAGATGTGTTCAAAGACAAAATTGAACATAAATATTTGTAGTCAGTACAAGATTTGTAAACACCAATTATATTTCATCTTGTTTAAGTAAAATTGCAATGAAATGAAAGTGTTGGGAAAAAGAAAATGTTCCTAAGTAATTTTTTTACAAAAGAGTTCAATTTGTTTGTGAGTTCAGTCGGATGAAATATACAAGTGTCCTGCAATTGTCCCTGTTATCAAGATCAATGTAAAAAGTGAATGCAAAAAGAAAAGCATATTAAGAGATATTCTTACTGAAAGTTTTTACCATGTATTCTGTAGGAAGTTGTCACTAAAGGTTCTTTAGATGCTTGATGCGCAAGAGAGCTGTAACCATTTATGACTTGTAAAGAAAGGGATCTGTTTGTTTCTCCTTTTTATAAGAAAAGCTTGGATAAACTAATGAGGTAGTGACATCACAGTCCAACAATTTTAGTTTTGCAGCAAAATTTGTGTTTCTTTAAGGTTTTATTGTGATGAGTAAATTAATTACATTGCCTGTTTCTATACAGGCAAAATATCTCTGCATTTAAATTAAAAGTTGTAAAAAGTTTTCTTGCCCAAAGTAGTATTTTAAGTGCTGAAATGTGATGAAAAATGTTAGCACAATAAAAGTAAAAAAGTCCTTCTTCAGACTTGACCCTTGATGATGGCAATTTGTAAGCAGAAATTAAATTTCTTGTCAGTAAAAAACAAAAGAAAAACTATATTTATTCTTCTGTTTATACCTGACTTCCTTTGCTCCAAGATGATAAATGTTGACAATAAAAATAAATGTTGACAATAAAAAATACAGATTAAATTCTAAATAGCATTATAAATGCACCTCCTCCCATCTAATATGGTATCCAATTGCTTTATTTTTCTAGTACAAAAATTTATCAAAAAAGAACTTGTTTTTGATATTTTTTTTCTATTTGATTTTTAAAAAATATTTCATATGAAGCTGGAAAAATGACATGCAAATTTTTAGAATCATATAAAATACAGCAAATTTGAAAATAAAGACTACTAAATTTTTCATGCTGGTCACTTAGTATTGTTTATAAAACAATTTATTTATGTTCCCTGGTTTGTATCTCCCAAGAAGGAGAATAAGAAAAGAGTAGTAAACAATGTCCTTATTAAGAGACTTATGAAAACCATAATATATATATAATTTAACACATCACAACAGTTTACTTCTTTGTCACTATAATCCTAAAATTGTTTTTATTACATCTCAGAAAAAAAATCACAGGTAAACGTGTAAAGACAATTTATTAAAAAAAATACATTAAATATAAGCAAAGTGATCTTGCTGCATACATTTTCTTGCTGGATATACTTTTGAATGGAGTCAGAATTTTGAAATGAATCTGCTAGTTTTACAGAAGAAATGAAAAAGTTTGAAGCAATTGAACATGAGAAAATACAAACAAGATTAATAAAAAGTAATCAAATTGATTCAAACAATAAAATTAGTGAAGCTGTAGATTTCATCCTGAAATGTTTGCTGAACATTGAGAAATGCAGAACATAAAAATTTTAGAACATAGAATATATAGATTTTCAATCAGTGGTTAAACGGAGCAAAAAATGGCTTGTAAATTTTAAAAACAAAACTGCTATTATTTAATTACCATAGAGAACATTTTTTGCTTTCCATCAGCATAGCTGATGCTAAACTCCAGGAGAGTAACACTTTGTGCCTTCTTGGGCTCAGATTTTCCATGGTGGAGTGATTATATTGAATCAATTGCTAGGCCTACTGCTTGAAATTTGGTTCACTGTGGCAAGCCAGACAAGCAGGAGCATCAAACAAGATATGGCAGCAATATTCAATGCACATTTGAATGGTAGATTTATAAATGTGCAAGATGGACAATCCATCTGATACATTTATAAATCTACCATTCAAATGTGCATTGAATATTGCTGCCATATCTTGTTTGATGCTCCTGCTATATATCTCAAGATTCTTGGCAAAAACCAAAGAAGGGTCTGTAATATTATTAGTCCTAACCTGGCATCTTGTCTTCAGTTACTTTCTTACCACCATGATGTAATTTCCCTCTGTCTTTTCTATAAATATTTTCATGACAATTATTCTAATGGGCTTTCCTCCTTGGTACCTTGACTGCATGAATTTAAGACTACTAGTAGATTAGCAACTCTGTCTCACCATTTTTCTGTTCAATTAACCAGTTGTAAGGGTAAGTTCTATTCTAATAGTTTCTTTTCTTGCATTTCACACCTGTGGAACTCTCTTCTGGTTTCTTGCTTCCCTGTTACCTATGATCTACAAAAATGTAAATGCAAGGACAATCACCATCTTCTGTCTTCCTAAATCCAGTTCATTTATTGTCTTTTCTCCTCACTAAAGTCCTCTTATTCTCTTTCACTCCCATTAACTCTTTTTGTTTTAGTGGCTGCATTGCCTTGCATGGGGTGACTTGATTAAAATATATATATATATATATATATAACATCAAGAAAGTGGTGTTCTGCAACATTAACACTTTTATATTCATGCTACAGTAAGAACTTTGGATAAAGCTTCCCTACAAATATTTTGATATTTGAGTGTTAATAAATGTATTTGTATAACCAAAATTTGTTTTAATTATAAGGTCATGAATAAATATGTAAGAATGAAAACTAATCTTATCTACTGTGATAGAGTTGCCAGTTTCAAAATATACATAAAAAATTATACAAAATGCTTAGTAATTTTATTGCTAAGAATAGCATATTTTTCTCTGTAAGATGATAGGATAAGTACAAAGTTTAATTTAGTGAGTAAAATATTAAATTTAGTTATTTTTAAATTAAGTCATCTCAGGAATTATTACCCATTTCATAATAGCTCTGAAATTCACCTCAATTGTATGCTGTACTTTCATTAAGAATGTGTGTAATATAATGAACATAAAGGATAGAACTGGTGAACTGCACTCAAATTCTGGATGAGTCTATTATACTCACTTTTGCACAAATTTTCTTGAGAAAGCCATGATTCATGTTTTCCCAAATGTATTTGCATATAAGTGAATATAAGACTGGAACTCAGCTTCTCCGATTAACAATTCCAAGCCATTATCTATTATTCCACCTGTACATCCAAGCTTACAGCACCTATTCTCAAGTGGTCACTGTCATATAGGACATAAATGAATGGAATTATCCCTTTATATAAATAAGTGGCATTAAGCAGAGTTGAGTTAGCATTAAGTCAATTTCTATGTTTACCTTCATGTAGTAAACCTTCTATTTCATTACTTACCTACAAGTTTGTCTTCCTTATTTATTTTCCTCTGTTTTCTTGAAAACACAAGATATAACAGTCACCCATCTAGGTACTGACCAGGTGCAATGTTGCTTAACTTCGGTGATCATACATGAACCGGTGTTTCAATGCTATATGGTCATAAGCAGGAAAGGCATGTAGCCATCTTTTTTTCTCTTCACCTATGGATTTGGCCCCAGCAGAAGTGAACAAAAACTTGGAAAGGGAAATAACTGAAACTCGGATATCCCAAAAAGGAATGAATAAAGGATTTGGTTAGAAATTACAATATATATCACCTGAAGAAGGCTGGAGCATAATGAATATGACAATAAAAATGAGCACAACAATCTGAACAATGCAAATAGTGCAAATATGAATTAATCTTTCTTAAAATATTTATATCTAATTGTAATGAATACCAACATTACTATTGTAAAAGGAAAGAATTTTGATTTTTTGCAGTTAGGGAAACTTTAATAAATTTATTATTTCTAGTTAGATACTCATGAGAAATTATTGATGCCAATGTTTCTTCTGCATTTCACATATTACAAGTACATTCAAGTATTAAATAAAAGTATTTTACTATATGAAACTTATATAACAATATGTTTACTTGCTAAAAAAGGCATCTTATAATCTATAATGTAATATAAAACACAAAGAGAATTTATATATTTTTTTGGTCATGCTCCCCCTCTATTTCAGATAATAAGATATTTCATTGTCATGCTAAAATCGGCCAAACTTAGATTGGTAATACATTGTTTTTTTATTTATTTTATTTCATATTAGCTTTCTTTGGATATTTTTACTCTTATTGATTTGAAAAGAAGAATTTTTTAGATTATAAAATGTCATGTGACAATATAATTATTTGTAGGGATATAAATTCTAGATTATTCATGCAGATATTAGATTCAAAATTAATTTTATAAGACATTCTCAAATGAGTTTTGATAATAGTACTGTTGTAATTATCAGTGATACAATTGTCTGCTACCATGTCATTTGTTGAACTGGCAACAGAAAGAAAAGTGATATGCAAAAGACTGAATTATAGAAAGTGACAGTGAAAGAGGAGAAAGAAAAAGGGGAAAAAGTGTGAGAGAGAGAGAGAGCAAAATTATATAGTGTAATCTCACATATACACTATAATAGATTTTATTTTGCAAGTCAATGTTCTCACAATGATGTTGATAATTTTTCAAGATATATTTATATGAAAACTTTTTCTGAATATACGTATATAAAAAAACTGAATTTCAGCTTATATTTGTTTTTAGTAGAAATATTTACAATAATTTATTTAACAGTGTGAACTTTCATTATGCATATCAATAGTTATTCATCATTTTGCAAATAAGCATGTAGTGTACTTACTAATGTTTCTTTTTTTAATTTAAACTAAAAAGATAAGATCTTTACAATAGGTGGTTCTTCCATGTCTACCATACTCCCCAGAATTAGCATCCACAGATTTTTATTTGTTTTGATCTCTTGAACATTGTATAAGTAACAGGACATTCAGAAACAATGAAGAAGTTGAATTGGTTGTTTAGTTGCTTTGTTTCATGGCATATCAACCTCAGTGGCTCATTTAATGCCAACAAAATTTTTGAAATAGATTCATAGTGATAGTTTGGTAAAAAAAGGTGTGTATGTATACTTATATATTTGAACCATTTTTCAATTACTCATATTTTTGAGTACAATCACATGTACTGCTGGTAATATTTTTCTTTTCTTTTTTTCAAAAACATATTGCTAGTAATACTTTTTTCAAAAATATATTGCTAGTAATAATTTCTTCAAAAATATATTGCTGGTAATAGTTTTTTTTCTTCAAAAATTTATTTCTGGTAATAATTTTTTACAAAGTATTTCTGGTATTAAAACTTATTTTTACACTTTTATAATGCTTTTTACCTCAGTTTCAAGGTTAACTATTTGTCAATAGCTGGGACCCTAACAGATGCTACCACCCTATGTAGTTTATCGTCATACCCAGGATGCCCCATTGGGGAGGGGGTCTTACCCCTCTGCAGAGATGCAGTGGGCATATTCTACAGCTCCAGCCGAAAGGGTGAGTCAAGAAGACAGCTTTGCAAGAAGACAGCTTTCAAGTATTAACTTCAGGTCCTAGGACGCTCCTCATTCATACAGTTTGTGGGTTAACTATTTTCCCATAACTGGGAGCCGAACAGGTGCTACCACCACAGGTCAGGGTGGGCCTGGGAATAGCATCATTTAAGAGATGATTCCACACTCCTCAAAACCTCCTGATCAGATGGATGTAGTTTATCGTCTTACCCAGGACATGGATGTAGTTTATCGTCTTACCCAAGATGCACCATTGGGGGGGGGTACCTCTCTGCAGAGATGCAGTCGGCATTGAAAATGAAGGCAGTTACATTTTTGATAAATAATATTTTAATAAATTTAACTTTAATTTTTATTTAATATTTTAATTAATGACTTTCTGAACACCCTAATACTATACTATTCAAGGCTATCCAGTGTGCACAGATACTCTGATTCTTGGCAGAAGTGTCAAGCTATATGTAAATAAGTCTATTCATTTTGATGGATTCTATACTAGTATTCTACAACTTCCAATTTTGAATTTGTACTCCCCACATTATTTAAAACATACTCACTATTTATGAACTATTACTTTAATGTACTTGTTCATCCATGGCATTATAGGAGATGGTTGTGCTGGGGCTTCAACCCCTAGACCATTTTGTTGAAACTGAAAACTAAACAGAAGATTAAATTTGTCTTCTTCATCTCAATCTAAGATAATGCTACTGAAGTGAGCTGTATCATTTGTCTAAAATCATTTCTGCTACTAATATTCAAAATAAACCAAAAAATTTCATTTAACTTTTTTTTCTAACATATAACTTCTAAAACTTTTATATAAATATATCTATCTCATTATAGAAAATAAGTACAATTAAAAAGCAAAAAAGCAGTGTATTAAAATAAAAAAAATTACAGTAGGATAATATACCTAAAAAAAAATGTTCATTTTATAAAAGGATTAGATAAAAAAATATAGAACCATTAATCTTTAAAACTTACTGTTTGATTTAACTCCCCATAACTTTTAACATATGATTTAGCAGCCCCACTTTTTAATTTATGGTGGCCTCCTTCTTGTTTTGTGATTATTACAGATTTGTGTTTGGTTTTCTCTACTTTATACTATTTTTTTTTTCCCAGGAGATTAGCAGAAACATCATCAGCCAGTGATTCAGTTTCTTTGATCAAAGTCCTCATCAATATGTACTGGAAGGAAATAATGATCACTTTTAGTTTGAGACTTTGCTATGACATTCTGATATTTTTAAACCCAGTTCTACTGAAGTGAGTATTTTTTAAGATAATTTACAGTTGGTCATTTACCAAAGATTCAAATTGTTATCCATAACTTAGATCATAAAAAAATTACTTTTTTTTACCATCATCCACTTCATAGTAGTCTCCTTGGGCATGTATCACAAAAAAGGTTGTCAAGTAATTAAAAACAAATTATAATTTAAATAAAAACAAAGATATTCGGTATAAAAATAATCAGTATATTCTAAAAATATTTTACATATGTTCATCTTAGAAAAACAGTAAAAGAATATGTAATAAAATTGCCTTCAGCCTTTGATATGCCTTTGGAAAAGATTTAATTCCCAGATCAAGTGGTTCTTATTCATGTTGTCCATTATGTCCATGATGGCAGCCATCATTAAGTCATAAGTCTCCCTTGCAATGATATTTGAGAAGAAATAGTCTATGTGATTCAAATTAGGAGGTTATAGAGGTCACATATTACAGCGCATATGATTGTGAAAATTCTTGGCCAATCACTTTTGGGTCATATGAGTTCTATAGGAGGCAGCAACTGGAACATATACACCCAGTCATCCTTTTGATCTAATACTTTGCTGGCACTGATTCTGAGGCTCTATGGAAAGAAAAAATATGGCATGACATAAACATCATAGTTTACAACACCCAGACTCATCACAGATAATGTGAATTTAGTGTCCATCATTGACAATATCACCATGAGGTCTGCACAGAGTTGCTTCTCCTGTGCAGCTGACTAATTTCAAGACATTAGTCATCTCTGAGTTAGCAACTAGTACCATGAGGATGCTATACATTTTCATTTCCTGTATCAGATTGGAAGCTGCCAGTTAAAGTTCACCCATTCACCATGATTGTTTCAGTTGTTATGAGTGGTCTACTCAAAAGCAAATGTGGTGGCTCATAAATTCATCTTTTTTTCATGTTTTTGTAGTAAATGTAATTCTATCTTGTTTCATTAAACAAGAATTCTAATTACACTATTAGATAATGTTATGGGTTATTTGTACTAATTCTTTCATCAACAATAATCTCTTAGTTGCCTAATTATAAAGATAAATGTTGTTTGTTTTAGCAATGACATGAACAGCATGTCTTTGATAAAATGTTCTGCATTTTCAGAGAAATTCTTTAGATTTTTTGTAGAAAATTCTCAAAGTTCTTATGATAAAGAGACAACTTGAAAGTCATGTATGTGAAAGAGGGTGACATAAGTCCTTGAAGCTATGTCTATCTACCCAATGAAGCAAGATTTTACACTCTTTTATTTTCTTGGAGTGACTCTTTAAGAAAGTTTTATCAAGATTCAAGTCTTTCATGTTCTTTTATTTGTGGAAATGTAAAACAGTAAAATATAAATGGATATAAATTTACATTTGCTTATCATACTGTCCACTGGAAATACAAACCTGAATTCATTTTATTACATAGAGGACTGCATGCTTATCTGAAGATACAAGAATCTACTAGTCTCCGCGTATTCCTACAACGAACTGCTTTCCATCGGAATCAAATTTTATAAAATTTTAAGAATACGTTTTGAAAGCGTCGCCCATTTGACGACAACGTGACCATGCTCAAATGGAAAGCTGATCATTTAAAATTTTCTTTCATCTGTTTTGGATAAGACTTGTTTTTATGTCCATCGTTTTCGTCGAGTTATCCTGATTATGTTAATTGTATTGTATATTTTTAATGAATATTGTCCTGAAGAAGGTTATTAAACCGAAACGTCAGACGTCGACATTTCATTCATATTAAAACAACATAATCACATTCTAAGGATTTTTGTTTGTTTTTCCAGATATTTTCTTCATTCTGTCGGATTTATATCCATTTATATTTGCTTATCATATATATATATATATAGTGGGGGGAAACAAATATTCGTACACATACAAATTTTTAATTTATTGTATTTCCAACTAATGAATAAACATACTTTTCATATAATTAACTGCACACAGATGCATAATAACTAAATATGCATAGAAAACAAAAAAATTTGATTTAATAGAAATAAATCCCATTTATCCATTTTAATGGGTTAAAAAAGTATTCATACAATGCAAATTTCAGATTTTAAAACTTTTAAATTGCTTTAATAGAATAGATTATTCAAGTGGAATATTCTAGAATGTTCTAATAATGTTATCAGTAGTTATTTTTAGTCCAAAAAATACAAACAGAATATTCTATAATTGATATTTGTGCAAGGTTTTCATCATGGTAAGAAGTAAAGAAATGACAAATTCGCAAAAAGAACTGATTGTTAAGCTCTGGAAAGAAGGTAAAAGTTACAGGAAAATTCAGACAACTCAAATATTCCATTTACTACTATTAGTTCTGTTATAAAATAAAATAAGACATATCTCGGCTGATTTACAGGCATATACGCAAGAGTGAGAGCCGGATGTGAACGGGACAAAACCCCGTCACAAAATGACCATTATCTTCATTTACAAATGTCCCCGACACTCGAGTTCCGGTTGAAAAATAAAATAACATTTAAAGTGTTCTATTTTTCGTCCAATAAAAATGCTTCCCTCCTAATTATACTCGCTTCGTTTTTCGAGTCTGTTAAGCCATAAAACAACGCTATAAAAGGGGTCAAACGAAAGTTCAACTGGCAGTCCACAGGTGCCCAGGCTAGAGACCTGTCACGTTCAGCTGCTGACAGCAGGGGAGCATCAACCACCGTCAACATGTGTGAACTACTATGAGATCGACCTAGATTCGAAGCCAGCTTATGAACTTTACCGCAAGGTAGCTGTCTCAAACCCACACGTTCCTGTTGAAGTAAACCACGTAAATCTATTTCTGCTGTTGTCATATTTCTTTCTTGCAACCATATACTTATCTATAACAGTTCATTCATTGCAAGGTACAAAAAACTCAAAACTGTTGAAAACCAAAGAAGAACTGGTGCTCCACAGAAGATTTCTGCAAGATCTTCACAGAAATTAACATGTCAAATTAAACAAAATTCAATAGTTACTTGTCAAGAAGTGCAGGATGATTTGCTTTCATCAGGAATCTGTATCACTAAATGGATAATAAGCAATGAAATTCATAGGAACAATCTAAAGTCATGCTCCCCTCCTAAAATTTATCTGCCTTTATAGAACTGGTTCCTGAAAATTTGGCATGACATTATTGTGTGTGTGTGTGTGTGAGAGAGAGAAAGAGAAAAGCGAGGTTTACATTCATGCAGATGTGAGTTTAAAGATATTAAAATATTTTTTTAATAATCAAAATTATATTATTAGAAAATAAACAAAAATGCATAGGATAATCATTAGCAATGTTAGTCTGATTATATTACTCGTGAGTTGAATCCTCATTGGGTGCCCCATTACAAAATTTAACATTAAATATCCCAACAAGAATTGAAATGTTATAAAATCATCCAACTAACCAACATCAAAACAAAAATGATTTTTATTTTTTCCTATTGAATTCATGTCAGAAAAAGTAAAGCATGCAAAAACAATTTATTTCATAAGTGAATTACAATTAGTTTCCTTTCCAAGGCAAATATGTGAGTTAAATGAAAGAGTTTACTCTGATGGCATATGTCAATACTTAGTAAAGGTTGAAATGATTATAGTCAGTCATCACCTGACACAGAGAGGAGAATTTCTACGTCACAGACTAGAAGACAAATCAATAGTATCATTGGTGAATTTGTTAGTAGAAATCTGTTAATAAATTTCAAACAAGTTACTGTTATTTGTGATTTGCAGTAAACTGTTCAAGTAAAACTGGCCATCAAGGAAAGGAATAAAAGAAAATATAGAATTGTATTCATTCATCTGGGGTAGTAAAAAAGATGATTAAAATATTGCAATATCTACTTCTTTAAAGTATGGCTGGCTGCTCATATTCGAGTATGCCAGTCTGCTAGGGTGGCTAATTAATCCTTTTGCAGATACCTGCTCATGTACATTTGTGTTTGTTCAACACCCACAGAAACCACCTTTGGTTTATACTGCAACTATGCTGAGCAGGTATTAGTTACAGTTTCTGAGAGAGAGAGAGAGAGAGAGAGAGAGCATATAATCTGGTGTGATCAACAGATTGAATAATGTTAGCACATTGATCATGATGACTTGTGATTTTGTGCTTGTACAAACATTGACAACTTATGAACAGTTCTATCTACCCAGTTTCACTTACAAGGTCTAGGTCAAGCTGTAGTATGTTTTCCACACACTTACTAACATTGTTGTGTATGTAAAACAAGGGCAGTACATCAGACTGTAGTCTTTACTTAAAAAAGGCAGGATGTTATATTATTGTTTAATGTACACTCCCTTTGCATTACAGTTTAATGTATGCTCCCTAATCAACATTAATGAACATGGATCATGCTTCATGATATGTCCCTTTTTTCCCTAACTCCTTTCTCTTCCTCTTTCTTCTGGTACCTATTAAATGCTGGTCACATTTCATGTTGGCTCTCTCTCAAACTTGAGTCTGTCCTATTTTTCATGACTTAATTTAACAGTTGGATCATCTCTCCATGTTGATATTCACCTCCTTGACAAATCAACAATGCTGAGATTTGAACTCAGGTATCATAGTCAGAATGCTAATATTCTAACCACTTAGCCATCATCCACTTCTTTATATAGTGTTCTAAATGAACAAAGTATAAGATACATTGAAAAATGTAGTGTATATTTGTTTGCATGTGGATTATAAAGAGATTATTTTACAGGAAAAATTATGGTTACAATTTTGGTTTTGTCATGTAAATCTTTATTTTCTATTAAATAGCATTTTCATGACATATCTTAGAAGTGATTCTGGCGATAAGGATAAAAAATCTGGATTTGTATACAGTTTCCTCTTTTTCATCACCAATGTTGTTTTGGTTTTACTGGACCAAGCAATCTTTGCAAAAGGTTGGAAAACTGGCACCAGTGTATCTTCCACATTAATGACTATCATCTATGACAAGGTAAGTGTTGATATTTGAGTTTAAGAATTATTTTTTTTTTTTTTACAATATTACAGGAACTGATCTTTATCTACTGTTGCAGTTGTTCTCTTTAAACTACATTATGTCAAATTTTATTATATTAGTTAATGTTTTCACAATGAAATTTGTATTAAACAAAGTATTGTTAAAGTTTTCAGACTATACTTATATATGTATTTATGTGAAATTTTATGTGAATGTCAGCTTATATCAGCATATGCCACAATGGGTGCTTTCCTTAATGCTATATTCTTAACCTATTTGAGTCAATTGTTATCTATCTTCCTTATCTTTATAATCTTCACCTTCTACCACCTACTCTTTTATTCATATCACATGTCTCATTCATCATAACCACTTTACCAGTAGCCATCTAGCCTTGTATTGGCTGAACATTTGTTGTATTATATGCAATCTGTGATAACCTAAGTAAGGTATCAAATGGTCAACTGGATTTATTTGAAACTATTAAAGCTAACATCAATTTTAACCAACTTTCTTGAAACCATCACTTTATATGTACACCTATGGGTACAAAATATCAACAAGCCCATGTTAACATGTAAGATAACAGAATAATAATTTATTCAGGTATAGTGGATATTATGTGAAACAAATATAGAAAGAATCATAGATAATATGTGTTCCTCAACAGGATGCATAAAATGCTTGGGGTGAATTGATTAAAAAAATGGCTTAAAAAATATTCTTAATTTTACACCTTAAGTCACCATTGGATATAACAAATTAAATCTATAAATGTTTTGATAATTAAGTAACTTACAACCTCTCAAATTTAAAATATACTCCAACTCTTTCATATTTTAGATAATTGTCCTGTAGTTATAGAATAAAGAGAGCACTATAAAGCAAGTAAAAAATCTGAGCTAATGAATATTCAGTAAAACATAAAAAGGTTTTAAAAATATTATCATTCAAGAGTTATAGGTGAGGTGGGAAATCAAGAAAATTATAAAGTGTTTATAGGCAAGATGAAAAATCAAGATGACATGCAAAACATTTTGACCCCTTGATAAATTAATTACTTTTGTTAATTTTACCCCCCACCCCCTATCAAGGGTGATTAACAGTCTGCTTTTCTCAGTATGTTTTATGATCTTTAATGAACAGAAAACAAGTTACTGCATTTTTGTTAATACTATATGGTGGATAATAGAGCATCATAAGCATAATGGAGTTGAAAAAAGGCCAGGCAAAAATACTGAGCCACCAGTGAAAAATTCATATTTTAACTCTTTACTTAAGCTAAAAAGAAATTTTTTTGCAAAAAATGATCTTTATTATTATGGAAAGAATAGCACTTCCGGAAGTTAGCAACAGCCATTTTGATAGAAGACAAAAAGTGTTCTCTCAGATGATTAAAAGAAAAGAGGTTTTTTTTGGAGGTGTTAAAATTAACAAGTTATTCCTTGTTCCAGTTAACAACAGATTGTAGATCATTTTGAGATCAGTGGCCAGTTTGATCTTGTTGCAGAGGTGCTGGTGGGGTGTTTAAGTTGGAAAACATGTGTAACCTGGTGTATTTATCCCACAACAATAATTACAAACTTGGAATGTGAGTCCGAGTAATAAAATGAGAAAGTAATAAAAAATTATATATATAAAACAAACAATAATGTATGTATTAACAAAACAAGGGTATACATAGACAATAAAATATTGTTGTGTGTTACAGAACAATGAACATGAATGAAGAAAACATTTAAACTAGTGAATTGTTTGCGTATGTAAAATGTCTGTAGAAGTCTTAGAGAAAGGTGTTACATTGAAGAAAGTGAATGAAAAGGTGCTGGTGTATATTTTCTCCACATTGGACCTACATCTTACTGACCCCTGGGCAAAATGGAAGAAAGAGAATGACTGAGAATGTTACAATGGCATTTTTTAGGGAAGTAAGTGAGGTAACTCCACAATCTTATTGAATTATTCAGACATCAGCTTAGATACAGAGTTGAGAACTGATGACCATAGGAGGTTGAAAATTAGAAACAATGTAGGTCTAAGGATAGAGCCCTGAAGGACACTTGTTTTAAAGCAAAAAGATCTAGAATAGTGGCTATTCAATATAGCTTTCATTTTGTGATTTGATAAGAAAGATTGAATAAGTTCAAAAATTTGTCCAGAAATATCATAACCTTTCAAGTTGACTAGCATGCCAAACTCTGTCAAATGTCTTCAAGATATCCAAAGAAACAACCCAAGTTTCCCCATTCTTATCTAAAGACTCTTTCAGCAATAATCGTTAATACATCAGCAGTTGACCTAGAGAAGCAAAAGCCATATTTCTTAGCTGAAAGAACACCCTGTGAGGTAAGATGCTTAACCAATTCAAAGTTGATTAGAGCCTCTAGTACTTTGCCAAAAAGAGGTAAAAGGCTAATATAGGCTGAAAGAAGGATTAAATGGTTTGTCTGAGTTCTTAAAAATTGGAACAACAGAAGATAATTTCCGACAAGCAGGAAAGCAAGAAACATTTATTATAAATTTTAGAGAGAACAAGAGCCAGTTTAGAAGCATGTTTCTTAAGGGCTATTGCAGAGATACTATCAATTCCACATACTTTTTGGGGATCCAGTTTAGAGATGATAGCAGAAACAATGGATGGAGTTATATGCATATCACTCAATAGAGACTTAATTCTTAGTGGAAAGTCAGGCAAAGATACTCTAAATGAGTCAAGGGAATTTATGAGCAAGACATTTTGCTTTATCAGTAGAAGATGTTAAAACCTCAAATTGAGTGAAGAGAGGGGGAATAAAAGACTTACTCTTATTTAAGACACTATTACATAGCCAACAATAGTCACAAGAACCAAACTTGTTAGAGGCTATATGGTGCCTCATTCTATCAGCAAACAAAAATTTAACCTCTTTGAGAACACATTTACAATTATTATGAGCAGACACAAAAAGGAATCTGTTGTGATCAAAACTATCATGCTGGTACACTAAGAAAAAGTGATTCCTATAGGCTATAGTGCTGAACAGGCTGAAGTGAATAAAAAAATATTGTGGTTTCACCTGGTGTTTCGAAGAAGTTACATTGATACCAGCTTTAACCAAGGAGAAAACTCTGTGGTACAATTCTCAATAGGTGGGTTTAAGAATATCAATCCAAGGGGCATCTTGAAGAAAATCATGAAATTAATCCCAATCAGTATGTTGGTAGCAGAAAAAGTCTTGTGAATAGGAGATTCCTGTCTAATAGATAATTAAAAATAAATATCAACAGATACCACAGCATGATCTGAATTCCCAAGAGGACAGAGTTGTGATACTTGACAAGAGCTAGGACAGGAGGTAAGGAACAACTCAAGTAAAGAATCATGTTAATCAGACTTATTAGAGAAACGACTATGGAAATTCACTATTTGACTGAGAGGCTGAGCAATGAAATAAATAAAATTCTGAATACTAGCAACATCAGTAACATTAGAATGATTAAGTCATTTGGTGTGGTGGGCTTTAAAATCACCAAATACAAAAATGTTTGCAAATGAATTTAGAGATAGTCATTTCTATATTATCAGATATTTTGTCTAACATGTTAGAGTCCCTGGACAAATGAGAGTGATAAAGGAAAAAAAGGTAGTTGAATTCTGGTTGAATGTGATATCAACAAAATGGGGTCACAGTAATGATGACAAGGGAGGCCTGAAGCTGGATAGTGAAGACACTGAGGTGTTAGAAATCATGGTGGTGGTGGTGTTGGGAACCCAGCAGTGTTGAAGCTGGCCTGTCAGCTGCATTCTGCATGTGAAGAGTCAGGTGAGATTAGTGAAGCTTGGGTGAAGTCATGGTTTTGATGAGAGAAGCAATCAGGGTGGTGACATCACTTCTCTGTATTGGCGGGTGATCTTTTGGTCCGCAACTGTGTCAGTTGTTTAAAGGAGGCTTTCTTTTAAGCAAATTTAGTGGCCCCCAGAATCATCTTTTTTTTTGGTGGGAATGATCATGATTGTCTATTGCATCTTATTGAAGGGATTTGTTTTGTGGATCGGATGTGATGCTTGGAGCCTCTGTGCGGAAAACAACTTTTTTTATTTTGTCTTTTGTTTTCTTGGCGTTCATGTAGTATGAATCAGAAAGACAGCTAATTGCAGTGGAGTATATCATATATAAGACCATTTTTATTATTGTTGTTATTAAAAGTATTTTAATGATAAATAATAGGAGGAAAATTGCTTATACAAAACCACTAATCAAAAATAGACAAAATGAAATAAACATTACAGCTCGAATGCTTTTCTCACAAATTCTTACAAATACAAATTAAAGAATTATTTTCAAATCCTAAAGGTCCAAAGACACTACTGATAAAAGCATACTGCTAAACAATCTTAACTTCTTAATAAATAAAGGTATATACCTTTATTTATCATTTTATGTTGTTGGCCCAAAATTTTTACATGCCAGTGTAGGCAGGAAGGGTAATCAAGAAAATTATAAGCGTTTATTGACAGGATGGAAAATCAAGATGAATATAAGGTATTTTATGCAGGGTGCGATGTATAAATTGTCGCCTAAATTACGTAAAAAATGAAAATAATTTTGACATCTTGTTTTAACATATTTACCAAATTTACACAAAAATATCCTGAAATACTAAAGAGTGAATTTATTATCTGTTTATATCTCTAAGATGAGGAATTATGATTATTTACATTATTCAGATGGTTATTCTCATCTTCATTGCCATATTCACAACGTTTTGACCGTTGTACATTCGGGCCTTCTTCAAGGACACATGACCCAGTGGATAAAGGCATTGGTTAGATCCAGTGACTAGACCCAAAGAGTTGTGAGTTCAATACCAGGCTACAGCAGTGGTAAACCAAAAAACTTGGAGAGTTGGATTAAAGAGAAATAACTGAGACATTCGGAAGAGGCATGGCATGTGGAACTAGAATAATTTACCCCCAGTGGATGAAATAAAGGGTTTGTTTCAAAATTCCAATCACCTGAAGAAGGCCGGAGCACAATGACTGAAACATTGAGAATACGACAATGAAGATGAGCATAACAGTTTGAATAATGTAAATAGTAAATTTATTCTATTTACATTGTTCGGACTATCGTCTTCATCTTTGTTGCCATATTTATTACAGTGTTTTGACTGGAGCGTACAATAGCCGAAACATTGTGATAAATATGACCACCTATTCAGACTGGGGAGTTAGGTGGTCAGATGTAAGGGGTGATGTGGTCACAAAAATTGTCTGACAGCCATGACTGGGTCTTCCAGCAGCCACCCTCTTGACCTTCTCAAGACCCTTGATGTAGGCCTCCGTGTTGAATGTGTGAAGATGAACAGAGTCATAACATTGCCATCACTAGTAATCACTTCAAACACCTTCATAATCACCATTAGACTCATCCATCTCTTCACGAATCCTCTGCACTGTACACATATTGACACCGAAATACTGAAATAATCGTATTGGAGTTTCCGGTGTGTATACCAAGCAGTACAGCATGTTGTTTCAAAATTTCTGGCAGAGTGAATTGCGTCATGGTGCTCTTTTTCTCACAGATGGTGCCCAACTGACTCTACTATACTGTGCAGTTGACAAAATTAAAAACAAACAACATGCATATGCAAAATGAAAAATATAAAATGGCGACAATTTACTCATCGCATCCTGTATATAAATGTATATATTGGTGTTTATGTGCAATATGTGCAGATGTGTATGCAATAAAAATGTTTATTCTATTATTATAACTACCTTAGATGGTCATTTTTTTTTTTTTTTTCTAGCTTCAAAAAATTGGTTTCCAAACTTCTGAAAATGTGGTCATCATTAATCTTTTATCAACTGATGTCACCATATTCCGAGAGATGATTCCTTATTTGTCCATCTTGTGGTCAGGACCTTTCCAAACAGTCATTTGCTTTATAATTTTGTTCTGTTACATTAAACTAGGAGCATTCTTCTGTTTTCTCATTATTCCATTGATATTCCTCTTTTTTGTTATAAGTAAGAAGATTGCAAAAATGCAAAATGAATATAGCAAGATGAGAAGTAACAGGATTCAGTTACTGGAAGAAATGATTGAATACATCAAGGTAATTTTTTATTTTAATTTTGTTTTATATTTGACAGTGGTTATATGTTATCTAGTGTTCAAGAAAGAAAATGACTTTTTCTTATTGTAATGAAATGATCAACTTATTAAAAATTCTTGATAATATTCTTGGTCTGTAATTTGTTTTTGGTTATGTGCTAACATTAGATAACAATGTATTCATTGACTCTTGTTGGCTATATTTGCTATAAGTTGAACTGGTCTATTCATTGGCTTAATGTTTCAATGAGAATCTAAGAAAGCAGATTCTTTCAGAGAAAAATTTTATAGTCCAGATGCATATAACTGAATCAAGGGCAGACAACCAAGTTTTGTAATGCTATACCTACAACAAAAAATGTTAATAATGTAAATAAATGACAGAAAATGAAATTGTAAATGTACTAATTTATAAACTCATTTCTTTTTATATTGCATTTCAGTCTATAAAACTTTTTGCCCAAGAAGATGCTTATATAAAAAAGCTAAATAAGATACGGAACCAAGAAATAAATCATCTCAAGATGAGAGTTTATTATGAAACCTTTATTTCTACATTGGGTGAGATAAGCCCACAGTGGGTAAGTCATCAATATTAATATTGAAGATGCTCTCCATTATTTAATTTGTGCATCATCATCATTAGCATTATTATTTATAAAATTTATATAATGAAACATATCATCCAAATTCTAATGAATAGGGTGTGTTGTGTCCAAAAAAATAAATAAAAAATAATTATAGTGTCAAAAACAATTATAATTGTCATTAATTCACTCATTCTAAACCAATGAGAATTGTTCCCATTTCCCCCCTCTACACACACAAACATGTGACATTCTTACTATCGGACAAGCAGTTTACATGGGCAGGTCATCAATATCTGTACCAACAAAAATTTTGTTTCCTTTTCAGGCCATAATAGTAACATTTATCTCTTAGCACTCAACAAAAATTTGAGGTAAGAAAACCCCAGACACTTTTTGTATTTTCTAACTAAACTATCTGGACATTCATTATACACATTTATTAAAAAAAAAAAATACAAGTATTATATAGGAATAAAGTGATGCTTTGACCACAGATCACCAGAGAGCAAATTTTGAATAAGTAGATCACGTGATGGTAAAGAAAATGTATATATGTTAATTAGCATGGTGTCTAAGTGATCACTATATGGATTACTATTCAGATCATTATTTGGTGGTTACTTTTGGAACGAGTATTATTGGAGCAAGTACTATTAGTGTAAGTGTTATCTGAAGGCATCTGACACTAGTATTGTTCAAGAGCAATACTATAATTGTATCTGTGATTACAAAGTCTCTACTACAACAAGCATTAAGAAAGTGAAAATAAGTATTCATAGATATTACAAAAGTGGCAATGAGTGTTTGTTGACATCACAAAAATAAGAAATACTGTATACATTTTATTTCTTCTTTATCTTATCATTCTCTCGGATTCTGATCCTCATTTGATTGACATTTGACCCCAAACTCATAATTTTACTTAATATTACTCTCATGTCTCCAACCCCACATAACAATCAGATAATAAATAAGACTTGTTTTGTTGTTTCCACATTTTGCCGTTTCTCATTTTTATGAGTATTTTTGTATATTTAAGTGTTAGGCGGTTTATAAGTATTTACAAGTTATAACTGCCTTACAAGTACATAGCAGAATTAAACTGGAAATAGGACAAGAACAGTGCAGTTTCACTAAAGACGTTGGAACAAGGAATGCAATATTTATCCTCAGAATGATATCAGAAGGAGCAATATAAATGCAGAAGGATATATACCTATGTTTTATTGATTATACAAAAGTATTTAATAAGGTATGACACAAAGAACATTTTGAGCTGCTAGGTTAGCTTGATTTATTTGGAAAAGATATTAGAATAATCCAGAACTTATGCTGGGAGCAAACCACCTGCACATGGATAGAAAATGAATTCATTAAATACATAAAAATAGAAAGAAACTTAAAACATGGATGTGTCTTATCACTGGACTTAGACAAATTTTATAGTGAGGCAATCCTGAAAGAATTAGAATTGTTACCAAGATTCATTATTGGCAGACACAATCTTAACAAAATAAAATATGCAGTTGACACAGTGTTGATAGCAGTAACTGCAGGAACTCTTAGAAAAGGTAGTAAAATAAAGTCAGAAGTAGTAAACATCAATTGTAATAAGAGAGAATGTATGGTTGTCAGCAAAAGGAATGGCCCAAGATGTGAGCTATGAATTGGAAACACTAAAATAAGCAAGTACAAATACTTAAATATCTAGGAAGTGTTTTAACAGAAGATGAAAATTGTGACAGTGAAATCTGATGGTGCATTGAAATAGTAAAAGATGCCTTCCAAAAGTTGACACTCACAGGACATATTGAAGTCAAGATGTACAGAGGAAAGCAATGAATAATCTAACTAACAATCTTGTGTAAATAGTTGGCAAAACATAGATGAGGAAATATAACAGATAAACCTTATTAAGAGCTACAAAGGACAGGAAGTTGTGGATGGCCATGCTTGCCTACATCTTGAATGAATTCACTATAGAAGAAGACGACAAAATTGTCTTTTTAATATGTTTTAAAATGAAATATATTTTTCAGAAAAAAACTGTGGCATATTTGGCAAATAGTTGAATTTTAATGCCTTTTTCAATAAAGTTGTTTGTAACTACTAATTTTTTACTTACTTTCAAAACATCCCTCCCTCCACACAAAGTTTGCCAGGAAATTCAAGGTCTGAGCCATTTCTGCAAATGGCTAAACATCAAAAATTTTTTTGTTAGGCCAAGTTGGTACAAAGCAGACCAGTTTTGGCAGAATCCTATTTTGTCCAGAAAATGAACTCAAAGTTCCCATTTGTTTTTCTTTATTGATATTCAGTATTTGCAAAATGTGTGTGTGTGTGTGTGGTGTAATAGTTAGAGAAATTAGTGAGCCAATTTCAAATTCCATCTAAGTTCATGATGTTCACTTTCACACAAATACTCTTGGGAAAGGAATGAATTCATCTCTTCTCTTCCAGCTATGGGTTAAATAGCAGGGTTGACAGGGCTCTTTTACCTTGGGGTTGAAACCAGTCTAAGAGAAAGTAATCTCTGAATTCAAAACTATCTTAAAGAGGGATGGGCTCACTGCTGCTGCTATGGCTGCAATATATATGGTTCCTCTATGACCCTAATGTGTTATAGGATTCATGATAATCTACAAAATATCTTCAAGCAATAGAGGTACAAAATATCAAGATTTAACTAAATAATTTTAGTAATACAAGAATACGAAACATTGATCTAATGATTAGTTTGTTGTTCTAATTGTTGGATTGCCCCCACCTTGTCTTCTGCGGGCTTTTCTAAATGCCTGATAAGTGGCATTGTACAAAGTACTATAAAAGGAAAAAAACTCAATCCCTCTCTTTCACTTTTCTCTCTTCAACTACATAATGGTGTTGTGATAAGCTATGTTTCTAGGAAACTTAACCTCCAGGCATATCACATATAACATAAAGACACTATACTATCTCTTTTTCAGAAAAATTGCATGTGACCACAATACCATTTCCACTACTACTAATTACAAATATTTTTTCTCCTATTCTGTGCTATGTTACTCCTAATTCACTTATTTTGAAGATATCGAAATATCCTATTGAATTACATTACAATTGGAAAGCCCTTTTTATTACATAATGGTTATTTTGCTCAGAAATTTTTTTCACTTAAAATAAGTTTAATCTGTGTTATATCAATTAAAATCTGCATATAAAAAGACATTTTATGACTTATAACAATTAATGTAAGCTTTATTTTATTTTTATTCTCTCCAAATATTCTGTATAGTAATTAAAAACTCCAGTTATATTCTTAAATAGCTTTGTCAGATCAAGACTTTCAGAAATATTTGTTAGTTGCATAAAACCACTTTCTCAGATCAATGGTTAAAAATGACCTTGAGTGAATGAAACCTGTAAATCTTCATGAGGACCATCATTCTTTGAACTTTGTTGACTGGCACTACAGAATTACAGACAAAGAACTGTACCAAATAACAGAAACTACATCATTTGAAAACTTTTCAACAACAGCAACAACAAAAATGGATATCATATCTAACACAAAGAGAAAATAATGATATCAAGATGGTGATGTTCCATACTACTTCAAACAAAATGTTAGGAAGAAAACTTCCATCAATACTGGAAAGAGCTAGTGAACTTGAGAAATCTATTTTGTTGAAAAGTTTTTTTAAGAGAAAGAGTTTATAAATTTCAACTGAAAGTAGCACTGGCTGCTCAGTCAATGAATGCTGAATATTTAATTATAAGGAAACAGTTAATATTACCATTACCAATATAACAACAATTCACTATGTTATTTTTTTCTTTTCAAGATTACACTGCTGATCTTCATCACTTTGAGTTTAATTAATAACATAAATTCCATCACAACAGAACACATATTCATCACTCTAATGGCTCTTAACATCCTTGAAACCAACATGTCCATGTATTCAGACTGCATTTTTGATATAATTAAGGTAAAAATTTTAGACTTTTTTTTCAAAGAACTTTTTTGCTGTCATTAAAATTTATGCATGGTTTGTGCTTCTATGTAGAATAATATAATCATTACAAATGGAGAAAAAATTTTGATTGCACAGAAACTTTGAAATCATCAAAATAAATGGAATAGGAAGTTTTGAAAGAAACTAGAAACCATTCTGTGCACAAGGGTAATATAAGAAAATTGATTAGTAGGACTTGTGGCTGGATACTTTTTCCATATATATATATATATATATATATATTCCTAATACTTTTTATGACTAATTAATAATTCTGAATTAATAGTTAAGAGTTAGTTTGATAATTGACAGAATATATATTTCTATAAATATTTATTAAATACACTAACTAAATTTTCAAATATAAACTTTTTTATACTGACACACACACACACACACACACACATACATAGACACACACATATGTGTGTGCGTAAAAATTTCAGAGAGAGTTTATCTGTAAAAGGACAATATGAATAAAGATAAAAAAAATATTTATCTTAGCCAATGTGTTCTGAGTGACTTTATCAAGGCAAATTGATGAATAAAGATAATGGCAACTGGGGATATAACATAAGTAGGAAATGCTTTTACTGATTACAAAATGTATATATCTTATATATATATATATATATATATATATATATATATATATATATATATATATATAAATGCTTTTACTAATTACAAAATGAAAAGAAAAACCTTATCTTCATTGTTAATTTTCTCCAGCATTTTGTCTTGAATAAATTTTCATGCACTCTACTTATAATATTAATCAACTTTTGTTCAAAACTGATATTAAAAAAATATACATATATGTGCACAGGAAACATTCCTTGTTTAATTAATTATGGAATATGTAATTTATTGAATTTAACTGACCATTTCACATTTTTTTCTTTCAATACTGATATGATAATGAGTTTACACACCCACACACACACACATATATATATATATATATATATATATAAAAGTGAACATAAAGTCAACACATAGAGGCGACAGTCTGTTTCATCCCTATATGCAATAGCATGAAACAAACTGTCGCCTCAGTGTTGACTTTATGTTTACTTTTATATTTACACACGGTCTATCTCTGATATTGAGCACTTTATTCCATAAATATAGCACATCTTAAGTCTATATTTCTTCATATATATATATATATATATATATATATATATATATATCTCTGTGTGTGTGTGTTCTTTAAAAGTTGATTAACTTATAAGAGCAGTCAATATCAGGATAGAATGTTTCTAGATATAAACAGTATAGACATAGAAATGAACACTGTATGGTGACTCAGATTTATATTTTAAGCAATCATTGAACCATGTTTTATTACTTTTTAGAGCCCACACAAAGAGTAGTAACAGTAGCCTTGAGGTGCGAGACTGATAGTCACCATACAATGTGGATTTCTATGTCCACACAGTTTATATCAATCTATATATCTATCTATATGAAATTCATAGTCTAATGATGAAAAACACAGTTATTTTACTCAACAAATATTTGTTTTTCAACAAGATAGACTCAGCAGAATGTTACATGTGTGATAGAATAAGTAAAGATGTAGTGTAACTGTGACAGCCATAGAACATGGACAGGATTTAATGCCATTTGAATATGATATGATTGTTGGTGCCAGAAAGATAGGGCTGTGCATGGCTGAGATGACAACTTATTTTTTCTTAGGCAACAATACTAGGAGTATATAAGGGATATGTGAATTCTGGACAGGCATCAGTGGCACATGATAAAGTAAAACCTCCAGGTTGGATACTAGACATACTATTCATTTTAAAATTATATATATATATATATATATATATATATATATATATATATATATATATATATATATATATAAAATCAAATCTTGACAAAATACAATATTTGTCAAAAAACAGTTAAATCAATGAAAAGCACTCAATACAAATTCAAAAAATTAAAATGTAGAGCAATTTATGAGCAATTTCTACTGCAGTTTCCTCAATTCAGTATCATCGGGTAGTAAGAAGTTACTGCCTAACAATACCAAAATGGTGAAACTGTGGTTTCTCACATATTTGATATCTTATATATATATATATATATATATATATATATATATATTAATTGGCTGTACATACAGGATTCAAACCTTCTTTTCCATCACAAACAAAAGATGCTCTATGGGATTGAGATGCAGTGACTTTAAACAGAAAACCCATTGCTGTGTTGCATAAACCAATATTGCCATATTTGGAACTTGTGACACAGTGTATTGTTCTGTTGGAAGTGACCACCAGAGGATGGGTGCACCATAGTTAAACAAAAAATTTCCATCCACAGAATTCCCATTAACTAGAATTTATTCATTTTCTGAACATTGTCTGTAAATCCTAGATATAGTTATACATAAAAATTCTAATAGATCAACTATTCTTGAAAGCTGTCCATCTGGCACCAATGGCCATGCTGCATTCAAAGGCATTGAAATTACCTTTTTTTTCCATACTGAAGATGGAAATAAATTCAACAGGTCACATTATTGGCTGATTATAAATTTGTATAAAGAAGCATTTGTTAATGCATAAGTGGCCAGTGAGTGTGTATATATATATATATATATATATATATATATATAGGGTGACCCCAAAAAATGGGAACTTTTTAACAATCCAATAAAACCAAGAGTGATGGAAGAAAAATATTTTATTCATAGTAATTGAAACCTTAAAACATGCCATTTAAGAAACAATGATGGAATTTTCATTTTTTAAAAATTACGTCCTGTAGATGGCGTCCTCCTGTATGAATGCATTCTTGAAATCTGCTGTTGAGATTCCTCATTGACTGCTGCAACATCTCAGCTGGGATACTGTGAATTTCATCTTGAATTCTAAATGACGAAATGTTTACTTGCTCAAGGTCACTGTCTCGCAGTGTTGTCACTTGCTCATGTCCCGTTTTTTTACACCCTGTATATATATATATATATATATATATATATATATATATATATATATATATATATATAGAGAGAGAGAGAGAGAGAATGACTGACAAGTCTCTGATTAAGTTTTTTTTTTATTATATTCTTCTTGTATTCATATGAGAGATTTCTTTTTTGGACATAGAGTGGGTAAAAGCTGTCCAAATTTTAATTTTAACAGTTCTTACAGACTATGTCCAAAAAGAAATCTCTTGTAGAATGCAAGAAAAATATAATAAAAAGCTTAATCGCAGTGCCTTGTCAATCCTCAATGAAACTTGTATAAAAGCTTATCCTAATTTAAAATCACACACAAATTGATAACTCAATTGCTAGCTGTATATGTGTTATTATTCTCTTTAATATTTGAATAATGAAATAATTGTAAAATTATCAAATCTTTCTTTTTTAGGCAAAAGAAAGTTACAAAAATATAGTTATGTTTTTGAAGCTTGAAGACAGTAGTTTCAAGCCAGATGATGAAATACGTGATAGTAAGTATTGATTTTTTTTAATATTTCAGTCATAATTGACTGATTAATGTATTTGAAGCATAGTTGCTGTCATGCTTTGAAAATGCATCCGTTTATAAATGCACATTTTTTCTGTAAATTCTAATTATTTCCACAAATATAGTTCAGTAAAACAATCTCTGAAAATTATTAAAGTTAGGAATTCAAAATGATGTGTTCCAACCTGCAAACTCCTATAATGGGAGAGAGCTATGAAAGAAAGGTTTATTCTTCCTTTTGTATTTCCCCCAGTATGGGCATTATCATATCCATAATAATCCATTATAATAACACTATACTTCATGGATACAATGGAAAGACTGAAAGGAAAAGAATATCCATAATAATCCATTATCCATTATAATAACACTGTACTTCATGGATACAATGGAAAGACTGAAAGGAAAAGAAATGACAAACATGCTCTGTTCTCCAAGAAACTGTTATACCACTAAGACATGCACAAAACTGTATATTCATATTTATACACAGTGGTTATCAGCTTTTCTGCTAAGAAATAGCTTTATAGATACAGCAGTACAAAAAGGTGGAATCCCTGGTATGCCTGGCTGTGTTGAGTATATAGGAGTTTTGTTTCGTTTAATAAGGGATGCAAGGAGGAATAAAGGAAACCTGGCTGTTGCATGGTTGGATTTGGCCAATGCTTATGGGTCCATACCACATAAACTTGTGGAAAAAGCTTTAGTTAGACATTACGTTCGATGTAGTATCCACAAGCTTATCCTGGATTATTACAGCCAATTCCATCTAAGAGTTTCATCTGGTTTGGTATCTTCAGACTGGCATAGACTCAAGAGAGGAATTATTACAGGCTGTACATTGTCAGCCACATTTTTTGCTCTCGCGATGAATATGCTCATGAAGTCTGCTGAGGTGGAATGCTGTGGCCCCGTTTCCAATACCGGAGTTAGGCAACCACCCATCCGGGCTTACATGGACGATCTTACAGTCATCACACATTCTGTTACAGGCTGTAGATGGCTGTTACATGGTTTAGAGAAACTGATTGAGTGGGCAAGAATGAATTTTAAGCCAAACAAATATAGATCAGTGGTAATAAAAAAGGGCCGGATGGTAAAATACTATTTCACAATGGAAGGGAGAGCCATCCCGACGTTGGCCGATAAGCCTGTTAAAAGTCTAGGGAAGTCTTTTTGTAACGCTCTGAAGGGACACACTAGCTATCAAAGCTATACGCACTGATTTTCACTTGTGGCTGGTGAAAATAGATAAATCCAGTTTGCCAGGGCATTTCTAAGCCTGGCTATACCATCACTTAGTGCAGCCTTATATGGATCATCCAATGCCATCCAGCTGCCATTCAGAGGCCTGGTTGAGGAGTTCATGGTTTCACGGACAAGGGAAACCTACCAGTATAGAAACTCCAGAGATCCCAAAGTACCAGGCACAGGAATTGAGGTCAAGATAGGCAGAAGATGGAGTGCAACTAAGGAACCGGCTATCACAGAAGGGAACCTGAGGATAAAAGCAATAGTGGGTTCAGTCGCACAGGGAAGAGCAGGCCTTGGACTGATTCCTTCCTACAGATTCAGAAAAATCACGAAGGAGCATCAACACCTGATACAGGATGAAGTAAGAGCGGGGATGGAGGAAAAGCGATTGACAAAAATGGCAGGTTATAGCCAGCAGGGTGCGTGGACCAGGTGGGATGGTGTAGATCGGCGAATAGTGTCGTAGTCAGATCTTTGGAATACTGACTTCAGCCGATCTAGATTCCTGGTTCAGATGGTGTACAACATATTACCAAGCACAACCAACCTACACTTATGGGGAAAAATAGATTCACCAAAGTGCCCCTTGTGATCAGGGAGGGGATCACTGCAACACATATTGTGCGGGTGCAGAACTGCTCTGACAGATGGGCGCTATCGGTGGCGTCATGACAAGGTTTTAGCTCATTATTGCTGAAGCTTTGCAAAGCAATAAACTCATCCCAGAAAGAAGAGCTATCTGCTTCGTTAAAGCAGGTTTAAAGCTGAGCAAGAAGGTTGCAGGATCCCATTCACTGTTATCGTCCGTGTTGGATTGGCAGATGCAAGTCGATCTCGAGAAACAATTGAAATTCCCTACACATATATCGTCCTCCAAACTCTGTCCAGACAAAATTATTTATTCAGACACCACTAAATGTATTATTTTGCTGGAGTTAACTGTCCCATGGGAGGAGCATATGCAAGAGAGACTAATGAGAGAAAGTACAGTAAATATGAAGGACTCTTAGAAGAGTGCAGTACTAAAAGATGGCGTACTCATTGTTTCCTGGTCGAGATCGGCTGTAGGGGGTTCGCTGGCCAGTCAATGATACGAGCCCTTACTAGCCTAGGGATAACTGGACAAAAAAGAAGGTGGGTGATTCAAATGATCCTGGAGTCTGTCAAAAAGGCCACCAGGTGGTTGTGGATAAATAGAGCTAATGAGTGGCCCAAAACTACTAAAAATACGAACGTTCTCAGTGTAGATAAACATACGTCGTATATACCACCACTAAATACTTTTAAAGCTTAAAAGTCTATATAGATTTGTATATATGTATGTTAAAATTGTATATATAGATGGTGAGAAGCTTCAGAGAAACAATTTATTCGAGTTGCATGATGACATTTGTTGCATTCAGTTGCATATTCAATGATTTCATTTTTGCATTTTACTGGTCTTTCAAGTAGATTTATTTTATTACAAAAATATTCTTACATGTAATCTTTCCTTTTTGTTACTTGCAATTTTTTTTTGTTTTCGTAATCACCCATTTTTCATTTCTGATTTTTTTTTGTCATATTTACTTGTTTTTTCAATCAGTTTACTTTAAGGATAATTTTTTTTCTGAGTAACTTATTTTAACTAAATTTACATGCTATTTTTCTTTTAAATATTATTCAACATGTAAATATCTTAATTAATTTATTTTAAGCAATTTTGTTTATGTTATTTCTCTTAGTTTTTAAACAAATTTCTTTTAAGGATAATTTTTTGGGGGGAGTAACTTATTTTAACTAAAATTTACATGTTATGATGTTTTCTTTTTTAACTAGTATTTAACATATAAATATCTTGATTAATTTATTTTTAAGCAATTTTAGTTAAATGTTATTTCTCTTAGTTTTTAAATGGAATTTATTAGAGTTTCAATCAATATCTCAAATTATTCATACCGTATTTTAGGAGGGTTTTTTTGTAAATAGTCTAAGTCATTTTAATCACTATTGTATACGTTTTGTTAAGTGTAGTTAAGAAAAAATAGGAATAAAAAGGAAAGTTATAAAAAGAGAAAGACCAAACAAATAAGATATAATAAAGAAGTTAAAAGGGGAGGAAGAGAAAGTCATAAGATGAGCCAATATAATAAATCGTTTTTTATTTTTTTAATTATTTTATATATATATATATATATATATATATATATATATATATATATATTATTGGTTTGTTTTCTTTCTTCTTCCAAAAAACACCCTGTTTTGGCCACATGTAGGAAGGTCAGTACAACCAAGCATATCCAATCTATAACATTGAATAGCCCAAGTGAAGTCTTCATTAGTTGCAGTTTTCTTGGGAAACTTATATAAAGCACGTCCTAAATCTAGTAGCAAATTTTATTCTGGGTGCGGGCCGAATACTGATCATATTCAGTCAGGTTGCCCATTGAAGAAGTTTGTTTATTTAGACCCGAAACTTCTAGTGACATGGGAGCAACAACACTGTCGGCACACCTAGATTCAGCACTTAAAGGTGTATTTTTAACAATACACGTCCCACACAGAGAAAAATATATCATATATATTTATATAGCAAGCAGAGTGAAAAGATAAGGTCTTACATATAATATGGAGATTCTTCTGTATTTCTGGAGAATCCATGTTTAGGACCCCAGATTCAAATAGGCCTGATTCATCTACTATGTCTCAAGTGAGGACATATTACACAAACTGGAAATGGCGAGTCTTGGGTTTTCCCAAATTGAGGACTGTAACCAGGTTTCTTTCTGTATCTCTATATATATTCTCAAAGGGAAATGGTGCTATTGTGCTTCTGTAAATGAAAGACTGATCACTTTCATCACTGTATGAAGTGATGTCACTAGCAGCCATCATGGGACCCATGTGACTTATCTCAGCCAAAGGGAGATAATCACTTTCTGTATCCCTACACCTGTAATAGGATTTTATTCATAAATGTGTTTAAATCCAGATTTCTTTTCTACTAATGTTCATCCAATGCATCAGTCCAAGTGCCATTCAAGGTAGAGGGCTACTGTATGGTGGTGTATAAGTGTAAGAAAAGGTAAGAAATGCATTTCACAACTTTATGTTGTAAAGATAACAATTAACCCTAGAGTTGAAGTGGTCAAGTTTGTAATAATTGGGAAAGTATCCTGTAGGAAGTCTTTTCTGCAAAACGGTAGTTCTTGAAAAGAAGCTGTCTGAGTGGAACTTCCTTCTAACAAGTGGAATACGAAAGGAATGAGGATTATTCGTCCTTGTGTACATGGTATGGTAGGTCCCAGCTGCAAAGGTCAGGGCTGTTAGAACCAATGAATATGGCTTGTAAGAACATTTGTCATGGAAATAATGATAGAGTAACATTTTGTCTGTGGGAAAGAAGGTTTAAGGTATAAAATAATTCATAACCCACAAGGTCACTTAGGTGTTTTTGAATTCTATCAAAACAAGCAAGTAAAGAGTGAACATCTCCAGCCCAGATATGGTAGCAATTTTCCATTTTTGATTTGATTTGACTCTTGTAAAGAGAGAGCATAACAGAGGGTAACCAGATATTTACTGGAACATTACAATGAAGTATTTATTTATGCAATAAATTTTCCCAGAATATTTCCCATTATTTCATATTTTATTTCCTTTTTAAACATAGAATTATTAATGCTTTAAGACAGCTACTCAAGTATTTAAAGTATTTTATGTCCATTTAGTGTTTATTTGGTATTTCCTTCTGTTTACAGAGAAATTACTTTGTATGTGTGCTAGCCTGGATTTACTTGGCAAAGTTGAAAAAGAAAATTCAGGTGGTATGTAAAAACTTGATTTTAATAAAACTAACATATTTTTATAATGAAAACAGATAATCTCCCACTAATCTCATTTACCAAGATCAATTGACAATTTGGTATTGTTCTTTTCATCAGTCTATTAGTTAGTCTGCAGCATCATTTATTGGATGCCATTTCAATTGAAGTCTCTCAGTTTTGAAATCTTCATTTTTATTCTTTTCAGTTAGTTAACTGTTGAAACTTGGATAAGCATGGAATAATAATAATACAACACAAAATGTACGTAAACAAAATGTATTGAAACAAGGAAAAAGGTACACAATATTTACAGTTAGTTTTGGTATATTCTTGGGAAGACTGTTCCTGCAGAATGGGTTGACTAAATCGCAGTCGGGCAGAGTCTCTGGATTCGATCTCTTCTTCCTTATCCTCCGTCTTCCCGGTACCAACCCATATTTATATGGTCGGTACTCCACTTATGTAAATTAGGTGTATCGTACCACAACACCCTCCTCCCAAGCCTTGGAATCCCTTTTGGATTTCAAATTGGCTTCCTATATGGGTTGATGATTATGGCTATTTCTTTGTAGATCCATTTGCCTAGTTTTAATATTTTTTCTGTTTTGGATTCACGTCCAATGGGTCCGTCAAATTCCGTTTCCTACCGGATCTTCTTGGTTCAGGTGTATTCTGTGGAGGTTCTACCTGAAACATATCATACATTATATCAATGGGATCTTCGTCCTCATCCGGTATACACTCTTCTTGCTCTATACCATAATCTTTTTTAAGTTGGTTTTGGTGCCTTTTATGAGTATTCTTCGCCCTTTAATTATGTAAATCAGGTCACCGATTCTCTTGTCCACTATGCCTCGTTCCCAGAACTCAACGTTGTTTTTTATAGCACTTGAAAAACACCTTCTCTCCGGGAGTGTATCTTTTTCTCGCTGTATACATGGTATTTTTTACTCTATTTTTCCTGGCAAAAAGCTTGTCGAGCACTGACTTAACTTTCCTAGCGAACATTAGTTCAGCTGGTGCCATGTTTGAGTGTGTTCTCTGGTTTTGGCGATTCTGTATACTTGTAAGAATTGCTGAAGCGCCTTTTCCGTTGGAACTCCTGAGGCTTTCTTCAGAGCTCGCTTTAAAGTATCGACAAATCTTTCTGCGAGTCCATTAGACCTCGGATGATACGGAGGCGTCGTTATGTGGTTAATTTGATATAACTCACAAAATTCCTTAAATTCTGCAGAAGTGAATTGTGTACCATTGTCATTCACAATACACTCTATTACACCGAACCGTGCAAATAGTTCATGCAAAAAAGTTGTTGTGGTATTGGACGTAGGCTTTTTTACAGTGTAGTACTTCCGGCCATTTTGTAAAACTATCTACCACTATTAAGTAGTAAAAATCTTCTACTGGACCAGCGAAATCAATGTGTAATCTTGTCCACGGATGATCCGTCTTGGGCCATGGTTTGTGTACTATAGGTGGTGCCTTAGCTGCTAACGCACACCCCTTACATCGATGAACCATGTTTTCGATATCCACATCCATTCCTTTCCAATACACAAAGCTTCGCATTAAGCTTTTTGTTCTATTAATACCCGGGTGACCCATATGAAAGTGCCGAAGTATTCTTTTCTGCAGCTTCTTTGGTATTACTACTCCATCACCTATTGAAAAAATCTCCTGCACTTTTTGGTCATTTGCTACCATTTTGCTTTTAATTCCTAAAAAGAAATCATCGCTTTCAGCTTCTTTTTTAATTTCATTTAGCGTAACCGGTAGCTCTCTTACAATGTTGTTTACCATGCTTTTCACCTCATAATCTGCTCTGATATTTGCAATAATTGATTCTTCGAATCTTTCTTCTTGACTCGGTACTAGTCTTGTTAGACTATCCGCATGAATTATCTTTTTGGATGATAGGTGCTTTATGTGAAAATCATAATTGAGAAGAATGGTTCCCCATCTTAACAGACGATTTGCTGTATAAACGGGTAACCTTTTCTTTGAACCAAAAATAGTGATCAGTGGTTTATGATCCGTTTCAAGGATAAAATGTCTGCCGTGGATGTACCTGTGAAATTTTGTATGGCAAAATGATACTCAGTGCCTCTTTCTCTATCTGAGAGTAACTTCTTTCTCCTGGGAGCAAAGTTCTCGAAGCGTGTGCAATTGGTTTTCTAGAACCATCTGGCATTATGTGTTGAATACACGCTCCTATCCCGTATGAACTAGCGTCACTTGCCACTACAATATCCAGTTTTGGATTGTAATGGGTTAAAAGAGGTCGGACGTAAGCATTTTCTTTATTTCATCAAAGGCTTTCTGACATTTCTACCGTCCATTCCCATGCCTTGTCTTTTTTTAGCAGTTCATTCAACGGAGCTCTTAAATTGTACATTCCTTTAATGAACGCTTGATAATAATTTGCAAGCCCTAGAAAACTTTGTAGCATCGCCTCATTAGTGGGCGTCGGCATGTCTCTAATCGCAATGGACCTTTCCGGATCTGGACATCTGCCATTTTTGTTGATTATGTGCCCTAAATACTTAATTTCCTCCAAACCAAATTCGCACTTTGACTCTTTGACTTTAAATCCAAAGTCCTGAATCTTTTTAAATACTTGATTGAGATGCTCTTGATGTTCGTCGACCGATTTGCTCCTTACTATGATGTCGTCTAAGTAAGCGCACGCAAAGTCTAAATCATTCAGCATGACGTCCATAGCTTGTTGAAAAATGGCAGGTGCCACTTTAATACCAAAAGGAAGCCTGTTGTACTTGAATAACCCTCTATGCGTGTTTATCCCTAGTAACTTCGAACATTCCTCTTCGACGGGAATTTGGAGATAGGCATCTGATAAGTCAATTTTTGAAAATATAACTCCACCATTTAGCTTGTTAAAAATCTCCTCCGGACTCGGTAACGGGTAATGGTAGTCCCAATTACCGAGTTCAACCCTGTCGAAAAATCAATGCAGACTCTGACTTGGTTTGATTTCTTTTTTATGCACACAATCGGCGCAGCCCATGAATTAGATTCTACTTTCGAAATAATTCCCATTTTTTCCAACCTATCAAGTTCTTCGTTAATTTTCTCTACACTTGCGAAAGGCACATTACGTTTCTTTTTAAAAATTGGCATAGTATTTTCCTTTAATTCGAATTTGGCTTCAAACTTGTTACATCTTCCAAGACCAGGTGTGAAAGTTTCCGGAAACTTTTTCTTTAATTCCTCATTAATGTCCTGTCTTGTTTGCGTATTACTTTCTACTTTTCTGCAGAAAGAGTTTAACGGTTTATCCCACAATTCGAAATGTTTCAATAAAATCTGTACCCATCAAGTTTTCCCATTTTTCAGAATGAAAACTTTTTTTTTTTAACTATCCCGTTCAGTTTCATGGGAAGTACAACCTCGCCTTCGAATTTAATTTCCTTTCCAGTCACTGTTCGAGCGCGTTTCGTTGACTTCATTATTGTAGGCCTTTTTAAAATTTTCCATGTTTTATAGTTCATTGTTAAATCTGAACCCGAATCGAGTTGAAATTTGATATTCTTTTTAAATATTTCAGTCGTCACATATTTCCTCAAATCTCTATCTGATTTGATATTTGAATTTGTTTGTCTAATTCGGCTATTGACTTTTTTCGTTTTACAACACGACCCTTTGTGACCATTCTTGTGGCACACGAAACATTTTTATTTCTATATGGGCAATTTAACTCCCAGTGTCTTCCGTTGCACCGTCTACAATTAAATGGCGGAACCATTTTTTTTTTTTCCTCATTTTTTTCATTTAATTTTTCTTGTCTATTTTTAAAATACGCCGAATTTTTAATTCAATTTTTTTTTTTCGGATGGGTAATTTGACTGTTTCTTCACTTTTTAATATAAGCAATACCAGCTTCAATTTTTTGAGACTCTTTCTTTAAACTTACGGCCCGCTGACACTCCTCTGCTAACTTTTGCAGGGTAAGGTTTTGTTCAGATTCGAGTTTAGACAAAACTCTACGTCTTATTTCGGCACTCTTACTGGATACCAGTCCTGAGCAAAAATTAAACACTTGAATTCTTCAACCGTAATCTCTGCCAATCTGAAATTGTCACAATGTCTATTCACTATAGATGCATAAGTTAAGTAATCCTGATCGGATTTAGCGACATTCATGCATAACCATCGCTTATGCCAAAGCGACATATTTGCTCCAAACAACTCCTTTAGCAATTTCACTGTTTCCGAGAATTCCAATTCATTTGTTCTTCTCGGTAGAATAAAATCTACAAATTTGCTATGTTCCGCTGTACCTAGCTTTAGTAATAGACTGACTTTTCTTGAATTCGACCAGTTTTCACAGTCTGTGTGGAAAATATCTTCATATCGTTTAAAGTACGCTTCAAACGTTTTTCCTTCGTCTGACACATAGTTGAAAGTTTCCAACGAATTAAATATGATGTTATTAGAATATGAAGAGTTACTTTCATTTGCCTGATTGCTGTTTAATTTCTCCAATGTTAACTTTTTGAATTTCCAAAACCTTGACATACATTTCTTCCTGTTCCCTTGACGTTGCTGACTCAACTCCTCTTGCCTTTCTTGATAATTCCGCTGTGCTAATTGCTGTTCTCTTTAATAAGGCAAACTGTTCACTTTGTTGTTGCAGACTCAACTGCTGGGATTTGACTAACTCAGCTTGACTCAACTGCTGGGCTTTAAACAATTCAGCTATGACTTTGATAATTCCTCCATCTTTTAGCTGATAGTGTTCATGCAACAAAGAATATACTTTTAAATTGTGTATCCACGAATATACTATAGCAGACAAAAAAAAATCAAACAACTTACGCCATTTTTAATTTTATGTCTTGCTTTATAAAATATTGTTGAGCAACCAAACAAAAAAAATAAACAAATTTTTTGTTTTACAAGTTCGCTTACCTTTCAAAGTCGACACGTTGTATTTGTGCTCCTTTTAATTCCATGCATGTTTTTTAGTCGGCCAGCTTTTTTTTTTTTTTTATTTTTTTAAAATATTTATTTACGCCACCTTCCAGATTTTTCTGAGTGAACGTTCCTTTATGCTTAGTCGTCCTTTAACTATTTTTAACTGTCCAGACTTCAGAATACTTTTCCGTTCCATTAGATGTTCGACTTTTAATTAATGATTTTTTTTTTCCAGCCTGGGTTCTTCCACTTGTCCCAATTGTTGAAGGCTATCAATTATTAATTCTTTTTTTTTTCCGTAACGTAAAGTTCTTTATACCTCGTCGCCATTGTTGAAACTTGGATAAGCATGGAATAATAATAATACAACACAAAATGTACGTAAACAAAATGTATTGAAACAAGGAAAAGGTACACAATATTTACAGTTAGTTTTGGTGTATTCTTGGGAAGACTGTTCCTGCAGAATGGGTTGACTAAATCTCAGTCGGGCAGAGTCTCTGGATTCGATCTCTTCTTCCTTATCCTCCGTCTTCTCGGTACCAACCCATATTTATATGGTCGGTACTCCACTTATGTAAATTAGGTGTATCGTACCACAACATTAACCAACATCATAAAAATAATGTGTACTGGATATCATTTTAAATATACAAACTATTGCTTTACTACAAAGTAAATTAAAACTTAAGTGAAATTAAAAATCAATTAAAAGTGCTGTTTTCTTTCAAAATGCTATCTTTAAAATCTGTATATTTTGGGTTCTGGAGTATCACACCAAAATAAGCAGAGAATTATAGATATATTAAAATGACATTTAAGAAAGAGAAATTTGAGATAGAGAAATGAATATAAAAGATAAAGACCAACTAAGTAAACCATTAGGAAAACATTATGGAAACAGTGAGTATTTAATTGCACACCTACTCAAGTCGAATATAACAATGTTGAGTTTAAAGTGGGTTGGTAGCTCACATGTACATGGACTGGGGACAAAAATTGCTCAAATCTTCTTGGCACCTCCATGCCTTGTGTTCCAGGTAATTTCCTGCCCCCCCCCTCTTCAATGGGAAAGATATTTTAAGGCCCAAGTATTAACTCCTCCCACACCTCAGCAAAAGCAAAAAGAGATATTTGAGCTCTTCCTTTTAGCTGTAATTCCCTAATGCTGTTTGTGAATCTTATAATTGTCATTGGCAGCAGCTTTATCTCATATCCAAGAATTTAATTACTTCTTTGCTGATCATTTGGTGAATGTAGTCATCAACCCCATCTTCATAAAGATGGTGTTGATGACTATATTCACCACCAACATGAAGGTTCGGGACTTGAAGCTTCCAGTTTTACCAAAACCTGTTCCTGTCATCTATTCCCTATCTCTGTTTGGCTTTGCAAAAGTTGGTTGGAGGTGAAAGAAAATCAGAGTAGAAGAAAGTGCTGATGGTATGAATTTGTTTAAGGTGGACCTCAACTTGTCAGGAAGTGACCCACATACTTGATTTCATGACCTTCTTCTGTGACACATGGAATGAGATATGCAGAATCCAGTTATGAAACTGCAACTGACTACCACAGACTGTTATAAATTCAAGTGTTACCTTCTGTAGCATGTCCATCATGAGTAGCCCTCTTCATCTGCTGGTTCAATCATTGAGTTCTGTTGTAATCATCATCCTCTCGTTCCACCATTGGGGTTTGTGGTGTTTAGACTGGGTCTTCGTCTTCAACCAAGAATTTAGAACTCCTGATTTTATCATTTTCAAAGTCATTGGACAACACAAGCTCCTCCACCACAATGAGGAGTGACCATCAAAGGTACACACGTAGAAACATACCTGCATAGACACACATATATATTTTACACTGGATGTCAGAGTAAACAGTTTGTCATCAAATGTTACTTTAATGACAATAATAGAAACAAAACAATAAATAAAAAAAGAATTAAAAGTATAAAATGAGCATCAAATATATGAGAACATTTTTTATTATTTTCATTGTTAAAAATATTTGAAAGATAAATAATAGAGGATGAAATTGACTATTTTGAACCAATAGTAAAAAAGAAAAAAGTAAACAAAACAAAATAATGTTACGACTTGAAACACTTTTCTTATGAATTTGAAAATATGTCCTCATCTATAAAAATGTTACATTACATATTTTACAATCAATAAATAAGAAAAGAATAAAAAAGTAAAATTATTGGCTAATGTTGTTAAAAATGTTTTAATGATAAATGATAGAGAAAGAAATCTATGAAACTGAACCAATAATCAACAATAAACAAAACAAACATTACAATAATAACCTACAGGATTAAAGTGCTGGTTTGTAAATTTGATAAGTTTTTGTTGTTTTTTTTTAATCGTTTCACCCCAAGCAAGGGGATGATGCCACTAGGATGCAAGGGTTTACAGGGATTGAAAGAGAACAAAAAACTTTAGTGAGGAGAGTGAGGAAACGACAATAAAGGAACAGGGTTCAGGAGGACAGAAGATGGCAATTGACATTGCATTTAAATCTCTGAAGATTGTAGGTGACAATGAAGCAAGAAGGGATTTTCACAGCCAAGAAGTGAAAGAAAAGAAAATATTAGAATAGAAAAGATGGTTGCATCTAGCTAGTTCAACAGTAAATTGGTAAGACCTAGTTGTCAATTTAGTAGTATGCTGAAATTCATGCAGTTTAGTCAATAAGGAAAAGAAAGGTCCTTAGACCAGTTGCCATGAAAATATTTACAGAAAAGACAGAGGAAAGCCATTTCATGTCGGTGAGAATTTGACTGAAGGGAAGTCAAGATGCCAGGTCAGGATTGCTTACATTACAGACCTTTCTTTGAATTTTGTTAAGAATCTCAAGATATATAGTAGAAGCACCAGATCAGATATGATGTCAGTATTCAATACATGGATCAATGGTAGATTTATAAATGTGCAAGATGAATTCTGATGAGAAAAATTGTCTGGTATGATAGAGTGATACAATTTTCCTAGTAGTTGACCTAGAAATTGATTCCTGTCAGTGAAAAATGTGAGCCCAAGAAGGTGCAAAATGTTGCTCTCCTGGAGTTTAGCATCAGCCATGATGGTCACAGACAGAAAAGGTTCTCTATGGGGATTAAATAAAAGAAGTTTTGATTTGGAGGCATTAAAATTTACAAGCCATTTCTTGTTCCAGTTTGGAGGTCCTTTTTTGAGAGCAGTTTCCAGATTTATTTTGTTAGATCTGTCAGACTTGTTATGAAGACAGAAGTAAATAATTGTGCTATTAGCATAAATATGTAGTTAGGAACTGATAACTTCAGGAATATTGTTGATGAAGATCAGAAACAGTGTAGGGAGAGCCCTGGGGAGTCCCTGCATTAATATGAAATGATCTAAAAGCATGCCTGTTCAATTACATGATTTGTTAGGAGTGATTGGATTAAGCTAAATATTTGTCCAGAGACACTGTAGCTTGCAGAGAAGGCTAGCATGACAAACTCTGTCAAGCACCTTTGAGATATTGCTGTGGTAAACCCTCCTACAGTAGAATGAACTCTTCCTCCTCTCATAAATCCCTATTGATTGAAGATAGGAGGAACTGAGGATTTGCTTTTGTTCAGCAAAACCTTGCAGAGCTGCCTGTAATCTCTAGAGCCAAACTTGTAAGAATCTCTGGGTTGGGTGTATTATAGACTCAGGACAAACAATAACTAAACAGTACTAAAATAAAACAAGATGGTGTATCCTTAGACATGAACAGTGGAACAAGAACAATCTACTCACATAGATTAAATAAAGGGTTCAGTTTAAAATTCATTGAAGGTTACCTGAACTAACAGACATCTGAAAAAGGCCAGATAGTACAATGGCTGAAATGTGATGATAAAAAGATGATAACATTAGTTCAAATGTTGTATTATTTAATATTGAATTGTTGGATTTTTTAATATTGAATTATGCATGGGGCACACAGTGAGAATCAAGCTGACTATTCAGCAATAATAGTCAACTAGACTAATCTCATTAAGCGTTACCCCAGGCATCTTTTTTCCATTTAACCTGCATATGCATTGATATAGGAAATTATGTAAGGCAGTGACTAAATCTTTGATTTGTGAGAAAGTAAGAGAAAGCATTATTTAATAAGTAACATATTTAATCAAGATGTTTTAGATATTGGTGTTTCCTTATTTGTACTAATACTGTAGTAAATTGCAGGAGAGAATATATAAGTTACTTTTCACTTTTTCTTTTCACCTTGACATAATCAAAAATTGACTAATTTTTTATTTTTAAATTTCTTTTCTTTGTTTAGAGTCAGTACATTCTGTGGTCATTACTAATGCAACATTTAAAGGCCAGTGCCTTAAACGGTGAGTTGTTTTTACCATTTAATAAACATTAGTTTATCCTGTCTATATTTCTAATGAGTTACTATTGGAAGGAAAAAATTAATTTTTCTAATATTGTTCTTATTATGGTTCTGCTATTATAATCAATTAATAAATTAATGTCAATCATGTAACACAACTTTCATAAGTATAAAACATTTATAATAATATATTTGTTCCTATGTAATATGATGTGTAATGATTTCAGCATTTACCAAACTAAATGGTTTCTATTGTCACAGTTTCCTTTGTTAATTCTAGACCTAATAAATAATTTTATTGGTATGCTAAAATGAAATCTGTATGGTTTATTTTGTTAAAATGAAATCTGTATTATTTATTTTAGCACTTAAAAAGATAAGGTTTGAATCTTGTATTTAAGCATAAATTACATTAAGTTGATCAACATATTTTCAGAAAACTTTATTTTTAAATTTTAATAATCCATATCCAAAATACACTGTTTAATTGTGAATTTCTAATGTCTAAATTAAATTAAAAATTACAAAAGTATTAAAACAACAAAATATTTTTTAAATTACATTTTCCATATGTTTTTTCAAATTCAAATTTTAATCTAAATTTTAAATTATTTACTTGTAAACATATGAATGAATGGTTCAACTAAAATACTCTGCATAAAAAAGATAATGAAAACTTATCCAAATTTTCTGATAATATTTTTTATTCTGATTTTAAATCTTTAAAGAGATTGATTTTTTAGACCCATTCAAAGTTTAACTTTTAGACATTATTTAAATTTACTCACCTTTTTTCAGCATCAACTTAAAAATCAAAGTTGGTCAACTTGTAGCAATATGTGGGGATCATACTTCTGGAAAATCTGCACTGCTGTATGCTCTTCTTGGACAAATAAAGAAGGAATCAGGAACAGTATGCAGAGCAGTGAGTTGTTTAACCATTTCATGTTATTTCTTGTCTCATATAGAAATATGAAATTTACTGTACATCTATACATAGTTTATATAACTCACTTGATCTACCATGAGTAAGTGAAAACATTTAATGCTTAAAGAAAAAGAGAAAATCATTTTTTTTTACATTTATGATATATATGAACATTGTAAAAACAGTTATAAAATTATTGTCTATGCCTGTAAAATATCATTTATAAAGGTCTAATAAAAATGCATACAAGAGATTGTTATTACTAAAAACATATTGTTCAACAAAAAACACTGTAAAATAAAGTTAAATGGACATTACAATCAACTGAAAGATACAGATTATAACCAATTGAAAAATATAAATGTTCCTGTCCATCAAGTTTTCTTGCATTTGTTTTTAAAGGGAAAAGTGGCATTCACTCCTCAGGAACCTTGGGTTATCAATGATACAATAAAGATGAATATTTTATTTGGAAAAATATTCCACAAGAGACATTTCCAACAAATTTTGAAGTACTGCTGTCTTGAAGACATAAATGAAGAAACAATTGTTAATGGAAAGGTAAGTGACTCTTACAGGTGATAAGAAACAGTGAAAATTTGGCCTTGTAAAAATATTCAATTTGTTCATAAAGAAAAAGAAGAAAGCAGAAAAAGTGTAAATCTGAAATTGTTAATTCCAGAAATTTTTATTTTTATTTTTTTAGTTCAGTTTATTAATGTGAAGACAGTTTTCATATGACAGCAAATAGACTAGACACAGAAAGATTTCTTAATAATTGTTACTTCTGGCTTCTACTCAGACTATCATACAGACTCTTATTCTCACTGAATACTTTTTATTTATACTTCACTCACTGATGTAATAGTAAACACAAAATGCTTGTGAAGATTTAATAGAAAAGTGTTCAGTTCAATTCTAAAGTGTGATACTTGAAGAGTATAACATTTCTAATAACTTAATAACTATACATGCTTAAAAGCTGAAACTTTGCATATTAATAATGTGATATATGTTTTAAATGCTGCATAATCTTTAACTTCCTCAGTAAATTATAAGTTAATTAAATTTTATTTTAAGTTGGTATTGATTCAGTAGGGATATTGTTTCTTATTAATAATTTTCATTAAGAAATGTATAGTTTTTTTTTTATCTGAAGCTGATTAATTAACAGAATATGCTTTGATAATGTGTCTCCTATAATGTGAATCTGTCCAATTTGTTTGATTTACAAAATCTTAATTTATACAGATTTTTAATTTTTTTTGTTTTGAAGCACTACAATTTCACAATGAATATTCAATGCAGTTTATAACAACCTCAATTTTTCTTTTAGTAAAAACAACTTAAACCACTGAAACCAACTAAATGTTTGAGAAGTAAATTTAATTTTCTTTTACAGATGAACACGATTAAATACTGATAAAAATGAATATCTCATATAATATATTTATATTCAAATTATAAAATTTTCTAATGTTTATATAAATTTCATAGGAATGATATACAGATAACATACTTTGTGTGCCATCTACCAGTGATTCTGAAGATTTTTACCTTGTTAATATCTTTTTTAATGAATAACCTTTTTGACATCCTTACCTTTCCACATCTTCCTTCCAACTGTTAAATTGTTTACGTGTTTGAATTGGGAACTACTAATTGTACTATGGGATTTCTAACTGAGATTTCATTTACATGATTATTACACCAGCCATAATGTAATTACTAAATTTCAGTTCTTTCAAGTATTTAATTATATGTTAGTGAGATTGCTAATTACTTTATCTAAATAGTTGGCCAACATTTTAGTGACAGCTAGACAGTTAAATCTGTCTCATTTGGCTAAGTGCAATCTTTATTAGATCAGTAAAATTGAGTAAAATATTTTGGCAAGCTTGGACCATTATGCTCTCCAAATGTCAAAAGGATAATTTTTCCATTGACACTGTTATTATTTTAACTACTCTCACTCCTCAGCAATGCTTTTTGTTTTAACAGAATTGTAATAAAAGCTAAACATATAATGAAAGTGAATTTTTCTTCTTGAGAATTTACAACAAAAATAATAAACACTATTTATTTATTTATTAGATTGTTTATTTACACTATTTATTTATTATATTGTTTATTGGAATGGTTGGCAAAACATTGGCTAATTGCCAATTTGATTTGAACTTTATAAAATGGTAAATAATAAAGATTTCCTTATAGTTGACTCAGTTTTTTTGCAGGTTCAAAGGTCCAAGTTTTCCAATGTTTTCACACTAGTTTAGTATTAATAAAAAGCCCGTTTCTTGATTTGATAGTAATTAAAATCAAACTGGAAAGTTTTTTTTAACAGAGGACAAGAAGTGCAACCCTGAAATCTGAAGGCACATTGGTATGCCTTCCAAAAATTAAGCAAAGTATTAAGAAACAGCAAAATTTCATTAGAAACAAAGAAAAGAGTACTGAACCATTATGTAATATCAGTATTCCAATATGGCAGTGAATGCTGGATAATCTTCTCATAGATAAAAAAGAGACTTGAAGCAACAGAAATGTGGTTCTACAGAAGGATGCTGAGAATACTATGGACCGAACAATGACAAAGTTTTATAGAAAATGGAAACAAAAAGGAAACTTATACTTAACATCAGGAAGAGAAAGTTGAAATTTCTAGGGCACATAATGAAGAAAGAGGGCTTGGAAATTTTGATACTCACAGAATATATTGAAGGCAAGGGGGATAGAGGAAAACAATGTATAACCTACCTAGTGAGCTTGAGTAAATGGATGGTAGAGCAAGGCTCAGGAGAAATAATAAAAAGACAAAATTTATTTTTTATTAAGGGCTACAAAGGATAGGAAATTGTGGAGAGCTATGAGCACTTATGCCCTGAAGTGGCATAACATATAGAAGAAGAAGAATATAATGTTTAGTTAGTAGACATTATGGGAAAAGAATGAGACTAGTACAAATATATATCAAATATAGCATTTATTGTATTAAGAAACAATGCAAAAGATACAAAGCTTTTACCTGTTTGTGAATGTTTTTTTTTAAGTACAGAACAATGAAAGTTCTGTTTTCATAAGTCTAGCATGTGATATCCAGAAGTGGGAAACAAATGGGCAGGTGTTGCATGTTCACTTGATGGAGGCAAAAAGAGGTCAAGAGCCCTACATCTCTCTCTGAGGCAGCAGGGAGACAGGATGCAATTGGACAGTCCTGCAACTAATCCAGAATTCCCATACATGTAGGGTTCAACAGAGCCCCAAATCCTACTGCTATGTGTGTGTTCTGATCAGTGTGTGAGTGTGTGTTCTGATCAGTGTGTGAGTGTGTGTTCTGATCAGTGTGTGAGTGTGTGTTCTGATCAGTGTGTGAGTGTGTGTTCTGATCAGTGTGTGAGTGTGTGTTCTGATCAGTGTGTGAGTGTGTGTTAAAGTATTTGTATGCATGTATGTTAATTCACTGCACTGCTTGGTATTCTCATTCTTCATTTAATATACTGGAAAGAAAATGCTGTCATCCTAACAAAAATCTAAATTATTAAATCTGGCAAGAAATGAAAAGGACAATTTAACTGGACTGAAGATGTCAGATAAAATGATCTGGTCAGTGCCATGATAAATACATTTTTAATATTAAGAAATTGTTGCTATAGTTAAGATGATTCAGGCAACTTCATCTTATAAAATTATAATTTCTTTGCATACTAATTGTTCTTCCAATGTTTTAAAAGGAAATGACAGTAAAAATTTTAAATTTTAAAGTATATTTTTTATATTTAGGGAAGCAACTTGAGTGGAGGACAACTTTATCGTATAAATTTAGCCCGAGCAGTATATTCTCGACCAGATATTTTCTTGTTGGACAACCCATTATGTGCAATTGATGTTGCTACAGCCAGAAATATTTATGAAAACCTACTGGGTAAAAATGGACTACTCAAAAATATTGTAAGTAATAAACATCTTCAAAGCCATATCAGTATCAATTTTCTCAAATGACATACAAATAAATCATTAATTTAAAATATATGAAATTGCAAACATGATAGTTTCTTTATACTTTGTCTACATTATATAAATTCTAGATTATATGAGATATTTTTATATTATTTAACTCAGTTTACACTGGATCAATGTTTAAAGGTTTTAATATAGTTTTTCCAAATTTTATGTTTCATAATTGTGACTGTATTATCATTAACCATTATCAACAAATTTGAAAATAATGTCAGTTTACAAATGATGATATTATCACCCTAAAAGTATGATTTTCAAAATATTTTCAGTAAGGTATAATTTGAAAACTGTTCCTTTAATAATAATAATAATATATATATATATATATATATATATATATATATATATATATGTGTGTGTGTGTGTGTGTGTGTGTGTGTGTGTGTGTGTGTGTGTGTGTGTGTATATATAAAATTCTTATTAAGCCATTAATACCCACTGTAAAATTTGGTATTAATTATAAAATAAAAACCAATATTAATTATAAGATTTTTTAAAAATCAATTCACCCCAAGCGAGGCAATAATGCCACTAAAACACAAGGGGCTACTGAAAGTCAAAGAGAATGAAGAGAATTTAGAAGGAACTGGAAACTCAATTCCAAACAGGGGACAAGGGATAAACCTCTACTCTTGTTCAAAAGACTGTTTATAAAAATCTGGTATTAATTACAGGCTTCTATCCATAATCCATTAATGGCTAGCATTTAATTTTTGGGACAATATTAATGGATTTCTATATATAATCACTTATGATAGGGTATATATGAACATAACAAGCTAGTCAAAAGTTATATATTATGTGATAGTAATGGGTGGATGATAAGAAACAATAAAGATATTTAATATTTTACTACAATTTGAATGAAATTGGGCCAGTACAGAATCATTTAGTTTTAAGCAGAAATTAATGAATATAAAAAATAACAACAAATCAGATTTAGATTCATCAAGAAATATTGGTTGATTTTTGGCTTGTACACAAAATTTAAACTAAAATTAACAAAATAGCTTTATCAAAACACTTTGTTAAAAATAGAAATGTTCATTTTATATTCAAAATTAAAAAAGATGCTAAACAAAGTAAAAAATAAAGGACTTAATTAGAAATTTATCATATATGAAATAATAAATATCTCCTGGCTACTTTAGATAGTTATGAATATTTAATTCATAACTAGCTAAAGTAGCCATTTACACCTGCTAAAAGTTAAAGAAAGGATTGCAAATTGTTATAACAACAGTAAAATGATTCCTTAATACTGTAATATGGTGTCAAGTTATGCAAAACTCCTAAAATATATCATCCTAGAGCTTTGTGAAAAGTCATTGTCTTTAGACACTGTGAGCTTCTTCAAGCAACATATATACTTTTTATCCATTTAATTTTCATGCAATTCATTGCTTGTTGCTTATTGAAAAGGCCAAAAAATAGATTGCTTATACATTATTATGCTTAAGCAACTAAAAATATCTTATTGTCATTATTCACATTTGTTAAGATTCATTTTTATGAAGATTAAAAAATATATTTAAGGAGGAAACTGTTTAGTGAAATTGTTTCTTCAAAGCACAAATATTTTGACCATGTATAGTGAACAGATAGCCTCTTTCCAGTTGATATACACTGGCATGCAAAAGTTTTGGGCCAACATAAAATGATAATACACATTTATTTTATTAAGAAGATTGTTTAGCAGTATACTTTTATCAATAGTGTCTGTGGACCTTGGGGATTAGAAAATAAGTTGTTGCATTTTTGTAAGTGCTGTGTAACAGAAGATACACCACTTTAAGCAACTTGAAGCTGAAAAAAGGCATGCAAAACTATTTGGTCAATGAAAGATCTGAGATGATAAAATCATGCAAATTTCTAAGTAGAAATTGTTCCATCTTATTAACAGGAATGTAAGGTGCCTTGGCAAATCATTGTAAAAGTTGATAGAAACCTAAATAGTGAAAACTAAATTAGTTGACTATGGTCTAATCTTCAACCAGACTACGAAGATGGAGATTGTGCTCCTTACCACATATCATGTGCAACAAAAAGGTTTCTTGTGGGTAAAGATGTTAAACTTTTGGAAGACTGGCCAACACAAAGTCCTGATCTCAATATAATTAAACCATTGTGTTGGAAACTGTGGAAACAAGTGTTTTCATGAAAACTATGCATTTCCAAGAGCTTTGGGATTACTGCCAAGAAGAATGGGAAAAAATCTGGACATTGTCCCTTTAAATGCCACATCAAATTGAAGCAAATATACAAGCCAACATCAGCAACATTAATTTCTAACACCATACTTTGACATTTTTACATTCTGTAATAAGAAAGATGACTTTATGCAAACAAAAAAATCGTTTTGATTTAAGAAAAGAGCTGAAAGGTGAAATTATTGCTGGTGACCCAGTATTTTTGCATGGCCTTTGTTTTTAGCATAATTGAAATATCTTTTTCTTCTGTTTTTCTTTGCATTCTATTTTGATTGCAAAGAAAGGCAAGACTTTAGAGCTTGTCTATAGGCAAATCTAAAAATGTCTATAAACTGACATGCAAAATTTTGGAGTCACCATGGTAAATTAATTACTTTTGATAATTTTAGCCCAAAATCAAGTGATGAGCAGTATGCTTTTTCTCAATACATCTTTGAGGACCAGAAAACAAGTTACTGTGTTTTCATTAATGCATTATAGTTGATGATACTAGATGACAAGCTCTGAAGTCATCATTCACATGATAAGCTTCACAATTCATTTTTGGCCACTTAGGGTCATTTTAATTAAGTCAAGTTAGAAATCAAAATAATGACTTGATGAAGTTAAAAATAAAAAAATGTTCTTTTTATTATTTGGTATCATTTGGAAAATAATTGATACTACCAGTACCTGTAAAAATTTCAGTTTTTCTATTTGAATCTTTGGATGAATCATAATTCTTAAGTTAATTATTGAATAATTTCCATGTGAGTTCTATAACTATAAAATACCCATGAAAATTCCTCTATTACATTGTTAAATATTTGAACTTAACAACTTTCACAAAATATTGCAATAATAATCACAAGCATGAATTCAAGTCATTATTTAAAGAAGTAAGAGAATACAACTGAAATTAAAAACTGAATATCTTATCACTGAAGCAGACATTAAATAGATGAGAGCATTATTACCAACTGTATCTTCCTTTTCTTTCTTTCTTTTTCTTATCATATATGCTTTCTTTTCTCATAAAACCAAACAGCATCTCTGAAATATATTTTTCTTCTGCCTTTCTTTGCAATCAAAACAGAATGGTCCATTATTTATCTGTAGCAATGGCTAGGTGTCATACACATGCTAACTAATTTACTCACTAACAAAGGAACAAGCAGAATGATATGTTTTTTAACCTCTTTTCAGACCAGGATTATTGTGACCCAGCCAACTGCACATTGGCTGCCAAATGCTGATCAAATTATTGTCATGGATTCAAAAACAATTGCTGAATCTGGAACATTTACAGAACTGATGTACAAGAAAGGGAAGTTTGTACAGTTATTGCAACAATGTCCACAAAACAAAGGAGTGGTTCAAAGTGAAACTGGTAAATTTATTGTAATTATTTGATCAAACGATATAAAGTGCAATGAATGAAAAACAAATTGTATGATTATCTATGTTCAAAGAAATTGTATTCAGGTGTATCAAAAGTATTTTCATTTTTTTACAAACATTTATTCTAAATCTTATTTCACACAGACACACACACACATATATATATATATATATATATATTTCTAAAGTAATGGATTATTTAGTTTTATCACTTAAGCATCAAATATTCAGGCTGGTAGATGGAAATAAATAAATATACCATTTAATAAATAAACAAAGCATCTATTCAAATATTGGTATCTATTAAAAATAATGTTTAAGTGATAAAACCTGTCGAATTAATGAAAAAAAAATATATATAAAGACTATCTATAACTTTACTATATTATTTTTATTATTATTTCTATTTTGTTGTACCTTTTGTTACACATGTTATAAAGGTGGGTGCAAGTATTGCAATTGTGAGGCATTATTTTATATTGGGTTTCAAAAGTAATGATTTGCTTACAGATTTGGGGAAATGATTTAAGCACTTTAAGATTGGTAACTTGTCCCTTGAAATAAAACTCAGATGAGACAGTATTGCATTTTTTGAGCTCCCTTTATTAATCTACTTTCTATGAGGTGGCCTACTTTGGGATCAAAAGAGAACAGGAAGATTAAAACAAAAAAAGCAATGATAACAAATTTATAAATGTGCATATGGTAGCATAAGAGAAAAAAATGAAACAAGTACTGCTGGTAAGGCAAAAAGAAAAGATGACAAGAATTGTTAAGATAAAATTCTTTGTATTGCTGAAACAAAGAATATAAGTGGAATGTCTCTTTGTGGGCAAGGGAAGCAACTTGAGGAATGAGAGAGTTGATAGGGCCTGGAGTTGATGCATGTGTCTGTTTGCTTGACTGAGATCACAGGCAGATTGCCTGTTTGTTGTGACTTTTCTTACACTGTTATGAGTGGTGTTCTTAAAAGCAGATAGGTTGGATCATGACTCATTGCTTTTTTCGCATTTTTGCTTTAGCAGAAATGTTCATGATTGTTTCCTTTCAAATTGTATTTTATATTTTTTGAGGGGATTTGTTTTGTAAGCCAGATGTGATGCACAGAGCCCCTTACTTTTTATTTTTAGTTGTGCTTTCTTAGCATTCACATGTAATCAACACGTATAGTAAATCATAATGAGATATAATTTGAAGCAGAATATAACAACATGATTTAAACTTTTAGCATTAATGTGTCATCCAAATAAAAATATTTCACTATGTTATAGGAAATACATATCTATTCTAATTTATTTTTATTTTGCAGAAAAGAAAAAGAGTTTATTAATTTTCAGGTCCATTGAACTGCAATACCGTCCAATTTTTCAAACTACAAGTCAAGTAGGATCAAAATTCTGGAAAATATCATCAGCTAAATGGAAAACTAAAAGTGGTTTTTCCAATATCAGTGATCCCCCTTCAGAAAGGTATTTGACATTAGTTTTTGCCATCTTATATGGGTTGAGAAAAGATTACTGTATTTTATTTACTAATCTTTGTTTACAGTATTTGATGAAAGAAGGTTTACACACTTATACAATCAGAATAAAGTGTAGTAGAGAAATACTACTTCGTAATGGGAAAAGGCTTAAAACTTTCAAAATAAATGAATTTGACATTTTCAGAAGAAATGGATTCAGCATGTGGAGGATTTTACATATACAGTAAGTCCCCGGGTTACAAGAGTTCCAACCCATGACAAATCATTGTTATGACACAGTATCCATTAATCTTGTTTCAACTATAAGTTGGTGAAATCTGATAAAAAAGAAAAACAAATTCGTGTTTGGTTTTCTTTCTTCTTCAGATTTGCTGCTGTTTCTGAGTACTGCAAGAAAGACAAAATTTTATGCTTTGTCATCTCATCTACCGAGAGACAATGACATCACTGGTAATAAATATACAAGCAGCTTAAAACAATTTCATTTTGTTATATGCATTATTTTCATTTCATTTGATTATACATATATTTATATCCTCCATGTGTTTCTTTTAGTCTGAATTATATTAACATATGTCATAGAATTGTGTAGCTATGTCCTAGATTATTACTTTAGTATTGCATTGGCATAGGTGAGTGATGTAAGTGTTTATTCATGGAAAATTGCAGATACATTCCTACTTACACAGAAAATCACATTACGACACATTATAGGAACAGAACCCTGTCCTAAGTTGAAAAGAAAAAATTATATTTATGTGTATACAAATAGTTCAGAAAAAGGAAAAAAAAACATTTATGAGTTTAGTGTGTGTGTGCTCCACATGGCTGAGTTGAAATTAAGTAGTCAGCTGCTTGAGGAATGTCTGTCCAGTACATTCTGGAGTAAAAAAATGTGAGAATGTTTATATCCCTTCTTTTTATAGTTCTCATTAGAAAACCATCTAGCAGGCATCCTAACAGACAAGACAGATTACTCCCCACAAAAATAATGATGTTGAACAAAGTATTATAAAACAATGTGAAGTTCTGAGATTTTATGATGCTGATGGTAGTAATCACTTTTTGTTAAATAAAAAGAAACAGAAAGTTAAAAAGTAGCCTGTGAGGTTGTCTGTGGGGCAAAATAACCACCAGTCTGTATAAAGTAGTAAGAAAAAAAAAGAAGTTGGCTGCTTAATTTTATTTAATTATTCACAAAGTTTATGCAGATATAATACGCCTTATTATCATTGACTATTTGACTGACTGCATGTGTGTGGGAGGGTGCAAACAGGTGTAACAGCTATGAGTATAGAAAAACCGAATTAATGACCTAGGTTCAAATTTTGGCTGTGGTTGCTTATATTTACATAATATTAATAAAAAATAATATCAATGCATAAGGTTGTGCAGATAGAAAAATATCAACTAAAAATGACATCCAACATTTAAATAATGAAATCCACAAACATAACATGACACTAAAAATCACCTTGACTGAACCAGAATATAATGAACCACTATACCACCTCAACCTTAACGAACATCAGCTTACACACAGACAAATAATCACAAAAAAACTATGTAAATTATACCAAGGAAACATTCTACTACTATCCAACAGCAAAACAAATATATAAATCTATGTAGCCATAAATTAACAGATGACCAAAAAGAATTCCTAAATCTAGGGCCAAATTGCCATCTCAAACCTAAATTTAACCTCTTCACAAAGAAAATCAGAATGGAAAGTGAAATTGACAAGCCAAATTCAAATTCTGTCTTAATCTGTTGTATTCACTTTTGTATAAATGACTTTGGGAAAGGCATGAATCCATCTTTTTCCCAATGTAGCTACAAGTTAAATAGCAGAATAGACTATGTTTGATTGATTGATTTGTTTTTATCAACCCTTTGCAAGTCAAGGTCAGAAAATATTTTTAGATTGTAAGATTATTTTTTTTAGATAATAATGATTTACTGATACAAGTCATACTAATTAACTCATAGCTGGGGAGAGAAGAGGTGAATTCATACCTTTCCCAAGTACATTTGTACGTAAGGGAATATAACAAACCCAACTGGAATTGGAATTTGGCTCTCTGATCTCCAATTCCAATAAATATGACATCTGTTAATAAATTATATAGATTTATTTGATCCTGTTGAGTGGTATATTTTAGGAACTTAAAACCAGAAAGATAAGTCTTTTTTGATCTCTTTTATTTTATCTATTAATTATTGTTGGTTTGTTTTTTTATTTTTTAATATTGAGCATTTTGTTTTACAAAAATTTGCTTGCCTTCAAACATGTTAAACTGCAGTAATTTGCTATAATATATATATGTGTGTGTGTGTGTGTGTGTGTATGTATGTATGTGTGTGTGTGCTATTTCCAAATGTTATGAAAGAAATATAGAAACCCTAATTATTAAAAATGTTAAAGCATTAAGATTTTTTGCTTCAGGTTTATTCGTCAACTTTCACGAATGTTATACATGAACAAGAAGAGTCTAAAAATATCACAATTAAAGTTTGAAGATTTGTCATCCAAAAATTCTAACTTTGTAAGTACATTTTACCTTCCACTGCAAGCATAAAGTTTGTATCAATTTTACTTATTTCTTTTGTAGAAATTTATTGAAAATTATACCATATTTTTAAAAAATACATCTATTCCAATATCTTTTACCATACAGAAGCTTTTCTTTTACTATTATACATTAATGATATACTAGAAATACCCATAAAAATTTCACGGTTTTCCTATTTGAATTTTCAGATGAATTTTAATTCTTAAGTCAATGATTGAATGAGCTCATGGCAAGTTCTACAACAAAAAAATATCTGTAGAAAATCTCTTATCACATTGTTAAATATGTGAACTTAACAACTTAATAAAATATGGCAATAACAATCATAAATATGAATGCTGGTCATTATTTTAAGAAGTAAGGGGATACAAATGAAAAGACCTGAAATTGACAACTTTTTCAATTTTTCTGAAACAGACATTAAATTAAACTTCCCTTTCTTTTTCTCATTGAAACCAAATCGTGTTTCTGATATGTCTTTTCTGTCTTGATGAAAATGGAATAGTCCATTATTTATGAGGTATTGGCAGGAGACATTAAACACTTCTATCTTCTCTTCTTCCTTCCTTTTTTTCATTTTCTCACTGGAATCAAGTAGCGTCTCTAATATGGCTTTTCATCTTTCTACTTCCACGTAATCAAAACAGAATAGTTCATTATTTATGAGCTATTGGCAGGGCACAATAGTCATGCTATCTAAAGGAAGGACAAGCAGAATTTGCTTATATGTAATATCGCTGTATCAGTGCCTTAATTTTGCTTGACAATCAAATCCCCAAATATATTGTCCTCTTTTTTTCTGCATTCTAATTCTTCTTCTTTTTTGAAGGTAGCTTATTCAGCAAAGCTGGGAAGATGTGACATAAAAATATTCAATTAACTATTGCTGCTTTATCTGTGGTGTGTTCAATTAGGCCTTGTAAAATTCTTTAAATTGAAAGTTTAGGTCTTTTGAAAGAGGAAAGTAAACAGTTTTACTTGTACAGTACAAAGTTTTAAATGATTTTGTATATTAGAGATTATAATAACAACTGCAAAGTTGCCAAAACATTTAAAATTTATCTTCTGTCTTTCTTATGTCTGAAGTATATATATTTTTAAGTGGATGTGTGGCTGAATGTTTGCCATTCTGACTAGTAGACTCAGGTTCAAATTTCACCATAGTCAATTTGTCAAGGAGATCATGTTATTAACCCAGAGAGATAATCCTAGCATGCAACACTGTTGGGAAGTGCATAAAAAAATATATCCACATGCCTTGTGACTGAGATTAGAGAGATTAAACTGTATGTAAAAGCAATATTTGCCCTAACTAACCAGGCTGTTGATGGTTGTGACTAAAGTGTAATGGCTTTGGTCAAATTGATAATTATACCAGATTAAGTATTTCCTTCCAGAAACTGTAATTATAGTTCACTCATCATAGTTGCAGTATTGTTGGCTCTTTGGGTATTGAAGGAACACAAATGTACCTGAGCATGCATCTACAACAGCTACCCTTTATATGAATGGCCAGCCATGTATAATATTGTTTGGTTTTCATTGGTCAAGTAGATCTCATGTTTCACACATTTCAGTTTGATTTTCAAAATGTCTATTTGCTATCCTTTGATGCCCTCAAACTCTAGTCCTTACAGGAATTAAATTATTTCAAACTGTCAGTATGCTGATGTATTCCTTTGCAAAAATGTGAAAAAGAAATGTAAAGCTTGTGTGTTTCCAAGGATAACAAACAGCCATTTTAAAAATAGTACTAAAATGTGTGAAACAGTCTATTAATGGGTATATAATAAAAAATGTTATATATATATATATATATATATATATATATATATATATATATATATATATGTGGAAGTTCCTAGCATTGCCAGTGAGGTAACATTAACTGCAGAACAATGATCAAATGAATGCAAAATGAAACTGGTTTTCCTCAGTCAATGAACAGGGCTGAGTGAGAATGGTGATAAGTTCTATAAGTTTTTCAAAAGAAAAAGGAGTGTAGGAGTTCTATGAATTGTTTTTTATGAGAACATAACTAATGGTAAGCAAAAATGTTTTCAGACCATAAATTTGATCCAAAATTAGAAACTTATTTAGCAATATTGTGTCATTGTAATGGTAAAACTGATGTAAAAATCAATGGTAAAAATTAATTTATTTAAATCCTAACAGAACTTTTTGATAAACAATGTCCTTTGTTTTTGAATGTCTTTTATACACACTGATTATTAGAAGCTTTAACACATGTGGCAGTGATATAAAATTGATTGAGAAAATATGAGATCCTTCAATTGTAATCCAATCATTTTCAATGTTTGCTTTTGATATTTTTGATGGACATTGCAAAACATATCCTGACTGTAAAATAAAACTTTTTTACATCAAATGGGATGTTACTAGGAATGACTGAAATTCTTGGAATTAAGACATTCTCCCCAACAACTCAGCTTGTCAATTGTGACATTAGCTGAGTTGTGCTGCTGCATGAATGTGGTGCATTCAAATTTCTAAGAAAAATAAGTAGTGTGTCTTTCTTCAGCATGACCCTGTCAGTGGGCACATCAGGTAGCTCCAAATGGTTAAGAAATGAATGAGAATAATTCACACCTTCATTTGCATCTGTAACGCTAACAGTGTCAGTAAACTTGTATATGTTTTAAATTACCATGTGACTGTTGACAAATGTGTAAATAAATATTTAATTTTGTAACAGCCTGGTTAGTTAGGGCAAGTATTGCTTTTACGCACAGCCATTGGTGATTGTGATAATTGCATTGAATGTTGGAAAAGATATTTTTATGGTCATTATCTTGTGATGACATAGAGCTAATCTTAACCACTTCATCAAATTCCAAGATCCTTTTTTTCAAAAATAGAGTTTGATCATTGGAAAGTTGAGCTTTTGTGTTCGTTTCGAGTTTTAATTTCTTGATATGTTTTTATAAACGTGACAATGTTATTATAATGAGTGTTTGGTTGTGAGAGGAAAGGAATAGCAAGGATTAAATTTTCAAACATGTATTTGTTTAATATACATGATACATTTACAGTTGTTGGAAAATCAGCAAAAATTGTAAGTATGTCGTTTTTAGTTGCCGTTGTCAGGAAGGTGATTAGGTGTAATGGTGTTGTTGGTACTGCCAGGAGTTTACTGATTTCTTGGGTTGGTTTGACCAAGGTCACAGAATAGGTCCAGAGTGGATTTAGACATTGGTTGGGTTTTACACACGTGTTGGTTGATCGTCTGTGATGGTGTTGATGGACTGACAGTCATGTGATGCCAAGATGTTGAAGCCAAACAGCCTGGTAAGCTTGGGTAGCATTTTAATTGATTGACATCATGGTAGTGGGATGATTTGGGTATTGGTTTCCAACGTGATGGCAGTGGTGACAAAGGATTAGTTGTAGCTACTAGGGCTGAGGCGGGTCGAACGAAATGTTTCAGTTCGTTTCAGGTCAAATATGGTATCAATGAAATGGAGTTGCAGTGGTGACTACAAGGCTAAGCCTGGTTGTCATAATGTCTGTGTTTGATGTTGACAAGGGAGGCCTGTAGCTGGGTGGTGACAATGTTGAGGTGTTATAAATTGTGGTGGTTGGCTTCAAGGGACTAGCAGTGTTGAAGCTAGACTCTGTTGGATTCTGTGTGTGAAGAGTCAGGTGAGATTAGTGAAGCTTGGGCAAGGTCATGGATATGATGAGAGAAGTAGTCAAGGCAGTGATAGTGACAGTACCCTGCATGTCAGCAGGTGGCCTTTCAGCCTGCAACTGTGTTAGTAATTATGAGAGGCCTGCTTTTAAGCAGATCTGTCAGTTTTCAAAGTCACCTCCTTTTCTGACAGGAATGTTCACAATTGGCCACTTTATTACTTTCATTGCAAGGATTTGCTTTGTGGACTGGGCATGATGCCCAGAGCCTTTGTGCAGAAAACAAATTTTTTATTTTGTATTCTGCCTTCTTGGTGTTCCCATCCGATCCACATTCAGAATGAATCAAAAAGAGATCTAATTGCAGCAGAATATAACAACTTCAATCAGCTTCTGATTTGATCAACTTTTGTCTCATTTGGAATTATTGGATGGCAAAAGTCTCCAGCTAGAACTACTTTTACTCTGTCAAAAGAAGTATTCATTATGTTTATGTCCCAAGAAATTGATTCAGCATCTCAAAAGCAATGTTATGTGACATGTGTACATTCCAGATTATCACAAAATGCAATTTTTGCACTTCTGCTCTGTTTCAGATAAAGCTCTACATACCTTTAAAAATTCATGATAAACGTTTTTAATTTCTGAATAATTATTGAAGAAATTTAAAAAATGAATCTAAAACATAAAATTTACAATATACACTTTACTAATTGAAAAATCACTATGTTTTATATTTGCAATTATTTTTATGTAAAATTTGACATTGTCAAATTTTAATCATAGGAAATAAGATTTCACAATACAACCATAGTCTAAACAAATTCATTTGTTTAGAGGAGGACTATTAGCAACAATAAAAGTATTAAAATTTTTGTAATTTCCTTTCACTTATTTTTTTTGTCAGAAAGTTGCCCAGCAAGTGTTTCGTAAATATGTGAAATCTGTTGGTATCTTTGCATTGCTGTCAACCTTTGTAGTGGGAGTTCTCTTTGAAGGATTCAAGGCTACGTCAAATTATCTGTTTGAAATTTGGAGTGACCAGATTCATTCAAACAGTACAGAAGACAAAAATAATAATTTAATATATTCAGGATCATTTTCACTTATTGCAGGTTTGTAAACTTTTCTTTTTCCAATTTTTTTTTTATTGATAAAATACTAAAAAAAATTTATTTATATTGTCATTTTACTCTCTGGACTTCTTCAGGTGATGGTTGATCTGGATAACTTTCAATTTTGAACTGAACCCTTTATTTAATTTACAGCACTAGATTTTACTCATTTCACTTTCCATATCTGGAAATAATCTTGTCTTGTTCTTATTTCAGACTGCTCAGTTATTTCTTACTCTGTTTCCATTAAATGTAAATTTGTACTACCCAGCCCAGGGTTTGAACTCACAATTACTATGTCAACAAATTCATAAACCAATGCTTTAATCCATTAGGCCATTGTTCTTGTGAGTTAAGGCATTGGTAGTACAGACTCAGTGGAAATAGGGTGAACAGTAACTGGGCAGTACTAAATAAGAAAAAAAAAAAATATCCCCAGACATGGACAGTGGAACAAGAAAAATCAATTAGATTAAATGAAAATTTCAGTTTAAAATTCCCTGATGCTTACATAGATCAACAGATACATGAAGAAGGCTAAACAGAATAATGGCTGAAATGCTGTGATAATAACAACAAAGATGAATGAGGACATTTGTCTAAATGTAAATAATTATTATTCATAATCCCAGAAATTCAAACAGAAAAAAGGAAAAATTACTGTCCATAATCTGATACAAGTTTCTAGGATTTCATGTATGGCATTGGAATATAGACACCAGTGATTTGTATTGTCTTTTCTTGACTTTGAGAGGCAAAGAATTCACCAGAGTATGAGATTGGGAAAAGATCATAATTATTAGCAAGTAATATTCAGCCAATTATAATAAAAATATAAAGAAGGTTTTATCTTTGATATACATTATCATCACTGTAATCAACTATTGCTAGTCCACAAAGGCCTTTTCAAAATCCTTCCATGACAATCACGATTGTGTTATTCTGTCATGCCTTACCAGCAAATCCCTCTACTTCATGTTTCTATCTTCTGTCTGGCCTTTTCCTACTACATTTGCTAACCATTGTGCACCTTTTACTCCCCCTGTTATCTTTTCTTCTTGCTACACAATGTGTCACTGCCTTTTATTTTGGTCTTTTAACCATTTCTCTGATATCTCTGGTTTGTCTCCTGATCCATGTTGACTTCTTTGGATTTCTTAAATACATCCCAGGAATTAAGAATTGTTTTTGAGTTTGTTTTCAAAGGATTTTGTTAAATTTACATGTTGCACAATTGTATGTCATAGCTGGTTTTATTTTAGTAATATCCCAAATACTTTAGATCTATTTTGTTCATTTCTTTTCAGGGCTCTTTTTACTTTTGTTTGAAATGCTTTCAACACTATTCACAGCAAAAGCCAGTTGTAAGATCCATCATTCAATGGCAGAGAACGTTTTTAATATGCCTTTGGAATATTTCGAAAACACTGACCAAGGGATAATCATGCTGCCTTTTACTGATAACTTGTATGATGTTGATTATGAATTGCCAAATTTCTACAAGATGTGGATCAAAGATTGTCTCAGAATTATGACTGCAAGTGCTTTGCTTATTTGGAAGATACCAATATTTGCTATATATGTCATCATCTTGATCATTATTGTATCCATTTTATCTGTAAGTTTTCATTGTAATCTTTTCTTTGATTCTCAGTCTACAACCTCTAATACTACTATATAACTAATAAATATTCATGCACATATATTCACTTGTTAAATTTAGTAGGAAATGCAAGATGAATCTATTATATAAATGCCCTGTCTCTTTAGGAGCTAGACATAAATGCTATGTCTCTTAAGGAGACAAACATTGTTTTGTAGCAAAGGATAGGAAGTTGTGGAGAGCTATTATCAACTAGTGGTTGGATGGAATCATGTGTAGGGATATCCAGGTGCATTAGTGCTCCATTCTGAAGTGCCTGTATGTTTATTATCCAGGTGGGTGATTGGTAATTTCCAATTATAAATAGACCATTGTGAAGATGAAAGATCACTCTCTTGGGGACATGGTGCAGTTAAAAGGAAGAAAATACCGAGAGACCAGTGTAGAGGGGAGAAACACCCACTCAAAAATTGTGTCCTGAAACAGAGTTGTTAATTTCTATTGACCACAAGCTATTTTGACAAATATTTCATTGAATTTATGTTTCACAAGATGGCAGGAAAAGTGAAACTGAATAGTGACATGCTTCTGCCTTTTTGTAGTGAAAGGGACATAATTATGTTGCTCAAGAATGTGAAATTGGTGGTGAGGCTGCAAAATATCACAGATATTGCTAGCTTGATATCACTGTACCTGGAAGAGGATGTGTTAGCACTCTACCTGGAATTGAGGGAGGAGGAACAGTGGGATGCTGAACTTAATGAGCCTCGACTTAAAGAAGCTTTCACCGAGAGACCTTTTGATGCCTATCACACATTAAGTAGAGTGCACTGGACTAGGGAGTAGGTCAATGTTTATGTTAACAATACCAGGAGATTGGCAGCTTTGGCAGGATTCTAAGGGAGAGGCCTTAACAGGATGGTAGAATTGGCCTTTGTGAACGGTTTATTTGATCGCATCCCTGAAGCTCTCGAGCATCTACCCAGAATAGGTTCTTTGGAGGTACAATGGAAACAATAATGCAGAATCAGGGAAACAATGTGTCATAAAGGACCAGGATTTTTGTGCAGACTTTGATGGAAAGTGGTGGACTGTTGAGTGGAGGGAGATGTACTTGTACTAAAAAACAGAGTTGGCTGCCATGAGCATTCATTACAAGAGGGACAAAAAACAGACTTCGAAAAGGAGAAGGAGCAATGGGTCAAAGAAGGAATTCTCTAGCAGTGGACAGAGAAGTTTGAAGGAGTATTGCCACTACCAGCAGTAGTTCAGCCCATGAAACAGAAAATTGTGACCAGAGTGAGGACCATCATGCTGAGACCATGTGAAGACTGTGACAAGAAAGGTATCTCCCTGATTGGACAAGTGACTACGCTGTGGGATAAGTGATCGGGTAGGAGGGGGCATTTAGTTGGCTGGAATCACAAGGAGGGACATCGAGGTGCATTAGTGCTCCATTCTGAGGTGCCCGTATGACTATCATCTGGGCAGGTGTTGGGTGATTGGTGATTTCTGATTATAAATAGACCATCATTGAGATGAAAGATCACTTTCTCGGGGATGTGGTACAGCTGAAAGGAAGAAAATACCAAGGGGAGAAATGCCACTCAGAAATTTTTTCATGAGACAAAGTTGTTAGTTTCTTTTGACTACACAACCTCCCTAAGGAGCTTCTGTCAATGGATGGCAGAACAGAGAATGGGATGGATAGTAAAAGGACAAACATTGCTTAGCTCTACAAAGGATAGAAAGTTGTAGAGAACTATAATCAATCTACCTAATGAGCTTGTGCAAATGGATGGCAGAATGGAGGATGGAAGAGATAGTAAAGGGACAAACATTACTTAGAACTATAAAGGATAGGAAGTTGTGGAAAGCTATTATCATCCTGCCTAATGAGGTTGTATAAATGGATGGCAGAACGGATGGTGGGAGGGAAAGTAAAGGAGCAAACATTACTTAGAACTATGAAGGATAAGAAGTTGTGGGAAGCTATTATCATCCTGCCTAATGAGCTTTGTGTAAAGGGATGGCAGAATGGAGGGTGAGGGGGACAGTAAAGAGACAAACATTACTTTGAGCTATGAAAGATAGAAAGAGCTAGGATTACCCACATCCTAATGGGACTCATCACATAAGATAACACTTATACGACACTCTTATACTTTCTTGAGGTTAATTTTGTTTTACTGAATGAAGTAGAATATGTATAAATATACAGAACAAATGCAAAAAGGATATATTTTAATAAATTCTGTTGTGCAATTACAGTAGGATTGAAAGCGCTGATGCAAAAACTTAAAATATTCTTAAAACCTGATTATTACATCAGTGAAAATAAAGTAAACATTATACTGACTCCTGATTGCACCTGTGATCAGTTCCATTAATATTTGCTATTTGAAAGCAAATTAAAGAGAACTAAATAGCAAAGTCTGCCTTTTTTTAATTTTTAATTTATTGTTATGATTAATTAATCTGTGTTCCTCTGAATATCTCCATTATGTACAGTCTGATAAAAATTTCATTGTTATTGATTAAAATAATTTTCTATTTTTGTTGTTGTTGAAACCATCTAACATTGAAAGACTCCAAAAATATACTGTTGTCCTTTGGGACAGTAGTATAGTGGATATAGGAGCTGGTTAAACATATTACCGTCATCTAGTTGTCATGAGTTCAATCCCTTTATCAGATAGTGAAACAATATACAAGCATCACAGGGACATAATAACATAATAATCAACAGGTATCACATGTTAGCCAAACAATGGATACCTGAAGATGGCCATAGGGTACTTAGCAGAAACACTGTGCCTATAATAACATCTATAATAAAAATGAGAACAATAGTTGAAATGTATTAAAGTATTTTGAACTAAATAAAAGCACTACTTAACTGGTCCACTCATAAAAAATAGGGATTGGGAGGAATAATCTTGGAAGATTAGCATCCATTAGATCTTCCACATTAGACTGTTACAAATTAGGAAAAAGGACATCTTTAGTAGTATGCAGTTATCAATGATGTGGTCACAGTTTCAAACTTGACATTTAAAAAAACAATGTACAGATAACTCTTTAAGAAGTCAGGGATCAATTTGTATTTATATTATGAACAAGACACCTTCTAAAATAATAAAAATTAATATGTAAGAAGAAAGTTTAATGAATGCAAGCCTACAAAAATGATTCCCTGTTTTTTAACCAGCAGACCAGTTAACTTAAGTTGGGCCAAAATGAGGTTTCAAATACCATGTATAAGGAAACTTTCTCACACATCAACTTTGAATTTTCATTATTAAATAAAACCATTATAATCAATTAGCTATTAATTTATTTCATTCATTAATATGATATTCTGATTACTGAAGTGTATATTTTGTAGTTAATTTCTAATGTACAATTAGAAATTAACTACAAATATACACAAACAGCCTATATTGTTCACAAATTTGATGTTCCCTTGCTTGAAAAATTTAATTTTTTTTATGATTTTGCAGGTAATTTTTGTATTGGCAACTTCAGTATTGCAAAATTTCAACTTCAAATTCCAGAGTTTATTGTATACACACTTTCTGGAAACTGAATCTGGTACTCACATCATCAAAGCTTACAACAATGAAGAAATATTCATTAAAAAAGCCTATAAATATATTGACAATTACCAGAAATTCTTTTGGAGTGTTAGTGCAGCTAAACGGTTAGTGTAAATATTTTAACACTTTCACTTGACTATTTTAATATATAATAAACAGAATTATTAAAATATCAATAAATTCATTAGGAGTTTTCACCAATACCCATTTACTAGTTTGAAATTTTACTATTGTTTAGTCAGTTTATAATGTTTAGTCAATTTATATTTAAATTTAAGTCAATTTATTTAAATTTAAAAATGGCTTTCTTTTAATTGTTTGTAAGTACTTAAACACTGCTGCTCTATTCTTTATGAGGATTTTTAAGAAGCATTAAAATAGGTTTTTAAAGCTATAGTTCTCTTAACAGGAAGCGATCAGACTTGATATACTGTCAGTTTTGGGACTTGTCTACATAATAAAGGCAATTAAAATGAAGGGTAAGAGTAAAAGTAAGAGTTAGAGAAACCGAGACAGAAAAATTCACCTGTAAACTTCCTACCAACACTACTACTACTGTTGCTTCTAAATAAATAGTACCTTCACTATTTCAGAGAAGTGGGTTTATGTTCAAATTAAATAATTTTTTAATCATTTATATTATAATAGACTAGTTAAAACTATTGTGTATAAATCAAATTTAAAATAATTAAAAAGCAGAATTTTTACCTGTATGTCCAACCATGTGTCTATTTATAAGTTGGTTCAAATCATTCATCTTATGGCATCAATATGAAAATCATGATCTGATGAGGCTATTAAAGAACATGGCCCACTGAATTTATCAGTGCTCCACCTTTTTCTTGATGAGCTTTAATCATTTTTATAAAAATATTTATGGTAGTTAGGAAAATATGATAATGAAACACTGAAATTTGTAATTATTTGTAATTTGGTACTCATTCTCAAACTTGTCAATTAAAAATTATGGAAAAGGGATTGTTAGTGGACATGTATTAATGTTGTCATTACTGACAAAATATGTAAATATTTATACTATTTTACTATGGAAACATAGTGTAAATGAATTTACTATAAACTGCATTGCAAAAAGGATTTTAATATAGAAAGGCATTGATGATCAAGAAGAAAGGCAATTTCAGTGATCAGGTGTTAATACAAGTATTATTGTTATGTGTGTAATTCTATTATCAGTTATGAGTCACAGTTAAAAAGTAATGCCTGTTTTACTAATTTAATTTTAAAAGTATTATAGCCAAAATCCTTACTTGTCTTTTAGCTATAGACCATCAAAGTGTCTAGAAACCTAGTGAAAAAATTATAGAGTTAGCTTCTCTTTTTCTACCCATTATCCTTTTTCAAAAATGGCTGTCCCTCCCAAATCAAATAAAAAACAAAGAGCTGTCATCATATAAAATGCTACAAACATTTTAGTGAACATTTATGGAAAGAACTTTTTAAAAAATATTATTTGTTATTCTCTTTAATTCTGATTAATTGAATGTTTATTTCTTTTTTTACCTTTGAAATTTATTAGATGGTCTGGATTTTTGCTGCAGTTCATTGGGTGTTTCATTATCCTGATAGCTTGCATTTATATTGTTCATGTAAATGATGTCAGCAGAGTAGGACTCCTCCTGACTTATTTGTTACAGGTATTTTTCAATTTGATATTTTAGAATTGCTATTTTTCCTTCTTTTTTGTATTGTGTTAACAAGTTGCTCTATAAGCCATTTGGACAATCAGAAAGTATAACCTGATGTCAGATTAATATAGCGAATATAACTAAGAGCAAGTAGGAAGTATCCCCCATTTAAATGAAAATGAATTGGGTACAAACATGGCATTTATCTAAAAGAGACAAAGTTTGCTTATACAAAGTGATATAACTTTCACAATGGAATAATTACAAATATTAAAATTTCTTGAATTTTTGCTTTAAATAATCAAGTGGCCACCAATAGAACATTACAATATTGCTAGGAAAAGAGAACTTCATTTCCTGTAACATTTTATGAATAGCACAAATTTGTATAAATTAAACTTGTCTTATTTCTTCTGTCAACAATGTTTTAAATTAGTAACAGTGTCATTAAGAAAGTAATGGAAAATAATTAAAAAGTGAATAATATAAAATTTTGAAAAAATTTATACAATAAACTATGTTTGTTTATTGCTCTTTCTCTTGCGGGAAGAATATAAAAATTTATATAAAAAAATGTAATTAAATGATTAATAAAATGGTGGAAATAAAAAATAAATATTATAATAGACTAGGTTTCTTTATGCTTTTAAGAGAAGTGTTTAAAATAGTTATAAGAAATCCAGACAGTAAATAATTAACTACTAAATTTGATATGAAACATTTGTTTATTAAACTTTCTAAAAGTAGAATGGCTCAAAGAGAAACCATGGAAAATAATTTGGTCAAAGGTGGATGGTTTGTTACATCTAAGATTTAATTTTCAACTTTCAAAAACAGATACATTTTTGGATTCTTTCACCAGTGAGGAGAGTGACTTAAAATTTGGGGCTTATCTGGTGCCTATTTGAGGTTCATATAAGTTGAATTGAGTTGTGAGAAAAGTTCAGAAAGTTACAAGGATTTAGAAGGATACAAGAAGGGCACAAGCTAGATAAGGATTTCAGGACAAGGACTTTTGGTTATCACCAGTGGATAAATTAGGCTGTTTCTTATGAAATAAGTATTAAGCAAAATAAACAGAACTTAAAAGAAATCAAAAAAGTGAAAGATTTCTTAAATTAATAATCAAACTGTGTTTAAAAAAAAAAAGAACAAATTTGTTAAAGTCCTAGCGATTCTGGTAAATCTGCCAACCTTCTCAGTTTCAGCTTTTGAATAAGTAAGTGTGTCTTTTTTGAAAGAATTTGTATTGTTAGAACCTTTTTTTGAAAGGAATTGTATTATACTTTTTTAAAAGATTTTTTGATTGTTGAAATTTTGTTGAATAATTTATGCTGCTTTTATGAGCCTCTTGATTTTTTTAACTGGTTATCTTATCTTAATAAAGTGCAAAAAAAAATTTGTGCAAATTTATTTGTAAACCTTGTATTCTATTCTATTGTTTTTCTGTCATTTTAATAAATATTTGTTTCTTTCAAATTTTACTAGTGTTACAAGTTTTGCATGTTTTCATATGTGCCTTATTCAATATTTAGGATAAGACAAGTGACATCATCCCCAAAAGAAAATCTTTTCAATAGATGAAAAATTTATTTTATAATAATCTATATTATGTAGGTAACTCCACAGATTCACTAAAAAATGAGCATACCATCATGAAAAAATTCTCAAAACTTAATAAAACATGTTTTATTGTTAAAATCTTTGTTATTATTAAGAGGAAAGACCAAAAGATTTTTGATTATTAAATTATATTTTTGATCCTTTTTAGAACATTCAAAATTTTGGTTAAAAATCTTGCTTTTCTTGTGTCAGCGGGGAACCAAAGATTAGTATAGGAAATTTTAGCATCTTTTTTGCAGTGAAAAACACATTGATTTGGAAACTCTTGCAAAAATCAAATGTCAGATTTTAATGTAACTTTCAGGACTTATTCACAAATGAATGAAATTATTTTAGAAATGTTTCTTTTTTAGAAAATCTTGTTAAAAAAATTTTTTTAATTCAGTTACCCACCACCTATTTAACTTCATGAAATTTCAAGAAATTAATTTTTGTACCATTTAATGTTTATATTAGTTATATGCAGACTTCCTTGAAGAATTTAAATCATCAATTTTTCTTTTTGTTAGTTTTGTGATGTCAATGAACACTCGTTGCCACTTTTGTGATGTCAACGAATACTTGTTGTCACTTTTGTAATGCTCATCGTAGTAGAGACTTTATAATTGCTTATACAACTATAGTACGCTGTTGAACAATACTGGTGTCAGATGCCTTTGAATAATCTTGCACTAATAGTACTTGCTTGATAATACTCGTTTGAACAGTAATCTGTATTGATCTGAACAGAGAAATAGCATGGTGAATAGAATAGAGAATAGTGATCCGTATAGTAATAGGAGAAATTGTGATCATTTAGATGTCACGCAACTTCCTATATTTATGTTTTCTCTATGGTCATGTGATCCACATAATTCAATAATGGGATCGCTCGTGTTTACTATGTTCAAACTTAAGTGTTGGTAGCGACACTTTATTCCTATATAACAGTAAGACAGAACCCCTAGATACAAAAAATCTGCTTTAAAGCCAAAGTACAAAAAATTCAATAAAAGACATTAAATTACTGAGAATATTTTGCTAAATTTTTAAGATTACTGGGTAGTTAAAAATTATATAAAAAAGGCACTCATGTTATATTCCTCAAGTAACTTTTACAAATATGTCTACCTTAGAAAAAAAATTTGATAAACTTTCATCTGTCAGTTAAGCTGTCAACCTGTCAACGCCTTAAATAAATACCTGCCACTGTGTTAAAAATGCATTTCTGCGATATAAACTGAACGTAATATTTGTTTCAAATCAGATTTAAATCAGCTAATATTCCTCAAATAAAGTTTCAGAAAAGTATTTATTTTTTAAAATTTTTTAATAAAGAGAATTACATTGTGATGACAGATGGCTAAAATGGTACTAAAATCAGTGATTTTATTGCTTTCAAAACAATGCCTTCCACTCAATTTAAATTAGTTTTGAAATACAGCAAAGTATTTTGCTTCAAGAAAGATTTTTCTTTTTTTAAAATTAATTTTAAAGCTCATGTATTGCATTTCTGTGGAAGTACCTAATACTATGTCCTTTCTTTTTCATTTGCAGACAGTGAAATGCTTTGATTGGGTTGTGAGAACAGCTTCTGATATTGCAATTAAGAGAGTGTCTCTCCATAAAATTCAGGAATATAGAGATAAAATTCCAGTGGTGAGTTATTTCATGGAAGGGATAAAAAAAAAAAGAAAAATACCAACTCCAAACAATTGTTCATGTTTTGATTTATTCCTGTTTATACTCTGTTAAATGGGAACCAGTAAAAAAAGAAAAAAATAATTAACCAAGAAATATGAATGATAATCTTGGGTACTATTTTAATCTATTAAATATCAACTAAGCTAATTTGAGACTATATTCTCTTTCTGTTTATTTAGCACTTACCTCAATTAATTCTGGAAGAAAGAAAGAAAGAAAAGATCTGCAAGAGAAGACATTTTATACTACATCGAGACCAAGATCTACTATGCTGTAATTATACCCATAACATTGGCATAGCTAGAGTGTGTGCTGCCTGGAGCATCCCTTGAGTTTGCCACCCACCCACCAAAAACTAGATCATATTGCACATATATTCTATATATATATATATATATATATATATATATAGGGAGTCTCTATATATATATATATTAACTATTAACAGGCCCAAAAGATGAAAAATTGAGTAACACATACCTTCAAACAAACTTCTGTCAAAGAAAATAACTGAAATTCATATGGTAACAACCAAGATGTGTCTCCCATGCACAAACGTGCTGCTGCATTAAAAGAACATACCCTGGATCTGTTCACAGGTTTTACATTATGAAAAATTATAAAACAACCCTGAATACATCACAGGATAATGTTTATTGCTTGGCCAAGAAAACAATTGCTTAAATACATAGGCCATAGTTTAAGTTACTCAAAACTGAAAAGGTCCTTCAACTCTGAGGAATATCCTGACATTCAAACCAATTTTATTTCAATACAGCCTATACAGGCTTATACAGCAGACCAAAAAGTGGCACTGCCATAAAAGTATTACTTGGGGTGGCCTGCCTCCTCTAGGTACACTATTGACCCATAGAAATGTATACGAGTGAAATCTGGGCATTGAGAAAAGAGAACATAGAGAGGCTCTCAGTCTGCAGAAAGGGCCATAGGTAAGAAAAATAACAAAGACAGAATCAGAATGGCTACCATAAAGAAAAAAGCTGGATGTGAAGACTGGCATAATTATCCTGACTAGAAGGAAGCTAAACTAGTTTGGCTATATAATCAGAAAAAGAGAACAAAGCTTTTTATATAGATTCTACAAAGGCAACATCCCTGGTAAAAGACCAAGTGGTAAACCACCAAAAAGATGAGAAGACCAAATCAGAGAGAACACAAGCATGCTATTTCTGACACTTGAAAATATTGGCTTGGATAGGAAGAAGTGACAAAGTTGTGTAGACAGGAAATGAACAAAGATATTTTGGGTATTATACAACTAAGTATTTAATACAATATATTGTAAGGGAGTTATAATTCGGAGTAAATAATTATAAATCCCCTAACATTTATATCTACAAAAATACTCATAAAAATGAGAAACAGCAAGATGTGAATATTTTTACTTTATTAATAAATAAATTTCTTTACAACTTACTTTATTAAAAATAATTAAAAAACATTCACTAATTAAGGTTTTAATCTTTAATAAATTATTTTATTTGGTTATGAAAAAGTTATGTTTTGCTGATGCTGTCTTGTCTCAGTCGTCAATCAGCAGTGTTAAGTTGTCTCTTCCTGCTTTTATGTTTGTAGAGTGAAATGTTGCTCAATATCAATTGCCTTGTCATATCAAGTTACTACTAAAATGTACCACCAAGTGTATATGCACTACACAATTTTTTCAATAAGCACAATATAAAATGCAGTTGTTTTTGTACAAGTGTTAAAGAGTTGCACTTGAGTATATGTGTCCCCACTTTTTATGTTTCCATGAAATGACATAACACTTGGTTATTTTTAATTCACTTACAAATTTGTGATTCAATAGCAGTGATCAGGACATCCACATAATAAAATGAAGAGTAAATGATTTTATTTGAGCCTGAAGTGTCTGGTGTTTTTATGACCAGCTGCAAAATCTACAAGTGAGACCTTCAAAACTATCCAGAAGTATTAGAAAGGAAATACAGTAAATAAATAAATGAAAACTTTCAGGATCAAGTGCCACTTAGCTGGAAGATAAAAAGTTCTGATCATAGGCTATCTATATAGACAGTCACGGTTAGAATGGTCAGTTGCAAGGATGACAAAATGCCAGTTATGAAACAGCTAATAGAGGGTGATGGGTGAGATGATTAGAGATGGAGAGATATCAAGTCAGAGGCTGATGGCATTCTAATTGGCCAAAGGGAAGATCTGACCCAGTAGTCTGTCATGAGAGAAGACAAAAGAAGCAGCAAAGATGTCCCAAGGGTCATTTACCTATCCCCCCATACAGTGCCAATTGTATCTGTGAATAAACAACAAAATACATTCAAAACAGGATTTATATTTTCATTTCTTACCATGGTATTATTTCCCATTCATTTCTTTTGTTGAATGTACACCAAGCCTTTGCCAGTTCTTGTGCACATCAACACAAAGAAGGAATAAGACACAACATAGGAGAATTTGTTCAGCTGGTGAAAAACTGTGTGAAGGCCTTGGTTGTATGTTTGCAATTTGCTAATGTCATTAGCAATTACAATTTTCTCCATTATTGCAGCCTTTCCTGCTAAAGTTATTGTAAAAATTCCTTCTTCAGCTGTTTCTTCTTGTATTATCTGCCATACTCCTTCAGGACAGGGACAATCATGGCTCTCTTGCCTTCCTATCACTTGTAAATTTTAGCAATGTTTTCTCCTTACTATCCCTCCCAGTTCCTGTCCTGCCATCCATTTACACATGCTCGTTTTTCCTCTTGCCTTCAATGTCCTGTGAGTGTCAAGATCTCCAAACCCTCTTTCCTCATTATGTGTTGTTTGATTGACTCAATAAAATCAAATTGTCAGCTGATCTAAAAAATGATCTAAAATCTGTTGTTAAATGGGCAAAGAGCGCTTTGCTAATTTTAACACCTCCAAAACAAAACTGCTCTCTTTTAATCATCCGAGATAACACTTTTTACCTTCCATCAGCATGACTGATGCTAACTTCCAGGAGAGTGACTCACCGTGTCTTCTAACATTTTCCAGTGGAAAGAGTATATTGAAGTGGAAAGAGTATATTGAATTAATTGCTAAGTCTGCAGCTAGGAAAGTTGGTTCACTGTGTCAAGCTAGATAATTTTTCTTGACAGAATCTATCTTACATTCATCTTAGCTTTAAGTATTGCTTCCACATCTGGTCTGTTTCTCTTGCTATATATTTAGAGATTCTTGATAAAATCCAAAGAAGAAACTGTAATGTTATTGGCCCTGACCAGGCATCTCAGCTTCAGTCATTTGTGACACCCACTGGTGGTCGCAGTGCCAATATGTGACGTCCTCTGGTCATAACGCCAATATGTGACACTGCGCTGTCGGCCCATGGTCAACTCCCAGTTGTGGTGTGAAGCTGTAAAATTTCTTCCACCAGCGTTTGGGGTTGACTCCCTGTTGCTGCCACCAGCCTGTGTTCCGGTCAATCTGGTCATTCCCAGTTCGATACCAGCTTTGTCGTTCCCAGTTCACTTCCAACATCTGGTTACCGAAGTAACTACTTTGACCTCAAGTGAAGGTGATATCGCACAAGCGTAAGTAGAAGAAGCAATAAGACAAAACTCAAGAGGTTCAAATATATTGAGAAATAACAAATTATCTTTATCCATCTGTTATATACAGGAGTGTGTTTCTCACCCAGCCCATTTCTATGGATTTGTGACACTTTTATGTATTTTAAGCGAGTTTTGGTATCTTAAGTCGTTCGTCAATATAACTTGCTTTTGGTAGGAAGTCGAAGTCGGAAGATGTAGAATTTCTTGGTCAGTTTCTGCGAGGCAACACTCTGACTCTCTCCAGAACTGAACTCTGACTCCAACTGCAAAGGGGATGTTCGTTTATATGGGTATTGACCAAAACCCGGTGTGGGGCCTGATGTGGTTTGGGCTCCTTGATAATTCTCGATTCCTAACATGAATTCTCTTTGTTCTTAGGCCAGGAAAATTAATTACTTCCCATTTTTTGGAAGATTAATCACTTTCCATTTCGGGAGTTTCTCCCTCGTTCATGAGGGAAGATCAGAGGAGAGTTATCCTTCTAGACTCTTCCTCTCTCACATTGGTATCTCATACCAATCCCCTCAGTGGGTGTTAACAACTTCTCCATCTTTCTCATACATTCACCTCCACCTATCACCCATGCTACCACTTGACCAAGGATCTCTCGGCAGTGTGGGTGTGGCTAGATTACCCTCTTAAAATTATTATCCAGAATTTTGTTTACAAAATCCTTTTTTTTCTTTTTTTCCTCCAGCCAAAACATTTTTTTTACAAATCCCAGATTGCCAAATAATTCTTATCACATCTTTCTTTCGGAGACACACAAAATTCACTTAGTCAGGTCTCTCTACTGACTCATCAATCACTGTCAAAACCCGACATCTGGTTTCTCTGCTAAGTCAACTTTTAACTGGGAGGTCCATATTTTACCTGAGAATCAAATTCTTTATTTTTCTCATACCTTAAAATCCTTTTATCACCAGATGCCCATTTTTGACGACGCTGTGTCTGACGTCAACAGTTTGAATAAGCAATAATAATAATTTCCTTTATGATTTTCTTTCTCGTGCCAGAATTCTAACACATACCAGATGATTTCCCTTCGTTGGACCCAGGAATTAAAATTAAATGATATCTCTGAAAGATAACAAATATCGATTCTCTCTGCCTGTATCGGTTGTCTCAAGCAGAAATTTTTTTATGACCACCATATGTCGGCTGGCTTTGTTTTTCTTTCTGAATTCTGTTTCCCTTGGCGCGTCATTCCCTTACCATGACCATAATCAGTTTTGACAGAATCTCATATCTTGCTTTTTCTTACAGATTTTCTGTCTTCTGCGAAAAGTATCTTTCTTCATAAATAAAATCTTCTTTTTTAACATCACTCATTTTATCTTTTGATATAGCTTTTTCTAGCCTTAAGTCTTTCCTGTTTTTAATTTCTATGGTTAATTAGTTAGCTAATTACCATAGCTAAATAGTGTTTTTCTATAGTTGTAATGTAGCTTCCCCGTGCCTTTTCTATAAATATTTTCATGGCAATTGTTCTGATGAACTTTCCTCTATGCTACCTAGACTTTATGAATTTAGGCACAGTACTAGATTGGTAGTAAGGTCTCATCATTTTATAGTTGAAATAGATAGATGCAAACATAAGTTCTATGCTAACAGTTTCTTCTATTGCACTTGTGGAACTTGCTCCTGGCTTCTTGCTTCCCAGTCAACTTTGATTTTCAAAATACAATGTCAATTATTATTTTCTGTCTTTTAATTCTTGTTCTTTTATTGTTCTCTCTTCTTAATAGTATATTTTTTTCATATTGTCTAACACTCAGTAACTCCTTGCATCTTAGTGGCTTTATTACCTTGCTTGTGGTGAAATGATTTTAAAAAATACTAGTTATGTTAATATTTTTTTTATTTAAATCAAAATTTTCTTATTCCCTTCCAAAATCTTATATCTACCACAGGAAAAAAAGAATTTGTGATTTTGTCAACCCTAATGATAGCATTTTGATTTAGAAATAATTTACTTCAATTGTACATCAAATTCTTTGATTGAAATTAGAATAGGCTAAAATGATTTAAGTTGAAATGTTTTTTATTGATTTCAGATAACTGGAAAAATCATGCCAAACTGGCCAACTGAAGGAGAAATTGAGTTCTTGAATTACTCGGCAGCATATTCAAATGCGAACATGAATTGTTTGAATGATATCAATCTACGCATCCAACCAAGAGAAAAGGTTTTTATCTTATTTAGATTATTTTAATTTTTTTCAAGTCTTCTTCTTTCCATTTTGTTTGTAATTTTGTTTTCATTCTTTTATTTCTTTCTTATTCTCTTCTTTCTTCTATATCTTCTTTTTATATTCCTTACTTTTTCTTCTCTTTCATTATTTCTTATTTTCTTTTCTTCCTTCATTTCATGTTCCTTTCTCTTTCATTCTTTTTTCTCCTTTCCTTCTTTTCATGGTCATCTCTTTCACTTCCCTCATTTTTTATCTTTTTTATTCTCTTCTTTTTTCTCCCCTTTTTCTTGTTCCTTTCTTTTCTCTTTTATTCATTTCTTATTCTCTTTTTTTTCTTTTTTCATATATTCTTTTCTTTCTCTTCCTTCATCTTGAAATTTGCAAAAAGTCTCTAATTTATTTTTAACCATATTTCTGCAAACTATAACATTTCCTTTTTATGTTTATAGGTCGGAATAGTTGGCAAATCTGGATCAGGCAAATCATCTTTGTTAATGGCCATCACTCGTCTCGTCAATTGTATGCAAGGTCAAATCAATATAGATGGCATTGATATTAAACTCTTAAATCCCAAATATCTACGCTCAAAGTTGACTATCTTTCCACAGGTATTTTTCATTATGATTTTACATTATTATTCATGACTAGTTTTTCTTTCAAAGTGCTCATATTCTTTGCATGTCCGAGTGAGTACTGAAGAGTTATCAGCCTGGCTTACTTCTTAAAAATGACCAAGATGATCAGGCCAAGCATCCTCTCATATCATCTTGTTTGTCCTACTCAAAAATTTCAGCCATTGTATCCTCCAGTATTAAGAAAGGGATTATCAGCTGCCTGCAACATCAAACTAAACTAATAAATGGTGACTTCGATAGGAGGGGATCAGCATCAGAAACTCCCTTCAAGGCAATGACTATATCAAAAACATAACATCAGCTTCCATGATGAGAGACAGAAGAATGGAGGACATCAATAACACATCTGCTACACTCTTTCTTATCTTACTTAAGATGTATATCAGAAAAGGTTCAGATTCTGCAGACCATCCAACATCAGAATGATATTCAGATGCAGTTCAACCCTTCAATGATATTTCTCCTAAACCAAGCCCTTCTCACAAAAGAACATGACTAAAAACTGTATGTTGTAAGTCCATTCTGTGCAGTTAGAGCAAGAAATACATGGGTGAGTTCAGCTAGCACTGACTAGAGACAATATGTTTAAGGCTCCAAAATTACACCAATGGATTGTCCAAGAAACATATGGCCTAGTTGATTAAAGTGTCAGGTTTCATGGCAGTTCAATCCTTGCTTCAGGTAGTGCAGAAAAGTTATATATTCTGGTTCAGTGGAAGAAATGGAAAAGCAACACAAAGGGAAGTAACTAATACATGATATCACCTAAGTATGTGAAATAGAATAAGAACAATCTGCTCCATGGATTGAATAAAGAGTTTAGTTCAAAATTTCAAGCAGATTACTGATTATAACAAATACTCAAAGGAAGCTGGAGAATACAATGGCCCAAATATTGTGAGTATGATAAACAAGATGGGCATGAGGAGGAATTATCATATGCTTTATTGACAGTAATGATAATGATAATTCCTTATCTTGAAAATTCCAACAATCTCACATTTTTCTCTTCCTAAATGGCATATTTCCTTAGGTTATATAGACAACCATGGTACTCCACAAATTCCCTTTACATTTATATATCTATAAACTGTGCATTGTAAGTGTTCTTGGGAATATGAATGGTTTCCTATTGCCTTCTCCATGGTTTTGAATTCAGAATTGTACTTCTCTTACACTAGTTGACCTACTAAGTCTAAAGAGCATAGTCTTCCCTACTGTTTTACCCATAGCTGACACAGAATATATAGATTCATGCTTTTCTCAAGGGTATTAGTATAAAGTAATTGCAACAGCATTGAGCAGTATCTGAACTCTGCCTGTTGATTCCATTTCCCATATCAATAACTGTTGTGTCACCTGTCCATCTTTCTCTTTGCCCTATAAATACTGTTCAGATTTCTAAAAAGCAAATTATTTCCTTTTAGCACAAGAGTAGATGTGTTTAGTGAATCTTTTATTCTTTGCTGAACTTTTGAACTACAATTTCTGTAATTGTAGTTCAAAAGTTCAACAAATTTCTATCCCTGAATGTTGAACTGTTGTTTCATTCTTCAGTATTGTCTTGATCCAGGTCAACAGTTGGTTGATATCTATGGTGTCCATGTGGTGTTCAAACTCAGACATACCCCTAGACAAAACTAAACTTTCATAGTTCTGCCAAATCTACATCAATGGATTCCCCCAGATGCAAATCACATGATATAAATTGTTCATATGCCAAAAACAAATTTAGTGGCAAAAGCAGTGCACAATGTGTCAATATGGTTGATGCTACATTTCTCTTCCTCACTCAACTGTTGCTCAACTACAAATGGCAAATACAGCAAGAGTACACATTTAAGTTTTCTTACTCCACAAAGGCTACATATCAACTCAACCTTCTCAATATATTTAATCACAGACTGATTGGGTTCTGAGCCATCAAATTCCAGTATCAGCTTGTTGTCTGGCATGCTCAATGATGGCCGAAATAGCCTGTAGCAAACTTTCAGATCAGTTCAGCAAAGTTCTTCTGTACTTGAATTTTAAGCTGGTCAGCACTTTCCTGATTTACCAAATAATGGAACCAAATTCTTGCTCTGTCAACAACAGGGACTAATACAATGTTTTGTAAATTCTGCCAATTTTTCTTTCCTGCTACATACCAATATGTACTTTTTTCAGTCACCCTATTTGGCAAATCTTCGCCTTTTTTATCAATGAATTATTTGCATGCTTGCATCTTTGGTTGAAAACACTGTTCTTTGTAGTAATGATTATTTGCATATAAAGGATAGTGCATATTAGTATTTGATTCATTTATTTATTAAACAGTATATTTATTTATTTTTGTCTACCAGCCTGAATATTTGAGAAATCTTAGAGAAAAATCAAGCAGAGTTGAATAGTGCCTTTTTTCTCTGTTCAATATTTAAGCATCTACTCAAATCCACAAAAAATAACATTTAAGTTATAAAATCTATTGGATTAATAAATAAAAAAAAATCCATCCCTTTCTTTAAAAATATAAAGGATAGTAAGGATTATTTATCTGTGTGCACACAACTTCCATGAATCTGACTCTCTGTCAATGCACTTTTATGCATATTTACATTGTTTTCCTGGTGGTAAGAAAAATTAGTGTTAGTTTTATTATGATCAAAATTGAATGCAACAAACTTGATGTTTCTTTTGTGGCAATCCATGCCTTTTATTTCAACTACAGAAATAATACTTAAAATATTATTTGTTAATACAGACAATCCTGTTTTATATCTGACATGTACATATTTTTCATTGGTGTCAGAGTAAAAAAAAAATTATTACAAATTCTGAAGTTAAGGACACACAACACAATCTTCCTGGTTCTATTTCCACTCTTTATCAAGTAAGACTTAAATGAAAAATGGGCATTTACTACTGCAGCACAATGTTTAGCAAATTTGTCTTACAGAGCAATTTCCTGGTAAAGTGAGTTTGATCCTTACTGAGCAATCCATTGCTATAGTCTTGTGGCAAAGTAAGATAAACTTAGTAAATAACAATAAATGAATTAATTCAATAGAATATATCTTATCCTTTTTTCCTTGTTGAAAATAAAAATTTATATCTCAGTTAAATTGCAAAATTTATCCTTGTTGGTGTGTTTGAAATTATTTTAGAATAATCAAATAACTTTCCTTAAATAAAGATTAAAATTTACTTTTGCTTTTATCAACAGAATACATATTTGTTCACTGGCAGTCTGAGAAGCAATTTGGACCCAGAAGATAAATTCACTGATGAAGAGCTTACAAGTGTTTTGTCAGATGTTCACCTTAAGGGCCGAAATTTAGATCAAAACTGTGAAATGTTCAGGTGCGTTCTCTTACATTAGTTTTTTAAAGACTCTTTACAGTTGAATGAGAATTAAACAGAATATTAGAAAAAATATTAAATTCAAGAGGTTTGTAAGAGGGAATAGAACAGAAATTATAATAAAGGAACAATATACAAGGAGACAGAAGATGATGATTGATATTGCATTTAAATTTTTTAACAGTAAAATTATTTAGACCTATCTGCCAATCTAGTAGTGTGCTTAAATTTGTGAAGTCAAGATAGCAAAGAGGAAAGCTGATCAGAATGTAAAAGTGTCATATAGAAAGAAAATTAGTAACTATCAACACCAAGGTTTGAGCATGACACTCTAGATTTATGAACATATATTTTCTGCCAGGTTTATAAATAGTAGTGTCAAGCTACTGACTGCAGTGATTATTTAGTGACTACAGAGGGAAACTATCCAGTCTAGTGTGAATTATTGTGCATCAATGATTTGGGTTTTGATCTAGGATTTATCGGACTTTAAGCTGAGCTGTGCTACTAACAAGGTATTCATTGAAATGGTTATCGTTGGTTGACTTTTACTTCTTTGTTTTTGTTAAGTATTTATTTGTGGTTGTAATTAAATACTGTTTTATTTAACACTGAAGTCTTGAGTTATACATATATAGTTATCATGAGTTATATATTTGGATCATAGGCTTGTCTGGGCTCATGTAAACTTAGATAAGCCTAAAGTTAAGCTGGCTGGCTACTGGAAATTAAATACATCATTATTTGGTAAGCAAGATTTCCAGGACCAGCTACTACTAATGCTACAGTAGGGGCTGTGGTTGGGAATATTTGGTGGGATAAACTAAAATAAAAAATTAGGTCATTTGCTGCTGAATATAGTTGCTGGCTAAATCTAGATAGATTAGCAACACAAACAGCATGTGAGCAAAAAGTCGATTGAGCAGCAAAATCCCTTGACAGAGGGGATGTAACTTTAGCTAAGGCAAAGTTGGCCTCCTTGCTTATCAAAAAGGATCAAGCTCTAGTAATTAGGGCTAGGTTAAAAAGAATGTCTTCTGAGGCAATGAATATGGTCACTGAATTGTGTGCAGAGGAGCTTCAGAATGCATTTCATTGACATATTGCATGTCTCACATTGCCGGATAATTGGACTGTGACTACAAACACAGGCTTATGCAAGACTTTTCGAGACTACTTTCAGAATTTGTTCACCAGGGATCCTGGTCTGAGCAGTGCTCAGTTCGACACCTGTTTAGTTGACTTTCCCTGCCTGGAAGCAGTTGAAGCAGCTGGATGCGAGGGTCTCATCATTGAGTCAGAAATCTGGGAAGTGCTAAAGCAGGTTGGCCTAGATAAATCTCTGAGATTAGATGGTCTACCCTATGAACTGTACTTGAGGCAGTCACTCATTTCCATCCCTTTGCTGGCACTGATTTTCAACAACTGGATGTAGCACGGGTCTATGCCTTAACAATTCACCAGGGGTGTGATCAAGTTGCTTTGCAAGGACAAAAATGGTAGGGACGGGATAAGTAAGTTTCAGCCTATCATTAAATACAGAATTAAAGATTTTAGCCAAGATCTTAGTCAACCATTTGCAGGCTGTCCTCTTTAGTCTGATTGGCTCCAAACAGATGTGCTGTGAAGAGCAGGACTATTCAGGACAACCTTCATATGGTTTGCTTGATCATCGAGCAAATCAACAGTGAAGCCGCACTGATCAATTTAAGGGGAGGGTGGAAGTATGTGCCTCGCACATCTACCCAATTTTCCTTTGCTGACTCTCTGTACTTCCACTTCTGTCTACCATACTAATTTCATTAGCAAGGCTCTTGTTCTCCTTCTTGCAAGTCTGCTAAGGTAGCATGTGAGATCTGTTACCTCCACCCTTCTGAGGTGGTCTGTGTATGCCTAATGTTGAAACTTGTCAACATACACTTCACATCGCATTCCTAGATCAAATGTGTCATGATTCAGACAAGGAGGGAGAATTCTGGAAGGAAGATGCTTGTAAGAACTTCCCATCCCTGAGAAGAGTGCACTCGTGTGAGGATGAGGCCTACTGTTTACCCTGAGGTGAGTGCTTCTTCTGTTGTGAATGTCATCTTATTCTGAAGCATCTCTTACCAGTGTTGGATGGCCTCCTCAATGTCCAGGTGCTCTTTGAAAGGCATTATATCAGGTGTTAGTTAGGGGATTCATATGAGATGATCTGATTGGTGAGCTCAGTTTTACAAAACAGGAAGTTCGTTTAATATGGCTTTGGGCACCTAGGTGGAAATGCCTCACTAATAATGGGTCATCACTCTGGGTCAGAAAAAAATTTTGTTTGGTGGGTTTGGAAAAATCTCCAAAATGTACTCACTGTGATGGGGGGTGAGGACCCTCGGTCATGCCTCCTTTCATTGCAGGCTTGTAGTCCCATTGTGTAAGTTTTTTGAAGACATCATGGTCTGCATGCTGCACAGAAAGTTTTCATCCTCAAGGCCAGTTCTGTCCGTAGCAATGTGATACTGCAAATTGACGAAAGCTGAACACTATGCATTCTTTTGCTTGCTAGGTGTTATGAGAATTGTGATATGGTTGACACATCAGAAGGGATTCTATTGGGACGAGAAGTTCACTTCTTCCTAACTGATCTTGTTCTTTAAGATTCAGCTTAAAGTCAAGATTAGGACAGAAAGGCAGCATCTCCCTCTATTAGAATTTAGCAAAATGTGAGTCAGTCTTATGCATTTGTGTTGAGTAAGAGGAGCATTTTGATGCCAGTTAGACATCAGGAGATTGCATTATCTGTATCGAACAATGGCAACCCTGCTCGAAAATAGCTTAGCTTAGGGTTGTTTTTTGTCTTTTAGTTTCTTCCTTTAAGTTAACTTAGCTAGTGGATGTATGCTCATTGGCCCCCTTTTATTTCTGTCCCCACTTTCTTTACTTTAATTCCCCCTCCCCACCCCTGTTAGGTGTCCAGAGACATCAGTTCTCTGGTGGGATGCCATGGTTACTATAACTTTCTTACATGGGATTATTGCAAGATTCAGGGTACCTAACACTATTGTTACAGACAAATGCATACAAGTCACATCTAGTGAATTTGAGGGGTTCTGTAAGGTGTAAATCATTAGCAATAGAACACATTACAATGTCCCCTTATCACCCAAGAAATACTAGACTAGCTGAATGGTTTGCTGATACTTTTAAAAGGGCACTAAAAAGTCAGCAGGTGAGGAGGCAGATGAAGTAATATTAAGCAATTTCTGAGCATTTTCAGAATAATGCCAAACCTGAACACCATGTCTGGAATGTTGCCAGCAAAACTGATGTTTGCCAGGAAAATTAAGTTCGTATTTAACAAATTACAACCAGAATGGAAGGTGAGAACATGAAAGAATCAAAATAATATAAATAAATATTTTAAACCTGGTAACTTTTTAAAATGTGTTTTTAAAAAGTGTTATTTTAAAATGTACCAACGTGGAAAAGAATTCTGGGAAGTTGGCCTTATAAAAAAACAGATTGGCAAAATGATATACATGGTACAGGGACAAAGTTGGGGATATAAGCGATATCTTAATCAGTTAAAACAGAGATTCACTGATTTAGTAAGTCCATGAAAAGAGGTACCTATGGAAATATTGTTTGACATATCCACAATACTAGAAATTAGTGAATCAACAAGGTACAGTAAAAGAAAAAGAACAGCAATGGAACATTTGAATATTGAATCCAAACTGAAGAGATATAGACTCCAGAAGTCTCATCTCAAAAAGGAGAGGTGTCATATAGGAAGAAAATGAGTAACTACCAACACTGAGGTTCGAGCATGACCCTCTGGACTTATGAATATATGTTTTCTGCCAGGTGTATAAATAGCAGTGTCAGGCTACTGACTGAAGTGACTATTGAGTGGAACTATTCAGTTGAATTAGTATGAATTATTGTGCATTGATTATTTGGGTTTTGATTTAGGATTTACTGAACATTAAGCTGAGCCATGCTACTAACAAGGTATTCACTGAAATGGTTATTTATCTTTGGTTGACTTTTACTTCTTTGTTCTTGTTAAGTATTTATTTGCAGTTGTAATTAAATACTGTTTTAACATTGAAGTCTTGAGTTATACTTAATCATAAATGTCCACTGTACATCACAAAAAAAAAAGTCATAGGGAAGCTATGTTATGGCAGTGGGAATGTGACTGAAGCCAAGACGCCACATCAGGAGCAATACTGTTGCAGATTCTTCCTTGGGTTCTGTAAATAGTCTCTGGATATATAGCACCAGACCATATGTACCAGCAATATTAAATGGACAGACGATTATAAATGTTTGTACCATGCCATACTATACTCCAGGCCTGCTCATGGTGCAAATGAGTGCCAGAACTGGAGGCCTATTGAAAATGTTTGATTTTCAGAAATTTTGGAAGAAAATTAAGTTAACTATTTTTGAAAATAATTAGAATAACATTTTCACCCATACATAGGATGTGTTGAAAGTTAAATAAATGAAAATTTGTATTTTTGTTGTGGACACTGATAAGTATTAAACAAAACACAGAGGCAAAGATTTCTGGTAAAAGATAATGTTGAAACAGAAACATAACTAGTTATAGGTCTAACTGAACCCTTCATTCAATCTTCAGGTATTGAATAAAGAGTCTGATTCAAATTCCAATTAAAGTTACTGGGTTCAACAAGCAGTACCTGAAAAAGCCTAGAGGGAATCAGCTAAAATGTGTATATGACAATCAATCATCTCAGAAATATAGACAGATAAAACTAAATCATTTTCGGAAAGTTTCAAAATCTTTAAAGCTGGTTCTTTGATCTAGGTGTGTAATATTTGCAAAAATATGAGTATGCTTTCTTTCCATGTTGAAAAAATTAAAATATGCATAAAAATGTTACTTAATGATTTGTAACACACTTTTTCCTTTATTGTATGGAAAAAGATGAAACAAAAAAATAACCATTGGTCAGTGTGGTCAGAAGAAACCTTTTGTTTTTCACAGTCAA